ACTGCCATTGAAAATGGGATAAGTGCATGAAGATAGTCATAATTATATGAATTTCCGATAGATTACTGACAGTAGTTCGAACGGGAAGTTTAGTCGTAACGTGATTTACGTTTCTCAAACTTTTGCTGTGTTCTTACGCAACGAAAGTATCATTTCCAATCCAAAGAATCTATTCTGAGCTATACGTTCGGTAGATTACTTCTTTTTTTGTGTTTCACTCGAATTAATAGTTAACTGTGGTTTTGCCTCAGCTGACTATCGGTTTTTTTTATAGTTTTCACGTAAAGGCTAGCTTTAGCTTATCGTTAACTGTTTTTATACATTTTTGGTAGTTTTTGTTTACTGTGTGTTTTTTTTAACGGTCCTAAATTTACTGCTTATATTTTTAAGACAGTCTAAATCACTAGCCATGAAAAATTCATGCAAGAGACCTGGTTGCCTTTTTGCCGTTACATCTGGCATGCAACGTGACAACTGTAAAGGTTGGTTCCATGAGGCATGTACAGATCTAACAGCAGCAGCCTATAGCAGACTCAGCAAGTCTGATCGTAGGTGGGTATGTGTTACCTGCAATACCGATACGGTAGTTATGTTGGGTACTATCATTACTTTACTGACAGGTCTGAGAGATAAGTTGTCTAAGAATTCGGTAAATGATATCATCATGACGGGTATCAAAGCTGGAACGCATAGGGCAAATAAGAAAAAGGATACTGACAGGTCGGTTATCGACGGTGCTGTTAACAGCACGAGTGATGATGTGCTGAAACTTAGCACCATCTTAACATCGACTGTCATCGACTCCCTCAGTAAACTTGGGTCCCCCGGGGAACGGTCCTTGAATGAGACAGTGGTTCCTAAAAATCCTGTAGGTGGATGGACTCACGTTAACAGGAGTAATAAAGCACAAGCGTCCCCTCCGAAACTGAACGTCCCAAGTATCGTGCGGAAATCAATTGATGCTTTGGCTGCACAGTCTACACCCAAGACTGTCCGCCCGGTCATCACTGAGCCCAGGAATCGAAAACGCGCCTCGACATCCAAACAACAAGATACCAAACCTAGACGCCCTGGAAAACCTGGGAAATCAATTGCGGTTCGTGACGACTCTGTCATAATCATGAACCTTATTGACAACCCCGAAATTCTTCTCAGTTTGCAGGACAAAAACGATAGGATGCTCTGAGGAGAATTAATCAAGAGGCTTGAACTCCCTAGAATAGAGCCTTTGACCGTCACACGGCTCACTCGGGGGAAGGACTCTAACCACCTAAACCACCCGAAGCTGCTTCGTGTTACACTTAAGAATGCCTCCGACGTAGAGGACGTCCTGCTAGCCAGTCACTTACTGAAGTCCGATGGGAACGTAAGAATACTGCCCGACATACCGTATTCTGAACGAAATCTCATCCGGAACATCCCTAAGGAATCTCGCGAGGCGTTTTTCCGTGGACGAAATATCATTGTGCAAGGTGTGCCAGAAAATATGGACCCAGCTCAAGCAAACTCTGATATTCGGGAATGGAAATTCATCAAGCATTCCTTAAAACTCAAGAACATATTGACACAACAGGTAATGAGACTGGCCAAGAGAGACGGAGACTCTAGGCCCCGGCTGCTGAAGATAACCTTCCCCTCCTCCCACATGGCGGCTGCAACTCTGGAAGCATTTCGTGCCAATAGACGTCGGTTGCCAACTGGCATTCATATGCATCCGGATAGGCCCCACGACAGCAGGATCAAGCACGAACGAAAGCTGGAGCTGACAATTCCACTCGTGGACTGTCTTGATCATAAAAAAACGTGTAAAGGACAGGGACTACCAACTCGGTAAACATCGTATAGGTAGGCTACCTGTCCACTCACACACGTCTCATATAGACAAACAAGAAGAGGCTCACGCGTTCCAAATTGAAAGCATAAACTGCCTATACACGAACGCCACGAGCTTGCCAAACAAAATGGATGAGCTACGTGAACTTAGCAACGCTAATGATGCCCATCTGATAAGAATATCCGAAACTTGGATAACGTCTCAGTTTACGGACCAAGAGTTAGCAATAACTGGGATGTCTTTATTTCGCAACGACAGAAAAACAGGAATGGGGGGTGGGGAGCACTATACGTACGGTCATGCCTGGATGCGCATCAACTTCACAACCAAGAGTTTCACAATCTTGACGAGTTAGTATGGTGCTCAGTAAGATTATCTACCACCTCGAGGTGCCTAGTTGGGGTCGTTTACAGGAAGCCCACTGCCGACATCGAATATGACAAACGTCTGCTGGAAGGATTAACTCGCTCTACGCGTCTTGGATTCTCTCATATCCTGATTCTAGGGGATTTCAATCTCCCTAGAATCAACTTCGCAGAACATACATACATTGGTGGTGCCAACTCTACTGAAGCTCTGTTCTTCAACCTTATCGGCGACCTGGGATTATTTGAAAATGTGAAGTCGGCAACCCGTTGGAGAAACAGTCAGACGCCGTCACGCTTAGACTGGGTATTCACAAACGAAGAATTCCTAGTTGACGACCTCTCAATCCTGGCTCCCCTGGGGAAAAGTGATCACGCCGTCTTATCATTCAGCTTTGTCAGCAAGACGGAGCTACGATATCCTACTAGCAACAAGCGCTGGAACTTCAAACGGTTGAATGTGTTAGCTTTACAGGACTATCTTCAACAGGTGGATTGGGATGTTCGCCCTCAAATTGGAGTGGATGCTCATTGGGATTTTTTACTGCACACGATCTTATGTGCTACTGAGCATTCAGTTCCTAAAATGGTCCCAAAAAGCTACAAGCAACCTGCAATCATCAAGAACCGCACTCGTCGTTTGCAAAGCCGCAAAAGGCACTGTTGGGCTGAATATAAACGAACTGATAACAACGGCGCGTACAGGCAATACAAACATATAAGGAACATATGCACAAAGGCAATAAGAGAGGACAGGCTTCAGTTCCAGACCAAGCTTATCGATAAATTCGTCTCCAATCCGAAAAGCTTGTTCAGTTATGCAGCTTCTCTTCGACAAGGCAAAACTGGAGTTTCCCAACTGCTTGGTCCTAATGGCCCGACCAACAACGACAGTGATGCCGCTAACCTTTTGGCTGAACATTACTCCCGGACATTCCAGCTGACCCACATCAACCATACTGACGAAAGCTTCACCTGCACCTGTACAGGACTTTCCGAAGTGGACCTGAGTGCTGACTTGGTGCTCCGTAAACTGCAGAACCTAAAGAAAGACACTTCTGCTGGTCCGGACATGGTTCATTCCGCCGTATTGAGGGAAGCAGCTTCAATCCTGGCGAACCACTTAGCGTGATGTTTACACACTCGCTAAGCAGAGGCAAACTACCGGAAATATGGAAGCTGGCCCACATCCCACCAATTTTCAAAGGAGGTTGACGCAGTGAACCCTCAAGCTACCAACCAGTGGCCCTTCTCTCCATACCTTCAAAAATTATGGAATCCCTAGTATTCGACGGCATACTACATCACTTATCATCCTCAAAGTTCTCGCCTCAACAGCATGGTTTCAGAAAAGGTCATTCTTGTATGACCAACCTGCTGACTGCGGTGGATAGATGGACAACCATCCTTGATCGCAAGGGGAAGGTTGACGTCATCTACCTGGACTTCTCAAAAGCTTTTGATAGGGTCAACCATGCATGTCCTATCAAGAAGCTTGGACGATTGGGTATAAAACTCCCTTTAATTGACTGGATCACTTCATACCTAGAAAACCGACACTTTAAGGTCATGGTTAACTTCACTCTCTCTTAGGCTATGGAATGTCCTAGTGGGGTCCCCCAGGGTTCAATACTAGGACCTCTTCTCTTCTTGATTTTTATTAACGATCTTCCTCAACAAGTTTCATCTGATTTATTGCTTTTTGCTGATGATGTGAAATTTTGGAGAGAGATACGTAATCACAATGATATACTAGTTCTTCAGGAGGATCTGACTCGACTTCAAAGTTGGGCAGACGACAACGGACTTACCTTCAAAATTTCAAAGTGCAAGGTAATCCATCTGAGACATGTTGCAGACTATAGTTATAACTTAGGTAACTCACCTCTAGAAGTTTCCCAAGTTGAAAAAGATTTAGGAGTGTTGGTACCCTACGACCTGAAATCGTATGCGAACTGTGACAAAAACGCCTCTCAAGCAAACCTTGAACTGGTAACATTGAAGCGCATTTTTGGCCAGTTTGACGGTAGAACCTTCCACATAATCTTCAACAGTTTTATTCGTCCCCACTTAGAGTACGGAAACATAGTATTTCCTCCCTCCCTCCAAAAGGATAAGGTCACTCTGGAACGTATACAACGTCGAGCCACGAAATCAGTTCGGGGTCTCAAATTCAAACCTTATGAAGAGCGCCTTAAATCAATTAACCTTTACCCGTTAGAGTATAGGCGTCTTAGAGGTGATCTTCTTATGACTTATAGTATCCTTAATACTTCTGGTCATCCCCTTAAACAACTTCTTAAGCTTAGTCATAACACTATCCTCAGAGGTAACACCCAGAAATTGGAGACCCTACATAGCAGAACAGACTGCAGACATAACTTCTACTCCGTTAGAGTTGTCAAGTGCTGGAATTCGCTGCCGACTGAGCTAGTCGGAGCAACCTCCCAGGAGTCCTTTAAGAGGAAACTTGACTTATTCTTAAGGACTAAGGATAACATATTATTATGAATTACCAAATTCTTTTTTTCCCTCTATTATCGTTCATATACCTAGGTTCTTGCCTGGAGGTATTGGTGATCCACTGCTACCAGACACGGAAGCCCGTTAAGCGAAAGCTTCTTCTATTCCGTCCTCAACCATTTGAGCCATTTAGTTCGTTGAACATCAGTTCGTCCGAAGGTGACATGCTCTAGACCTAGTGTTTTGGAGTGTTGTTTATGTCTAAAAACAGTTTACTAAGCAAAAGTTCCTGCTTTTCTATCTATGATTATTTAAGCTAATAACGAGTGGTTGAGAACGTCTACAGACGCGCACTCTTCAAGTTGGGTGTAACCTTGTTGGATTCTCGCTTACAACTCGTATTATCCTTTTTCCCAAAACCATATTGGAATATTCAAACGCCTTCAAGTGCACAAACTAAGTTTTCACTCTGCAAGCTAACGATCATAATAATAAATCTGACCATAATCATAACAAGGTTGAACCACTGCACGATAGGTCTTGTATTCTCGATCAACTTCTGTCTTCATAATTGCTTCAACTGAAATTTACGTTCTTTTTCTTGCGAACACGGGATTGTGGATAAGCTACTGGATTAACGCAAAATCGCTTTTGCAGGACGGTCAAAGGTAACTCAGCAATTTTGAGTATCTGTCTGGTCCTTACCTCACATAGCATGTAATCATCTATATCTATTATTTTTCTCCTTCAAAACTTTTGTCTCGCCTGCCTTCCCAAGTTGTCTCGATTTGATTTTTGGCATGTTGAATAGTATGCACAGCAGTAACGTCACCAGTACTTACACAATAACTACAAGAATGACTGGCGATACTATATTTTATGGACCAACCGAACAGTTAAAGGATAAAGGGTCTTTTATTCTGGCGCACAAGCATTTATTTAGTTAAGTGGAGTTTTGGTACTTTAGCTGATGTCAGTACGTGATAGAATTCCTAAATCTAATCCCTAACCCTAACCAACAACTGCAAATCATAATTTTAATGCACCGCACTGGTTTTTAGCCTCCATCTTGTCTTACTTGGTAGGTGGACGCTTACAAGGTCACGTTAGCATTGCCCAAAGGTCGTCCGTAAATTACAATCCCACCGGACCCTGGTAAAATGCAGTCTACTGGTAGCACTGATTAACAATGCCAGGATGTTTGGAATGGGTTCCTCCCCCTCTAAATGTAAATCGTTGCTTCAGGACTGTTCTGCGTCAACACCTGAATTAAGGATAGGTTCCTCACCAAATAGGACTATACTATGTGTATTCCATGTCAACAAGTAGATCTGGTAGGAGGAATTCAGTTGACGAGAGCATTATTTCCAGCAGTAGGTCTTTGATGAAGTTAATCAAAAATGAAGACAGTGACGCATATATATCTGGTGCTCTCCTGAACCAGTGTTTATGTGACAAAATAAATATATACCTGATTAGTTGCCCGTCTCTGTACTTGGTCTAAGAGATTTATACACACAAGTCTAATGAGATCACAATTGCTTCACGAAATACTGTGCTCGCTCCGGTTAGAACTGATCAGGTGATAGGGCTGAGACATAAATCTTACGAGAACAGACTTCAGTACCTGGAGTTATTCTCTTTGAGCTACAAGAGAGGTGATCTGATAATGGCACACAACATTTTAAGTACTTCAAGCCACCCCAACACGAGCATAATACTGGAACATCATCACCATGCTCCTCGAGGCAACCCTCGAATGATTGCACCTTAAAGGACGAACACCCATGTATGCTTTCACTTTTTTCATTACGGGTTTTCTCCATGGGATGCTCTGCCAACTGAAGTGACCCCAACTTCTACAGTAAGTAACTTTAAGAGAAGGCTTGACAAGGACTTAGCATCCTCCTCTTGGACCAGCTATGTCTGATGCATGTCTCATAAATTGTCAGTTATCACTACCGCATAACCAGTAGCCAATTCTCATCTCTCTTATTGTCATCTCTGTTTCCCTTTTATTCTTTCAACTCCGTCTCCTTACATATTATCAAATAAATAGATTGCTTATTTATTCTTGAAACAATAATCTCTTGTCACTCGAGTTATCACTTTATTATTTTCACATTGCAACCAACCAACCTCCTACCTGGTTTTATGATAGCTGCTGGTATCCAGAAACCCTACTGCCTTGAAACAAACGCACTCACTCAACTACAAGATACAGAAATCCCAACCGACAGGAATTAGGGGAGTCGAGTCGTTAGACTATCACCCACTGGACATAACCAAATACCTGAAATTGTACCGAAACAACAAGAAGCAAGCCCCAAGAAATCTATCGGTTTATACAAGCTCGTGACAAAGATATTGGATATTGGAAGAATGGTCTCAAAGGTGAGCAATGTCCAATTTGTAAGGATTTGTTAATCATGAAAAATAGGTGAATTCGAAAACTCAATTTGTGAGTAATTATGATATATTTCTCAAGGCGCTGAAGATGGAATCTGTATTTGACGACAAAAACGACTTTCTGGATGTTGTTTATTGGTTTAGGCAAGTTTTTGCCATTATAGTTGGTGTTGTCTGGGGTGTAGCCTCGTTTACAGGCTTTATGGCAATCCTCATGTTTTTTGTAACAAACATATGCTTTGTCTATGCATACGCTGCAATTTATCAACGTGTTGATGAGGATGAATATGGTGGATATGGGGAGATCATAAAAGAAGGATTAATGACAGCTTTTGCATGCTTTATGGTATCCTGGATACTCACTTATGATTGTGCTCACGGTGTAAACAGCACAACTTGGTAGTTTATCAATGCTGTATTTGTAATATATGTTACTGTTTTTGTACATCCCGATATTCTTTCTTCTAAAATATATCGCGTAGTTCCTAAACGTGTTGTTTCTTTGACGAAATCGGCTAAAATATTTACTAAGTTTGTTCTGTTTAGGAAATGGCTACTCAATGCGCTATGTATCGCATCAAAAAGCTCGAACATAGTACATCAGATACTGGAACCTCGTGTTACAAAGCTACAGATGGATCTCTGTGTTTCTGTACAGTAATAGACTTTAACCACGTTCACGAATCTGGTCGTGATTTAGAATGCTGCCCACTTCATTCACTTTTTAATATACAGTGCGAGCCGATTGTTCTGAAAAGTAATTCGCGCTTTCGCATCATTCTTGGTAATTCTCCCGACACTACACAATTTAAAAACCAGTCAACTTCGAAACAGCTTTCTTTAAGAAGTGTGGTAGAGAAAATCCTGTTTAATTGTACAGCTGGAGACGTGTTCAATGTAGAGATAGAATCCGTTGAGAGAGACGAAAAACACAAAGATCCCACAGTAAGCCAAATCTATATTCTGTTTTTATTTCTGTGTATATCCTCATGTTTTCTTACCTATTGTAAGAAAATGTTTAATATTTTTAGTGTGCATTATTTGCAAGTAAAGTAGATAGTTTTCTTACTCAATTTTTGACTTGCGTAGTTTCAATACATCCTTATCAGATGCAAATCAAGCATATTTAACGATTCTGAACAATCAACAGTTTGTTGGCTTTCCCGAAATTTTATTAGCCGTATAATAAACAGATATCTGGATTGTATTGATCATATTCATTGTGTTCTGTGGAGTCCAGAAATAACCCTCATTATCAATAAATACTAATACTGTTTGACAATGCCTAGGTGTTTAATCAGTGTTCATTTTGAATTATTCAACTAGTGTCTTGTGCAGATAGGTTAAACTTTGAGTCCATGTTGTCACAATAAATGGCTTGGAAACATTTTTGCATAAAGAACTAATGTGAATCACTTGACCCATGATCAAGTACCTCTATCTTTTGCTTTCAGTGGTCATATATGTCGGTCGTAAAGCAGTGTAAAGCAAACCTCTACTCAATATAATATACTGACTATTTTGTAAATGGCTAAATATATTTGATCACAGATAAGTTTTTGATACACTGGTGAATAATTCCGCTACATGAGTCAATTTCCTCACTTTCCGTATTTCTTGAGAGTTATATATTATTGTGCGCGCAATGTGCGTATGTAGTTATAGTGTGGACAATCGTTTATTAACCTCTAGTTAAACTTTATCACGTAATTATCCCTATCGTTGACATCTTTAATCGGAGTAGAGTAAACAGATTTTAAAATAAGGAAGATTGGTTCAGTGAAGAGTTCTCTTTTCGGCGAATTTATTTTCAAAGCTGTATAATCGCAAATATGTATACATATTATTCAGGATGATAATAAAAAAATAGTGGTGATAAAATTCTGTTAAACATGGTATCAGTGAAGTAGAACAAATAAAGATATTAAAACACTTTTTTTTTCAAAGTGACTAATAATAGTTTTATCGCTAAGTGCTTAATAGGGAAATTATACTTGAGAAAGGATGGCTCAGTATGATAAGATATAATATTGAAATGAAAATATGTTATCACGCAGATCATAGAAACAGAAGTAAACCTGTTGGGAGTAAAAGGTTTATAGAGGAGATAGAAGGGAAAGCAGATGGCTTTGAAGGAAAAAAGTATGAAAAAGAAAGAAAATTATGAGCCATTAAGACCATGGTAGAAAAAAAGGTTGTATCAGTTTCAGTTTAGTCCACTTTACACTATTCACTGCTTTGCATGTGCATGTTAGTCCTCATTATCAGGTTTTTGAATCTTCAGAGCACCTAGTTTAATGCAAAGGATGTCAAAAAATACCGTTGGAGAGATAAGATTAGTGGCAGCAATTTATGGCAAAGAGATGGGGACGGAAAACATTTAATAAGAAATCACTATGTTTTTGAAAGACTATCACTTCCAGGAATCTGATTTTGAAGGTAATCGCTTATTTGTGATAGAAAAATGAACCTACAGTTTTATGTAATTATAGCGTAAAAAATCTACTATACTTTATTTTCAAAGTGTTTCGTGTTTTCCTTAAGTAACGTAACCACCTTCGGTTTGAATTCATGAGGCTAAATAATAACCATAATTTTACAACAAACCTAACGACGTTCTATCTTTTCAATGTTTAGAAACCTTTCCAACCATTCGATTAGACAAAATTTGTTCAGTGACAGAAATGTCCTTATGTCGAAACAGTTAAAGATAGGGATTTTAAATGGGTTTTAAAACGGTTAGGATAAGAACCTTTGTTAATGACTATTTAGAACAACATATATAAGTGAACAATATTGTTTTCGATTAGATCCTCATCAGGCTCTACACAAATATACAGTAATATTTATATGCACAAACGAAATTATTAAACCAATCAAGGCAGTTTACGAGTCAATGAAAACAGTGGAGTAGATTACATAACTAAACATATTAAGTAAAGAATACAAATTGATGTTGTGAAGACAAGTGTATTTTATTATTTATTTATTTATTTATTTATTTATTTAAACACGTATATATTGGTACAAAAGGGCACCAGGTACATATGCGCCACACAAAATAATGAAAGTAGGAAGATAAAGGATGAAAAGATAAGGCGGACTGAAATGTACAACCAGAAGACTCTTTCAGTTAGGAAAGTTAGAACCATTCTTTATGTAGAAAGTAAAAGAAGGTTGCAGCAGGCTCGCCACTGGCTTCTATTCTGAGCCATATCTGATAACGTCTCTAGCCACTGTGTTGCACTATCTCTCGGACCCCAGCCAGGGAGTCGTGAAGGGCCAACAAAAGCTAGCCCTTTGCAGCTCTCTTTCATGCCACAACACCATGTCATACACTGACCTCCTCTCCGCTTTCTCCAACCAGTCCCAGGGTCGGCAAATAATGCACGACGTGGAAGTCTCTGGGACGACATTCGTAAAACATGTCCAAGCCACCGAAGTCGGTGTTTCAAGATGGTGACACCAATTGAATTATCGTCTCTGCGCCCGAACACACGATGCCGAACCTCTGCATTACTAACATGGTGTTGCCACTGGATGTCAGCAATCCTTCGGAGACAACGATGATCGAACACAGAGAGACGTCTAACATCCTCAACTCGGAGAGGCCAGGTTTCACAAGCATAGGGCAAAACTGCTCTCACCGACGCTTTGTAGGTCCGACCTTTTACAGCCAGACTAACATCACGAAGGCGCCAAAGATGGCCCAGATTGGCATAAGCCGCTCTGGCTTTCATTATACGTGCATCAATCTCATCACTCACGCCACCACCAGCACTTATATAGCTACCTAGATACACGAACTTCTCAACTACTTCAATCTCCTCACCATCCAGGGTGAGTACAGGATGAGAATCCTGCCAGTCTTGTAGGAGTACTTTGCACTTGGAGGGTGCAAAGCACATGCCGTACCTGCGGACAGTGATTGCCAACTGATTAAGTGCTGATTGCATGCCTTGGGCATTATCGCACAGTAAGACAATATCATCCGCATACTCAAAGGTCGAGAAGTCGTTCTCCAGGCAACATATCCACACCGCCATTACTTACATCCATCAGAGCTGTTTCCAGGATGTCGTCGATGGCAAAGTTGAAGAGGGATGGTGAGATCAGGCAACCCTGCCTAACCCCACTGCTCGAATGGAACAAGGGAGAAAGGTGGTTGTATGTCCTCACTCTGTCTGAGGTGTTCGTATACAGGGCCTTTAAGATGTTAATGAACTTCTCAGGCACACCCTTCTTCAATAGACAATCCCAGAGAGCAGTGCTATTCAACGAAACGAAGGCGGCCCTCATTTAAAAAAAACACTACGATTGTTGGCCTGTGATAAGTATGACGGTGTTCTAACATTTGGCGGAGGGTGAATATGTGATCAATGCATCCTCGACCAGAACGAAAACCAGCCTGCTCCTCGCGAGTCAATCGTTCTCGGGTTTTAAACAACCTACGAAGAATGATAGAAGCCAATAGTTTGGACGCAATCGAAAGTAGACTTATCCCCCGGTAGTTATTGCAGGAACAACGTGAACCCTTTTTAAAGATAGGGACGACTATTGACTCATTCCAAGATGTTGGAACACTTTCTTGCTCCCAAACCTTTCCAAACAACGCAGTCAGTTCCTTAGCCAGAAAGTCACCACCATCTTTAAAAAGAGCCGGAGGTAAGTCATCTGAGCCCGGTGATTTGTAGCGCTTCAAGAGTTGGAGTTCCTTGCGGACTTCCGCCTCTTTTGGTGGATCAGTCTTCACCGGCCATGGGGGGCAGGACAAGCTGGTCGATGTTGCCGGAGCAGCAGGCCAGTTGAACTGCCCTTCGAAAAATTCCGCCCATCGTCCAAGACGTCGAGAGATGTTAGTGATTGGCATCCCGTCATCTTCGTAGATTGTTTCACTCACACCAGACTTCTTGCTGCCAGTGGCTCGGATGAGTTGGAAGAGCTTCCGGCAGTTACCAGATGCAGCTGCTGCTTCCATCTCATTAGCACGCTCCGACCACCAGGCTTCCCGGTCCTTACGCAAGCTTTGCCCGATTTCATTACGTAACAGCCTTCGTTTGTGGTCAAACTCACGGTCACCCGGAGTAGACCGACGGGCTTCCATCAGTTGTAAGGAGCCAGAAGAAACCCAGTGCTTGTAAGCGTGACGTTTCGCGAAGCCGCAAGCGGCTTTACTCGCCATTTACATGGCGTCGTGAAGAAGCAACCAATGCTCATCTATACTTTTCGGTGGGATGGTAGCTAGCCTAGAGGCTAGCCCTACTCGATACTTACTTGCAACAGATGTTGCAGCCAGTTTACTAACATCAATCCGTTGGTGGTGGTCAATCCTTCGGCCACTGAAAAGTAAGGTGAGATTGGCGCAGACCAGGGCATGATCAGACTCCAGATAGGTACTCCAAAAGGAGCGGCAGTCTTGTACACAACCACGCCAGCGGTAGCTGATCGCGATGTGATCAATCTGAGTCCAGGCTTGGGATGCAGAGGGAGGACGTCAGGTGGCACACCGGCGATGACTGTGCCGGAAGTTAGTGCTGGCCAGAAACAGGTTGTGGTCTGTGCACATTTGCAGCAAACGGTCCCCGTTATCTGTCCTGCGACCAACAAGTCCCCATCGGCCACCTAGACGACTCTCTTCTGTGCCTAGACGCCCGACCTGTGCATTCAAGTCTCCGGCTAGTACTACAATATCTGTCGAACGCGCTTTCTGGAGAAGAACTGTTTACTGATGGTAAAACTCATCCTTGACTGCATCCGGGCTGCAATCTGTCGGGGCATAGGCGGAGATGACGAAAAGACACAGTTTCTCATGCCGATTTCTTCTCACTTTGATGGAACTTTCTAATCTAACAGCACATAACCGACTGTTAATGGGGATCCAATCGATTAGTGCTGCCTCAGCCCTAGCGCTTAGTGCGACACCAACGCCAGGAAGACCAGACGAAGATGCCACAGAGTACCCGGATAAGCGCACGTGGAACAAGCTTTTTGAGGCGACAGATGGAGAGCGGATTTGTAGTACTTCACTAGAGTCTTGGATACGGGTCTCGGATAGACAACAAACATCAACATTAAGACCTTCCAAAGACAGCCAGCCCTATCTGTTGTCTGATATGCATTAGTGTGCGAACGTTGAAGGAAGCCAGCTTGAACGGCGTACGTGGTTTCAGAAAGACTGCTTCAGTATTCATTATCGGTGGAAGCATTCACTTTCAACCAGACAGTGACTGGAGATCGTTTAGATAGGACAGATTTTCCACCATGGGCGAGCTGCTGCATAAGTTGAAAGTAAGGTTACACAAATTGGGGATAAAAGGGGTGAGTTAGCGATATGGTAAATAATAATAATAATAATAATAATAAAGGTAATAATAATAATAATGTTAATTGTCTTGCTTTTAGTATGACCAGGGATATTATCGTCAATAGAGTTCATAATTTCATTCATTTGTGTGTGGGCTGTGATACTGCCCGGGTGCCCAAACCGAAGCAGGTGGTTTTCTTAGGGGACCACACCCCGAGCCTTTGACCTAAAGGTCTGATCCACAAGGCAGTGGAGCATCGTGAGGAGATGCAGTCCCATGGTTGCCGTTGACCAATGACAGGTTCTTCCGCCATTCGTTCCATCAGGATACTGGAGCCCATGTGCACCATTGGTTTGGAATCAGGGTTTTCCAACTCCCCTAGGTGGACCCTCCGTGTCCACCAATCCGGTTATAGCGCCGGACATTCGCTTTTCGTCCTCTCACTTTCGTAAACAACCGTAATGCCTTGAGATGGCAGTGAGTAGGACTTCCCTGGTAGAGGCTATATATTCGCTGGCCATGTGAGAGCATTTCGAGAGGGAGAGTAGACTCTCCCCACTCTCGGCCGTACCAGGGCATTTGGGGGCGAAGACAAGTGTACTAGTTGTGATAAGCAATAATGAAAGCTTGAATCAGTGTTACATAATGGGAAATAAGTCAATGATTAGAAAAAATATAGACACTGAAATAACATTCATAAAAATTATAAGATTACGTAATAAGAAATGTTCAGATAATTGGACCGTGAAGCGAATATTTGAGGGAAAAAAGTGGTAAGAGGGGGTGAACAAAGGTAAACGAAGTAAGAGTATGGAAAATAAAATCGTTTATTAACGCTAAGAGTGAGATAAGGGTGCTACAGATTTCTTATGAACACAAAGACTTGGGGTGGCCAGACCAAAACGTGGCACAAATCAATGAAGTCACTGACAAGTGGACTGGGCCATGTTGGTAGGTGTAGACTACCTGGTTGGGATTCGCGAGATGACAGCAACCGATGGTTAGAGACCTTGAATGACATGGCTCAAAATCGTTTGCAATGGCGAAGGTGTATCTACTCTTTGTGTTCTACCAAATTCTAATCTTCTGAATTCCTCATGTCTTTATCTTTTTCTCTTTCCAAATTTATTTCACTGTACTATACTCCTTCAATAATTTCTTCAAACCCTAATCTTTTGGATTTCTGATTATACTCCTACTACTTCTACTACTATGGGAATTGAATCGACAACTGCATCTCTGTGCTAATGTGGTATGGCAACTCGAACTGATGTACGTACGTACGAAGTTCTACGTTGTGACTGACTGACAAAGACTTGGATTGATGGCTCGAATTTCTATAGCTTCTGTTATGTGTAAGAGTCGAGATCGAACCCCATAAAGGAAAACAAGTAGCAATACGATAAATAACCTTAATTGACTTATTTCTGTCAGCTATATGACCGCTATCGAACAAGTGTGAAATAACCGACCTCGGTATTGCCTTGACAATACCTTTTCCTAACCACGAAGTGAGGTGTTCACTAACTATTTGGTTCAGTTTTCTGATAATGCGCCCAATGTAGCTTTCTCCACAGTAGCAGCTGAATTCGTAGATACACATAGTGGCATAACCAGGTAACTTATCCTTTAGTTGAAGAATCACCATAGATCGGGTCGAGTACGATAGACAGAGGTCGGCTGCATTAAACGTTCTCTTCACTACTCTAGGTAGTCTATCACGTAGTACATCACCAACTAATTCGCCGTTGAATTGCAGTTTCAGGAAGAAAGGTTTCTTACTAGCTGTTGATTTCTCTATTTTCTTATTTGTTACACGCTAGTGCTTCTTTTGCCCCCAAATGCCTTGGTACAGCCGAGAGTGGGGAGAGTCACATCTCCCTCTCGAAATGCTCTCATATGGCCAGCGAATATATAACCTCTACCAGGGAAGTCCTACTCACTGCCTTCTCACGGCATTACGGTTGTTTACGAAAGTGAGAGGACGAAAAGCGAATGTCCGGCGCTTTAACCGGGTTGGTGGACATGGAGGGTCCACCTAGGGGAGTTGGAAAACCCTGATTCCAAATCAGTGGTGCACATGGGCTCCAGGATCCTGAGGGAACAAATGGCGTACGAATCAACCGTTGATCACCGGCTACCATGGAACTGCATTTCCTCACGATGCTCCAGTGCCTTGTGGATCAGACATTCAGGTCAAAGGCTCGGGGTGTGGCCCCCTAAGAAAACCACCTGCTTCGGTTTGGGCACCTGGGCAGTATCTCAGCCCTCACACAAATCGAATGAGATTTGTGAGGCCCATATATATCTGGTGCTTCCTTGTACCAATATTTATGTGTTAAAATAAATAAATAATAAAGTGCTTCTTTACGAAACCTTGTGGATAACCCCTTTCAATCAATGTATTATGTATGACCTCTAACTCCTTGTTAATTGAATTGACCGAGCATATCTTCCTAGCTCTATTTGCCAGATACTTGACTAAGTTTCTCTTATAGTGAAGAAGTACAAAGCTTAAGAATTGTGTGTACTGGTTTGATGAGGAACTTTTCTTAAACACACTTCTAATGATAGAACCGTTTGCTTTTTTGTTTAACAAAACGTCAAGGAAATTTAATTTATTATCTAGATCCTCTTCACATGTAAATTTAATTGCTGGGTGTTTGTTGTTAAATAGTTCTAGTAGTTCTTCTTTTCCAATGTCCTGATCGACAATAATGAAAGTATCATCAATGTACCGACTATAGAAGTCAAGCTTATTGATAACATCTTTGAGAGGTCCATGTTCTAGTTTACAGATAGCGTTTGTTAATTGATATGCAATCATATCTCGACATCATTGACATATTTAAGGATTTCAATATATGAGATACCAAATAATTTCATCCTTTATTGACAAGAGAAATCTAAAATCACGAACTGTGAAGACTAAGTGTGATGTTTCAAAGAATTATTCTTCTACAAATTAATGTTCATTCTCGGAATCGTATCAGTTTCTGTAGTAGATCATACGAAAAAGCGATAAACATTGAAATCCCGACTAGTGCATTAAGCTTTCATCGTTTTTACTTTAAAATGCATTTATTAAGCAGTACATGTTGACCACTGCCTTAACACATTAGGACTTCTCATAATAGGTGTTGTTATTGGTTCTGCTATTATTTAGTAAACGGTAATACTTTTATTTAAACCGTGGAAAACTACATATCCCTCCAAATACAATTTTGTGGAGGTTCTGAACTATTTTAATTGTACCTTAGTTTCTCATTATAGACCTGTCTGCCCAACAAATAGCCAATCCTAACCATTGATGATTTCGACATCCATGATGTGGCCCACTGAATTTTTTACTGAGAGAAAAACGGTGGATACTACCTTTTACATAGATGTTCTTTAAGATTCTGATTAATTATGTACACTCTATACGATCGAATTTGTGTGACTTTGGTTTATGGCAGATCCACTAAGATATGCATATACACTCACCAGGGATTGTTCGCAAGTTTCTGTCCTGTAGTTTGGTTGATACACTTAATCATTTTTACCAGAACTAGTCATATTCCATTTCTTCTCATCCCCCGAATACAGTATACCATGTTAGGACTGTCATAGGACAGTGTAGAAACTTTAAAATGAGGCTACAAAACAACTGGAGAGCCTGATTTTTGAGGACCTCCAAAGATATTTTGAACCACAAGAACGAAGATAAAACATGTATCGCCATAAATGGGAATTTAGTAAAATATAGTGTCTATGGTCTCCATACTTGTATATTTGACAGACCAATATGTAGTTTGTATTTCGGTTTACTGTTTACTTGTTAGTTACATTATGTTTTACATTTGTAGTTAACATCTTCAAACCCTAATCTTTCACATTGATGCTTATACTCTTACTACTTCTACCACTATGGGATTTGAATCGATAACTGCATCTCTGTGTTAATGTTGTATGGCAACTCAAACTGATGTACATACATACGTAGTTCTACGTTGTGACTGACTGACTGTAGTTAAAAAAAGTTGAGTGGTATATTGCTGAAATACTTCATGATCGTTTTATAACTATTTCCTATTGTTGTTAGTCATTAGATAACTTTTTAGTGTTCTCATATATTTTCTTCATTTAGGAGTATAAACTATCATTACGCGTTGACTATGTACTTGTTCCACCGATCTGTGGCGATCCTACTATGAATGCTCCAGTTGAAATATTAGAATCAGATGTAAGAGAAAATACTACAGCTGACTGGAATCCTGATTTAGCTATTCAATGGTTATACCGAGCTTGGTATTTAAAAGAAAGAGGTTCTTGGTTAGTAAATCATCATTTGAAATGTTTAACATTACACTCGGATAGTTCAAATGGTAAAAATAATAGAGAGGAATTATTCAAATACATTTGGTCATCAGCTTTTGCATGTTATTCCAGAGCTTTACAGCTTGTTTCATTAGCTTATTGGGCTGAAAAGACTTGTGTAAATGATGTTTTACCACTGGAAATTAACGAAAATGGATCTGACCATAAAACTAGCACAAACAATATACACTGGATTCAAGTGGTATCAGGTGAAAAACCCATAACTTCTAATGGCGGTGAAAAATTGAATAGTTCAGACTATATAGATTGGGATCGTTTTGGGGATATCGATCATAAAACTATGTTTCCACAACAATGTAAACCTTTACGCTTGATGTTTATGTAAGTTTTTGAATTGCTTTTCGTTCGGGCATATTTTTTTGTGAGATATACAGTTCAAGTAACTCGTGAAACCATGCTTTTGTAAGAGTTAGTTTTTAACACTTTCCTAAATTCATAAGCTGCTGATCGATCTCACATACTCAATACGTAAGTTAACTAATAGTCAATGTAATTCATTTACGAAGTACAGGTGTACTTACTTGAATTTGACTCTCACTCTATGTAGGCCTGTTATACTAACCGATTATCTAAACATAAGTAGGTGAAACGATGTTCAGTCTTGCGGTTTTGCTGGTTAAAAACTGAGTGTTTTAAAAACTTAACTTCAGCTTCATCATAATCAAAGCTTTGTATCAAAAGCCCTCATGGTTCGACGACAACGTCACGCTTTCAACTTTACAGGAGTGTGGCGATAGTAAGATGTTTCCTCCAAACAACCAACATCTGGAGTGATACTGCCTTTCCACATTGAAAGATAGAGGTTATAAAAAGTCGGTCTATAAAAATTTCATACATCACCTTAACCCGTAGATTTACATCCCCAGCTCTAGGACCCTATAGTCAGTCAATCACAATGTAGAACTTCGTACATACGTACATCAGTTCGAGTTGCCATACCAAATTAACACAGAGATGCAGTCATCGATTCAAATCACATAATGGTAGAGGTAGTAAGAGTATGAGCATCAATGTGAAAGGTTAGGGTTTGAAGGAGTATAATCCAGTGAAATAAATTTGAAAAGAAAAAAAAGATAAAAACATGAATTCAGAAGATTGGAATTTGGCAGAACACAGAGAGTAGATACACCTTCGCCATTGCAAACGATTTTGAGCAATTTCATTCAAGGTCTCTAACCACCGATTGCTATCATCTTGTGAATCCCAACCAGGTAGTCTACACCTACCAACATAGCTCAGTTCACTTGTCGGTGATTTCATGGATTAGTGTCACGTTTGGTCTGGCCACCCCTAGCTTTCTTCCAACCTACTCCTACGCCATAAAACATTGCACGTCGGGGCAGTCGGTGGTTAGGCCTACGTGACACGTCCTAGGCATCTCAACTGATGAAGTTTCACTACTTCATCAATCGATTTGCCATCTTTACCTAGTACCCGTTTCCTAACAACTGCATTACTTACTCGGTGGTCCCAGGATATACGAGCAATGCTTCGAAGACACCTGTGATCAAATACTAGTAGCCTGCAAATATCCTCTACTCTTATCAGCCATGTTTCACTGCCATTAAGTAGGACGGAACGAAATACTGCGCATTAAACCCATTCCTTGTTGATAGAGGGATATCTCGTCTACGCCATAAATGATACAAGTTGGTGAAAGCTAGACGAGCCTTCTGTATCCGTGCTGAGATTTCGTCACACACCAGACTCCCCTAGGTGAACTTTCCGTGTTCACCAACCCGGTTAAAGCGCCGGACATTCACTTTCTGTCCTCTCAATTTCGTAAACAGCTCAATAAGTGGTTCGCTACTCATTTATATTTGCAAATAATTTAAACCACCTTACTATAGCATTTTCTTATCATTAGTACAGTAATAGTCATTCTATTCTAGTAAATAATATTCGTTACTTACTTACTTTCGCCTGTTACTCCCGATGGAGCATAGGCCACCGACCAGCATTCTCCAACCCACTCTGTCCTGGGCCTTCGTTTCTAGTTCTATCCAGTTTTTGTTCATTCTTCTCATTTCTGTCTCTATTTCTCGGCGTAATGTGTTCTTTGGTCTTCCTCTTCTCCTTTGACCTTCAGAATTCCATGTGAGGGCTTGTCTTGTGACGCAATTAGGTGATTTCCTCAAAGTGTGCCCTATCCACTTCCAGCGCTTCCTCCTGATTTCTTCCTCCGCTGGAATCTGGTTTGTTGTCTCCCACAGTGACTTGTTGCTGATAGTGTCTGGCCATCTGATCCGAAGTATCTTGCGTAGACAGCTGTTAATAAACACTTGTATCTTCTGGATGATGGCTTTCGTACTCCTCCACGTCTCCGCCCCATACAGTAGGACTGTCTTGACATTTGTGTTGAAAATTCTAACCTTGGTGTTGGTTGACAATTGTTTTGAGCTCCAGATGTTCTTCAGCTGTAAGTATGCTGCTCTTGCTTTGCCGATCCACGCCCTCACATCTGCTTCTGATCCACCATGTTCATCAATGATGCTTCCCAGATATGTAAAGGTTTCCACATCCTCCAAAGCTTCTCCGTCAAGTGTAATTTGATTGGTGCATATTGTGTTGTATCGGAGAGTCTTGCTTTTCCCTTTGTTTATATTGAGACCTACTGCTGCTGAGGCTGCTGCTACACTGTTCGTTTTCTCCTGCATTTGTTGTTGCGTTTGTGATAGAAGAGCCAGATCATCCGCGAAGTCTAAATCGTCAAGCTGCATCCTGCCTGTCCACTGTATCCCGTGCATTCCTCCAGATGTTGACGTCTTCATAATCCAGTCGATCACCAGGAGAAAGAGAAAGGGTGAGAGTAAGCAACCTTGCCTAACACCTGTCTTTACTTGAAACGATTCGGTGAGTTGTCCTCCGTGGATGATTTGGCAGTTTAGTCCATCATAGGAGCTCCGTATGATATTGACTATCTTCTCAGGCATGCCGTAGTGTCGAAGAAGCTTCCATAGTGTCGTTCTGTCCACGCTATCAAATGCCTTCTTGTAGTCAATAAAGTTGATGTAGAGTAATGAATTCCATTCGATCGATTGTTCCACAATGATACGTAGAGTTGCGATTTGATCTGTGCACGATCTATCCTTACGAAATCCAGCTTGTTGATCTCGAAGTTGAGCGTCCACGGAATCCTTCATCCTGTTTAACAATACCCTGTTGAAGACTTTCTTTGGTATTGAGAGTAGAGTGATGCCCCTGTAGTTGTCGCACTTGCTAAGATCACCTTTCTTTGGTATTTTGATCAGAAGTCCTTTTTTCCAGTCTGTTGGTACTTGTTCTTCGTCCCAAATCTTACTGAAGAGGATGTGTAGTATCTTGGCAGTTGCTGTTACATTTGCTTTCAGTGCCTCTGCCGGGATGTTGTCTGGTCCCGCTGCTTTGCCACTCTTGATTTGTCTAATGGCCATGCTGATCTCTTCAATTGTTGGTGGGCCAACATCGATTGGGAGGTCTGTGGGTGCTGCTTCGATGTTGGGTGGGTTCAGTGGAGCTGGTCGATTTAAAAGTTCTTTGAAATGTTCTACCCACCTGTTTCGTTGTTCTTCAATGTCGGTGATTACTTCGCCTTCCTTGCTTTTCACTGGTCTTTCTGGTTTACGGTAATTTCCAGCAAGTTTCTTTGTTGTATCATACAGTTGTCTCATGTTTCCCTCTTTTGCAGCCTTTTCCGCTGTCATCGCTAAATCTTCCACATATTTACGTTTGTCGGTTCTGATGCTCCTCTTTACTTGCTTGTTTGCCTCTGTGTATTCGGCTTGTGCCTTGGCTTTTTCCGCTCTTGTTCGGCTGATATTGATTGCTGCCTTCTTGTTCCTCCTTGCTTCAATTTTATCCAGTGTACCAACAGTGATCCATTCCTTGTGATGGTGCTTCTTTTGGCCCAGAACCTCTTGATATGTTGAAACGATTGCCTCCTTGATACCTTTCCAGTTGTTCTCCATGGTAGTTCCCTCTCCATTGAGTAGATCATGAAAGGCCTGGAACCTGTTGCTGAGGGCTATGTTGAATTTGTTGAGTTTGTCAGCATCTCGAAGAAAGGCCGTATTAAACTTTTGTGATGTTGTCCGCACCGTTGTCCACTGCTTCTTGAGTTTTAGTTTCATCTTGGAGACCAGCAAATGATGATCGGATGCTATATCAGCTCCTCTTCTGGTTCTCACATCCTCCATCGTCCTCGTGAACTTTTTGTTGATGCAGATATGGTCGATTTGATTCTGTGTAGTGTGATCCGGTGAAATCCAAGTGGCTTTGTGTATGTTTTTGTGTGGGAATATGGTGCCACCTATGACCAGTTTATTGAAGGCACATAGGTTTGCAAATCTCTCACCATCTTCGTTCCTTTCTCCCAGTCAGTCCATGTCGTTCCATGACGTCTTCGTATCCAGTGTTGTTCATTCCAACCTTGGCATTGAGATCTCCCATCAGAATTTTCAGGTCTTTGGTTGGGCACTTTTCGAAGATCGACTGCAACCTGTCGTAGAATTGGTCTTTAGCGTCTTCATAGTAGTCGTTGGTCGGCGCATAGCATTGGATGACGTTCATTGTAATGCCCTCTCTCTTTGTTTTGAAGGAGGCTTTGATGATCCTTGGTCCATGAGATTCCCATCCAATAAGGGCATTTTGTGCTTTTCTGAACAGCATCAGTGCCACTCCTTGTGTATGTGGGGCATTTTCTTCTTCATGACCGGAGTATAACAGAAGTTCTCCTGAAGAAAGTCGTTGTTGTCCAACGTGCGTCCAATGTGTTTTGCTGATTCCAAGAACCTCCAGGTTGTATTTTCTCATTTCTCCAGCGATTTGGAAGACTCTGCCGGTCTCCCACATTGTCCGGACATTCCATGTACCTATAAAAATAGTTGCTCTGTTTGTAAGAAGGTGCATCGGCCTCATGACTTCCGAATGAACTCGGCTTTCATCATGAGACGTCATAATTATTCCTTCTACTCCCAGGGCAGAGTTTGAATGATTTGAATGATTTTTTCTGGTTAGCGTTTTTTTAGCGAGTTGATTTTCTACGGGATGGGGTCGCTAACCCCATGCTCAACCCTCCTCCTTTACCCGGGCTTGGGACCGGGAGCAACCCCCAGAGGAACTACAGGCGGAGTTAAATAATATTCGTAGTCACATATAAATGAATATGCATTTTTTACACTAGACTTTTAGATACATTTGTTATGTAAGAGGAGAGTCACTTGACCCTTTCTTATAACGGTTAAAATTTAAATGTTTAAACCACTGAACCACAACACTATTATAGTATGGTATCTGATCAATGTAGAATATCATGTCCCATTCCTATAATATTGTACAACATCTTTGGACCAAAGGAATACATTTCGACTATTCTTGTAGTTATAATCTTTAAAACTTGTCAAACAACTTACATTCCTCTATTCATAATCTTGTTGTCGATCTCAGCAACCCTTATTTAGTAGGTTAATCACATTGAAGGATTAATTCCTTATTATAATCACTCGCCTCATTTCACCATACTTAGCATAGTACGCAAAGCGCTGATTTATTGACATAGGAGTGTGTGTAAGGTAGAAGAAAACTAGAGATGAACAAACCAAGAAATGTTATTAGTCCATCAAATCATGGACTCTTAAACAAAGCCGTATTGAAAAACGTAGACTACCTGGTTAAGATCCACCTAATGGCCAGGGTCAGCGGTTGGAGACTTTAAATGTTCTAGACGTTTGTTCTTTTTTATGATCATTGACACCATTATTATCCCAACTTTATTATTCATTTCGCTAGTTTTATCACGCCATCCTTATGTATTATGGTAATTTGGGCTGAGTTACATCTAGTCAGTCTGTACACTGATAACTGTTTTACAGTTTATGCTGATTACTGATATAATAACTTCCAAACGAAAAATAATTATGACTAGTTACAAATTTTAGTTATAGAATACTGCTTTATGAAAAGGACCAAATGTTTTAATGAATAGCAGAAATCAAGACAATTTTTTAAATCATTCGTAATGTACATCGTTACAATCTTAATTATGAAAGATGAGAAGTCCTGCTTTCCGTACGTAGACAGATTCTACTTAATTAAACGTTTTTATAATTTTTTTAATAGTTGAAATCATGAGTCACTTGAAGCTAGACCACCATGGAAAACCTGAATGCACTGGACGGTCGTTTCGTCCTATTGTGGGACTCCTCACAAGTGCGCATCCACGATCCCGCCTCACGAGCGAGATTCGAACCCAGTCTCACTAGTGACTGGCTCCATGCGGTAATTTCTAGAGTTCTAGTGATAAGTCGTGACCAGTGGAACTAATCCATGTCAGGTAGAGACAGGTATCCACCTCGGTACAATGGAAGTTGGTCGCGCAATTTCGTGGATTGGTTGGGGTTAGACATTAACACCGTTGGATGACGGCCGGTTCAGTGGTCTATCGGTCAAGTGCTCTAGCGCGAGACTGGTAAGTCCTGGATTCGAATCTCACAAGTGCGGAATCGTGGATGTGCACTGCTGAGAAGTCCCACAATTGAACGAAACGGTTGTCCAATGCTTCTAAGTTTTTCATGTTGGTATGGCTTCAATTGACTCATCATCTCATCTATAAAATCACAAAAATCTCCACAAAATCCCCTTCTAATAAACCTATTTAATTGTCTTTTCACATTTTCTCCAGCCTGCTTTCAAATGTTGCTTTATGTCAATTAAAAGTTGGATCTAATGATTATTGTGCACGAAATTGTTCACATGCTTTATATCTTCTTTCATATCAATTAGATTCTACCATATATTCATCAACTAATGATTATTATCATCAAGATATCATTAATACAGCATTATTTTCACAAGAAAAACTTCAATTCTATTGGGATAATTTTGAAATCACTTATCAAGATATCCATAAAGTATTATTTCGTCGTGCTCAATCTTATTTTAATCAAGGTAAAATGGATGAAGCTAAATATGATTTGGAATTATGCATTGAATTGATGAAAAGTCAATTATTAACATTACAAAGTAAAGATGATAAGGAGAAGACTATAGAAAGTAATAATAATAATAATGACCAGGAAAGGGAGGAAACGGATAGGGAAAGCAATAACCACTGTAAACAAATTAAAGCAGCTTTACAGGCTAGTGAAAACTTGTTAGTCAAAGTGAATGATCGTATGAAACGTGAACAAGCTGAATTACTCTCTCGTATTAGGAAGCGAACCCATGTAAATGAATGAAACGATTAATTTTATTATATGTTTTATAGTTTTTATTTATTTATTTATTCAGTGAATAATTATACTTCACATTTTATGAAAGTAACGATGTTCGTATCAGTTGTTTGGGAATTTACATCATAGATTCATTTAAAGCTTTACCTGGTGTTGTATCTTGTATCCGAGTGAATGCCTAGTTAATGTGTGACTTGATGAGACCGCCAATCAGGGAGCAGCGAATTATCGATTGGAACAGTGACACACAGAAACCGTACGAGCAGTCTAGAGTACTAACTGGTCCTGCTTCTGCCTAGCCCAGCCAGTTAAGTCCAATACACCAGTAACAGCCTCTGTGGTATAAATCATTATTCACAAACATACTGGATTTATATACCAACTAAACAGACCACATCCTACCGTAAAATAGAAAATAACATTTGTACAATATTTAGCCAAATGTGGCTGTGAATAGAGGGAAAGTAATCAATAAACTGATAATAACTCAAGAAGCATATAATAATAGGTGAAAGGTCAAAATAAGCTAATGATAAGAGGAACATGAATATGATTAGGTTAGTTACTTAACAATTATACAATAGAAAATATACATATTACATTGGTTCACAAATAGTCCTCAAAAGTTACCATTCACAATTCCTTTCGAGATACAACACCTGGGTTTTTCGAAACAATCAAATAAGCAGCACTTAAGGTTAGATACATACTTATTAGGTAGCAATGATGATATATCGATTGGTGAAGCAATGCAACTTCATTGGTTATAAGGTGGCTACGGCATACATTATATTTACTCGTCCTCTGCCTACCTCAAAATGTAATAATGACCAATTTGGTATCATTTTGGATAAAAGCTGAATACGGACAAACCAAAAGGTCCCGCCAGTTTATATTAAATAATTGACTGTTACTCTCAGGCCTGTTGGTTGATGGAAACTTTTTGTTTGAAATCCTTCAGATAACTAGTATCAGTAGTTGGAAACGCTTGTTGACATGGATTAGAGTTATTTGCCCGTAGTTTAGTTGAATTTACTCTATCTCCCCATAAATATTAAGTTTTAAAGCGAGTATATAATAATTTGTATTCCTTGTTTTTGAACTAAATTCTACATATTTAGTCTTGCTATAACTGATACTGCCGCTAGTTCCACTTCTTTGATACCCTGTTAATTTCATTGCTTTGTACTAGTTTGAGATGTGATAACTATAACCTAAACACATCTGTACCATATTCTACGTTGATTACGATGAACTGACTGATAGATTACGATCACTGGAAACAAAATAGTTGGAGGGGGAATTCCGACACTATCATCGAAAGTTGACTGGTTTAATCATCAAGCCATCACTTGATATTGTAATAATATGACCCTAGTAAATATAAGAAGTATCTTAATATAATAGTTAGTTTATTCATAATTTCTTCGTAAGTTCATTATTATTGAGATAAGAAATAAATATCATTTTTACTTCAAACCCTCGCTACCTACCTACCTGGCCATTTTTTTAAAAAAAATCTTAAAACCGAATACAACAGTTTGAAGTTCATTATAGTCTATTGTAAGCTTCTTATTTATTGATTCCGTTAAGCCAGGGAAAATATCAGATCTTGGAAGCTATTATCTAAGACCTCTGTGTATATGTATATAATAACATGTAATACCTTTATGTCTTCTTTGGTAGAAATAATCTCAATAGAAGATTTTACTGATTATTATTTTCCATCATTAGTTCGTTTATTTTTTTTTTTCATTCCCCCTTTCTTAAATATACACTTCATTGTCCAATTATTTGAACAATTCTTATTACGTAATCTTGTAATCCTTATTAACCTATATCCTATTATGTAACATCAATTCAAGCCTCTGTTATTCTTATCACATCTAGTACACCTGTCATCACACTATCAATTTTTACTCTTTACTTATGATGTTTAGTTATGTAATCTATTCCACTGTTATCATTGTCTCATAAACTGCCTTGATTGCGTTAATAGTTTCGTATATGCATATAAATATTACTGTATATATTTGTGTAAAGCCTGATGAAGATGTAATTGAAAACAATATTGTTCACTTATATATGTGTTGTTCTACTTTACTATAGTTAGGCTATGATATATATTTTCATAGTTGAAATCATGAGTCAATTGAAGCTAGGTAACCATGTAAAACCTGGAAGCATTGTTTGACAGCCGTTTCGTCCTATTGTGAGACTTCTCAGCACTGCGCATCCACGATTCCGCAGTTGCGAGATTCGAACCCAGGATCTACCAGTCTCGCGCCAGAGCAATTAGCCGGCCGTCATCCAACGGTGTTAATTTCTAATTTCAACCAGTCCGCGAAGTTGAGCAACTGTTTATCAATTGTCTTCAGTGAGTTGATATCTAACAACAGATGTGGTTCAACTCCACTGGTCATTGCTTCCCACTAGAATTGAATTGAAATTTTCCACCACTGCAATATCTTTTGCCATCTTTCAATTATAATAAATTAATCTGAAACCAGTCACTGAGTTACATACTATTAATATCGTAGTTTTATACTTATTGTAACCTATTATTTATGGTGAGCCATAATCTTATTGTACTTAATGCAAATAATCATATAAGTTTGAATCATACAATTTAGTACCGGGGTACTTATTCAATGTTCCTGAGATTTTGATTGATAGTTTAGAGAAATGGTTTACATTGTCACGTAGTCTATCAATTGTTTCAGTGTATACAATGAACAAGTTTAGAGGATATGTAGTAAGTTGGGGGGGATAATAAAAGAGTATATCATCACATATTCTCCTATTAAAATCATTTACAAACTGAATCATTATGTTTAGATTGATGAATGGGTTCATGTTAGACCACCATTGAAAACCTGGAAGTACTGGATGGCCGTTTCGTCCTGGCATGGGACTCCTCAGCAGTGCGCATCCACGATCTCATACGCGGGAATCGAACCCGTGACCTTCGGTCTCGCGCGCGAACGCTTAACTTCTAGACGAAACGGCTGTCCAGTGCTTCCAGGTTTTCAATGGTGGTCTAAAATTGGTCCATTCATAATATCAATCTAAACTGGACAATCTCCACAACCCTATACCAATAAATCAATATGTGTTATCACTATTTCAGAATAATCGCCTTTCAATACATAATATTACTTTTCACTAGTACCCAAAACACTTTTCTTCAAAGTAGTCAATAATGAAATAAGAGCAAGCAGATATTAGTTTGAATCAATTTCTTTAAAAAAAACCAAACGTCAGCTCAAATATATGAAAAAGATTGTTAGGACAACTGTTTTATTATAACTGTTCAATCAATTCTGTTCAGATGTAAAGAAAAGTTTTACGCTTTTCTTAGGATATATCTTCTTGCATACTAGTATCATGTGGATGACGGATTCAGTGGCAATAACGAAAATGCTACTATACTGCTGGTAGTAATAACGACAGCTGTATATAGCTGTTGACATTTGCTTTTATGGGATAAATTCATAATAAGGTTAAATCATGAAATAGTACATTTGTAGTAATAAGGAATTTCTGTTCCGGATTTGATTGACTGTCGTCTATACATGCATAACCTTGACACTAAAATGAAGATACAGTTTAAACGAAAATTGAATATTTTGTATAAGAATTCCAACAACAAAAAATTGTTTACTTTGATGAACATTAATTCCTTATCTAGAGCCAAGTTTGCACTGTGTAGGGCTGTGAAGAATTCAAACTAAAAAGTGGTATATGAAATATTTCCAGTTGATGAGTCTGAAATAGGACGGAATAGGAGTTATGCATTCTACTGTTAGCCACTACTGTGATTTTAATTGAAAACTTGTAACAACACAGGATGTGTATATGCTGACAAAGACTGATTAATTGCATTTCATGGCATGGTGCACATGGGCTCCAGTATCCTGAGGGAACAAATGGCGTATGAATCAATCGTTGGTCACAGGCTGCCGCGAGACTGCATTTCCTCACGATGCTCCACTACCTTGTGAATCAGACCTTCAAGTCAAAGGCTCTGGTTGTGGCCCCCTAAGAAAGCCACCTGTTTCAGTTTGGGCACCTGAGCAGTTTCACAGGCCTCACACAAATCGAATGAGATTTGTGTGGCGCATATGTATCTGGTGCTTCCTTGTACCCATATTTATGTGTTTAAATAAAATAAAAAAATAAATTTCATGACATCGACAGCAGGGAGATATAGCCGTAAGTGAAGTTCATGCTCGTTGCATAAGAAAGTGGATATCTGAACTCAAACGATGGTGCGTTTTAAGCGAAAGGTACTGCATTCGAGTTGCGGTATGGACATCAAACACTGGGATTTAGATAAATCCACCTGACTAGTCTCAAATAAGAGGAAATACGCGTCTTGTATTGAACTGTTAGCCAGTATTCCGACTTTAATTGAATTCCTACGTTAATTTATCACTTATTTTTGCTTTAAATACTAATTCACTCGTTTCTCTGCATTATATGAGAGGATTTTGTTTTGTTTGGAGTATTCCTTGGTATTATATTGTGGTTGGTCACTTTATATTATAAGTTGATGATTAAATGTAAAGTAACTGTTAAAACAGCATTTGTTATGGATTCGCCTCAGCTGGGTACTGCTGATAAACAAGAGTACAGACAGACGTTGGATTTCCCATCCGTGCAGATTCATAACTCCTTTAAAGCTAATAATATGCTCACCAATGACTTACTTCAAGATGAGTTCCAGAAATACTAGCAAGGGGTGGCAGAGTTAAGCTCTGTCGAAAGTAAGTCGGTTGTCACCAATGGAAGTGAAGTATCTTCAATTTTGGGACATACACTACCTTTCATAGTTGAAAGCATACTATACTACCGACAAATTTATGAAATTTCCAATGAATTCCTCTATCAAAAATCTTGATAACTGAAAAGTACGCTGACAAGAATCCAAGCAGCATCGTACTAGGGTTTCCACTCTGTTGTGTTTGTTTATCTGAAGAGTTATTTAAAAAAATGGGCGCTAGAAATATAAAAGATTACAAATCACTATTCCATATGGAAGAAATTTATGTGTACTACTACTAATAATAGTAGTAATCTTACTTTATATCCAATAGTTCCACGTTTATAAACTTTATGCACTGCAATAATACGATTTTGTGGATCGTATAAACTACCTTTTCTAGCATAATAAATGTTAATTGTTTGACCTATAATGATATTTTGACATGACCTGGAAAAAAATAAGGAAATAAAGACTTATTTTAAAGAAAAGAAAGGTATAAGTCAAGTGTCTAGTACAATTTGATACTATTAAAATAACTAGATTACAGGGTTGTTCGTGTTGGTTAACGCATCATTAGTTTAGCACAGTGACAAGGTTATGAAAGTCGGTGTTTTGATTGGCGATTCTGTCATGTGATAATTGACAATGGCATATGTCATGACAATGTTACAGTCATGATTTGAATTTTCCTTCTGGATCTGATAGTGTGAAGTTAGAAAATTAGCTATCAAGGTGGTCGGTATCAAGGCGATTCGGATGTAAATTCAAGTCTTTCTAGTTTTTTTTTTTAGTCCAAATGTATTATATCTGTATAATGGAATACAGTCTCATGTGAGATGACAGTTTTCTTAGTTAACATTAATTCATTCTTTCTAAGTACTTCATTTTAGGACGGAAACAATCCTCAAGTGATACTAAGTCAGATTACGAAATTTTGATTACTATTTTTTTGTGGAATTTGTCGTAATAAGAATTACACTCGTACGTGGTCGACTGTATAGTTTCGAGTTTCTGATTCTTTGGATTGCCTTCCGTGTAATCATTTGGCATTTAGTCAGATTATAGTTTGAAAACAAAATCACTGTTAGTAGGTATCGATACCAAGGTTGGACTTGTTAGTTTCAAATAAATCAAGCATTGTATAGGAAGTTAATAATAAGTATATATTTTGTGATATCCCAGTGGGTAAAAAAATTGTATTTCTGACGTGTCGTTATTTAAGTCACATCACTGTACTCTGGAGAATTGACTTATATTGTGATACGTCAGAAATACAATTTTCTTCCCATTGGGATATTACAAATACATATTTATTATTAGAGTGACTGTTAGTTATGGTTGATGGATGACTCCCACCCGGTGCTGTTGATTTTGTTTAGTAGAACATAGAAAACTCGAAGACTAAAACATTCAGCTTGGTAAAAGGAAACCCTACCAATACAGTGATTAATGTCATGTTCATCTAGTTATTTACTACTGACCAAATTCTTATCAATCAAATTGCAATGCGGCTACCGATCTAAGTGACTGGCCATCGCATGTACTATGTTCAGATGTTATTAAGTGGTGGCTACCCGAATGACCCTATGGTAACATTTCAGTTCATAAAGCTAGTTGATGCAGGTTTGAATCCCATAGAAGGCATCAGTTCTATCAAGACCGCGGTTACTCTTTGTTGACGAGCCCCATCTAGCACGAAACCTAGATTCAGCCCCCTCCCCGACTAGTTCACATAATCTAATATGCTACACTTTTCTTATTTCCTTGAATGGAGAAAAAGCAACAAAATTCATAAAATGAAAATCAAAGAAACAAACTATATCAATAGCAACAAAATAAACTAAAGTGGGATAATATAATTTGAAAATAACTGACGAAATCCAAGAATATGAGGTATGCGATAATATTAAAACCTCGTACAACAATTTAACAAATGAATGCACTGGCGCTAATGTGATCGATTTTAAGCCATGTAGTTTAAAGTCTTCAAATACTTGAATAGAATGGGTTTTAATGAGTTGATTTTAATTCGTTGACACAAATCAAACTAGAAGCCACTGACACTACAGGTTAGTGCTATGTCCTGGCTTGATAGTCCGTAGCATTTTTTTCCAGTCTACTACCATGACATACATTAAGGAAATCACCAATGTGCATGACAAGGCAATCCCTAACTTGGAATCCGGAAGGGAAGCGAAAAAGAGGAAGGCCAAAGAACACATTACGCCGGGAAATAGAAGCAGATATGAAAAGGATGAATAACAACTAGAAAGAAAGGCTCAGGACAGAGTGTGATGGAGAATGCTGGTGAGCGGCCTATGCTCCTCGATAAGGGGTAACAGGCGTAAGTAAGTAAACTGCCATGACTTCATATAAGAGTAAACGGAGGTTGTATATTTGTAACACGTCCTATCATCAGTAGTAATGGTAGTTGTTATTGAGACAAATAAATTCATTCTGGAAAGGCAGAGAGAAAGCGTTATTTTGTCTTCAGAAAATAAAAGTTTTTTTTCATTTACCAAGATTTTGTTCCATTAGAAAAAACAGTGTTATTTTGTTTTTCATTGAATATATCCACTTTAATCCAATCTGTTATGCGTTTATTGTCTGCATTGCCCCAGATACCAACATGAGTAATAGGTGGTTTTAATGACATACTAATGACTTGTTCCAGTTCATTACAATTTGTATAATTATTTTCTCGCAATGGCTTTAGTCTACAAAAGGAATGCCAAGGTAAAGCAGAGAAGTTATTTTTTTTAAAGAATTATGTGGTTGTTAAATATCAATAAAATAATTAATTAAAACCTATTGTCACAAGTTATGCAACGAACTAATTGTTAAATAGTTGGACATGATCGTTAGTGAAGTCATTGATGATTTGATTGGGTTGTCTTGGTGGGTTCAAAGTACCTTGGTTGGTGTCCACATGATCATCGGAACCGATGGTTGGAGATGTTGAGTGACATAGTTCAGGATCGGCTGCAATGGCTCACTCTTTGTCTTTCCTTTGATTTTACCCCTCGTACGGCCGAGAGTGGGGGCCGCCCTCTCCCTCGAAATGCTCTCACACGGCCACGCCTCTGCCAGAGAAGTCCTACTCACTGCCTTCTCGTGGCATTACTGTTGTTTACGAAATTGAGAGGACGAAAAGCGAATGTCCGGCGCTTTAACCGGGATGGTGGACACGGAACGTTCACTTAGGGGAGTTGGAAAACCCTGATTCCAAACCAATGGTGCACATTTGCTCCAGTATCCTAATGGAACGAATGGCGTATGAATCAATCGTTGGTCAACGGCTACCATGGGACTGCACCTCCTCACGATGCTCCACTGCCTTGTGGATCAGATCTTCAGGTCGATGGCTCTGGGTGTGGTCCCTTAAGAAAACCATCTGCTTCAGTTTGGGCACCTGAGCAGTATCACAGCCCTCACACAAATCGAATGAGATTTGTGAGGCGCATATATATCTGGTGCTTCCTTGTACCAATATTTATGTGTCTAAACAAATAAATTAATTAAACCTTTGATTTCAACCATCAAATTATCATTTTTTTAAAAATTCATTCTTTCTTGAATCGTCTATGTCAAACCTTTCCCGCTACCACTGATATCACAACTACTACTATGGGATCTGTCTGTAATTTCATATCACTGCACTGATATGGTAAGAGAACTTGAACAAGTATAGGTGTTCCAGACTCTACGTTTAACCGATTGATAGTCAACTCGAAGATCACATTTAAACGATGTGTTTACTGGGTTGAATAGTTAGATTCCAAATCTTTGGTTGTTTCTAATTTCCTACCCACCGGGACTTGACAAATATATTTCTCTTATGATTAGTCTACTCAGTGCTTATTTATTATTATGAAGTTAAACCTTAGTCATGATACAATTTTACTGTTTCTGTTTTCAAAACAAGCTTGGAATTCCTTAGCAAATGTTAAGTCAACAGGGAATTTTATTGGCTGTTATCAATAATTCCTTCAGCATTTCTGGCTACTGAAAATAACTTTTAGAAAGTCCTGGTTCTAGTGTTTTTTGTCAGCTGACATTGATCGATAAGGCATATTTGCATTGGTCAGGTATATATTCTGATATCTGGTTTAAATTCAGTAACTCGAACCAGATTTTTGAGTTTGTAAATGCTATCACCGTAGTAATAAAAATGAGTGATATTTGTGATTGCTAGAGGATTAGATAATTTACTTATTTCAATCTACATTGAAGATAAGTCTTAGATAACCGTCTAGAACCGGGAAGGACTAGACAGCTTTTTCATTTTTGTATGAGACTCCTTAACAATGCGTATCCATGGTACCACAAGAGATCGAACGTCAGACCATTGGAACAGCATCAATTGGTTAATTTTCCAATTCTCCATGTCACTTAAATGTCTTTCACTGTCGAATACTTATTTTTCACTTTAGTTTCATTAAACTGCTCATCTGAGTGATACATAAATAGACTAAAGTGTTCTGGTGAGATTGTAATCCTGTTTAGATTAACAATTTAAATAGCTCATTATTTACGTGTTTATAGACAGTATTCACAGCTTTTGTAGTAGAAATGATATTGTTTTGGTGGATAGCAAGTTACAAGAAATTAAAAGATTACATCCAAGCTTTATGTGGTTACCTCATGGTAGTTGATGAGCTAACTATTTAATCAATAAAAAATGATGTATGGTGAAGAAGATTTGTAGCTCAGGTGGATGATTTTGATGGAGTGTTGTTCTCTGAGCTGGATGGTTTGATCATGGAGCTTTCATCATGATTCTGAACGACGTCATCAATACAAACTTCAGGTAGGAGTGAAGTGTTCAAATTTCTTAACATAAAGCTTACAGCTTGTCTTGTAGACCTCCATGTTGATTGGTTATTATTGATCTTTAACCTGTCATTGGTTACTCCTTTGTTTTGGTTGTATCTCCCATTGGTTTGGTTTTTGTACAAGACAAGCTATGAACCACATGTGTAGAAATTCAAACACTTCATTTCTATCCGAAGTTTGTGCTGATGATGTCGTTCAGAATCGTGATGAAAGCTCCACGACCAAACCATCCAGCTCAGAAAACAAAACTCCAACAACAAAAAAAGAAATAATGTATTTTCAATGAACAAAATATTATGTCAGTTATCAGCTTTAGAAAAATGATAAAGCCTCAATAGAAACAATGCAACTATGATAAGAAATGGTGAGCAAAGATGGATAGTGACTAACAGTGGAATCCAGGACGCGCGTTTCGTCCTATTTCAGACTCGTCGGCTGGATGTACCTGCATCTCAGAGTTGATATTCACTCTGGGACTCGAACTCAGTACCTTTCGCTTCAAACGCATCGCGTTATCCACTCGGTCACTTAGTCCTAATAGCCACTTGCTTGTGCAATGGGGTGAAGTTTAAATTTACTTAGTATTGTTTGTTTGGATCTTCCCATTGACTGCAACTGTTCAGTCTCTAATTGGCATATGTGCATCAATGGGAAGATTCAAACAAACAATATTAAGTAAATATGATAAGAAATGTCAAATTTAAAGAAAAACATCACCTTAATACACAAGAACTGAAAGTGTTTTGTCCAAATAATATTGTTTTACTTTGACTAGTATACTTTGTACAATCACCAATATTAGGAATAGGCCACCAACCAAAATTCATTCGACCATATTCATTTGGATATATTATAGGATTTAATGGGTATGGTATCATTGTTATATATGAATTAGTAGCATTAGAATCTTCTTTATAACCAGCTCGAATAGGATAACTTTTTAGGTAGCCTGGATTTCCGCTTAGATAGTCAGTAGCTATTAATGTACTTATGTTGGATAAATTGTTTTCCTGAATATGAGAACAAGGTAAATATAGAAAGATAATCTATCAGTTGGCATTTTTTGTATACTACTAATAAAAAAAAATACAAGACTTAATACTTTGAATATCTCAATAAGAATCCTTTACTCTTAACTATTAATTGACGTTTGCTGGTCAAATTATAGAAGTGTAAGTTATAAGTTGGTAGATATGAATATTCATGTAAGATGTTTGCGGAGGTTGTTGAACTTTATAATTTACATGACAATCAAGAAGCACCGAATAGATGTTTCGTCTTAATATGAGACTATTCGACAGCGCGTATCCAAAACCCCACTAAAGATCAAAACAAGGACCTTTGAGTTAGTGATGAACACTTAACCTTTAGACAACTTATAATTATTTAACTATCAAAGTTAACTACTCATTAAAGGAGGGAACTTATTTCATCTCCATTAGCAACCGTGATGAAATCTGCTCTTCTACACTCTGTGAAAACAAGCTTTGACTACAGTCAGTGTACCTCACGTTTCTCTTTCTATGATAGCAGAAACTCAACACTTGGGTCAGCCAATTATAAATCTGACATAATAAGGCTTAACAATAACAAACTAATGTATACTAGTTTATATTATTCACTAATTTATGATGGTGTGATATTATTCCCACTAGTATTAATAAAAATGATAATAGTATTATTATATAGTTCAGATCATGAGTCAATTGAAGCTAGACCATCATGAAAAACCTGAAAGCAATGGACGGCCGTTTCATCCTATTGTGGAACTCCTCAGCAGTGCGTATCCACCATCCCGCGTCGCGAGATTCGAACCCAGGACCTATTAGTCTCGCGCACTAGTAATTAACCAATAAACCACTGAGTCGGCATCCAACGGTGTTAGTGTCTAACTTCAACCAATCCACGAAATTGAGCAACCGTTTCACCAATATCTTCAGTGAGTTGATATCTCCAGGTTTTCCATGGTGATCTAGCTTCAATTGACTCATGATCTCGACTATATAAAATTACTAAAATCTCCATAAAACACCCTTCTGATGATAATAGTATTCGTTTAATTATTAAAAAATGATGGTTGCCGAGTCTCTGAAGATTTCAGATGACTAATGTTATATATTGTTGATTTATGTATCTACTGTAACATACTGGTATTAAAGTATCGTTTAGTTGAGTAATTTTACCCATATCATTTTAACTCGAGATTACTTTTCTTTGGTTTATTTTAGAGAACATTTGTAGCTCAGAAAGATGACGATAAGACATTGATTTCTAAGCTGAGTAGTTTAGTTTTGAAGCCTTCGTTCACCAATTATTTTTTTACGTGAACAAAATAAGCTGTTAGTCATGTATGAAGAAATTCGAATAGGCCGTTCCTTTGAGAAGTTTGTGCCGATAATGTTGTTTAGAAATAAAATGAAAGCCTGTTGATTCAACCGTTCAGCTCTGTGAACGAAACTCTACCGAAATGGTTTTTTCAACAAACTAACGTTAACTGGAAATTTGTTTTTAAAAAAAGGAGCTTTGAAGATTTATTTCGCCTTAGCCTGAAGACATTCAGCCACTTGAAGTCATAACATCGACAATAATAAAACAGCTGTTCAGCGATTTTTTTTAAATTTTAGATGTTTCTCCAACTAATGTCAATTCATTAGAAAGCTCATCTCCAAATTACACCAAACTGGAAACCTATCGTTGGTAATCAGGTCACCTATTTTTATCCCAAAAAGCAGAGTTTACATCTTCATAATTTACATTTCATTGTTTCATCTAACAAATCTTATCTGATTTTTTAACATCAAAATATGCGTGAAATACAAGGTTGTTTGCTAAAGTATTAAACTTTGGACCATTCTAAGCAAAGATGGATAGTGGATAGCAGTGAAATCCAGGACGCGCGTTTCGTCCTATTTGGGACTCGTCAGCTGGATGTACCTGCATCTCAGAGTTGATGTTCACTCTGGGACTCAAATCCAGTACCCTCGCTTCAAACGCCATCGCGTTATCCACTCGGCCACTGAGTCCTGATAGCCACTTGCTTGTGCAATGGGATGAAGTTTAAATTCATTTAGTATTGTTTGTTTGAATCTTCCCATCGATGTGTTAGGACTTCAACTGGTCAGTCTCTAATTGACATATGTGCATACTGTGCGTATTGCCTCGATATAGCCTTAGTTCACAAGCATGATAAGCAGGTTCAAACAAACAATACTAAGTTGAATTTAAACTTCACCCCATCACACAAGCAAGTGGCTATCAGGACTCAGTGGCCGAGTGGATAACGCGATGGCGTTTGAAGCGAGGGTACTGGATTTGAGTCCCAGAGTGAACATCAACTCTGAGATGCAAGTACATTCAGCTGACGAGTCCCAAATAGGACGAAACGCGCGTCCTGGATTCCACTGTTAGCCACTTTCCATCTTTGCTTATCATGCTTGTGAATCAAGGCTATATCGAGGCAATACGCACAGTATGCACATATGCCAATTAAAGACTGACCAGTTGCAGACCTAACACATCGATGGGAAGATTCAAACAAACAATACTAAGTGAATTTGGACCATTCATTTAGATATTCAGTTACCAATCTACACTACTCTAATTTTGGAGGTCCAAGTAGTATCATTACCCTTAACTAAAATGTCTGGCTTACAAACCGAACACAAATTTATATTTAATTACATCAAAATCAATGTAGACATAAAGACAGTTTGACTCAGAGATTGAAGTGATTTCATTTGAACTTCAGTTGTCCGGTACTGTACATGTTTTTCATAGGAACAAAAAGTATTCACAATAAAGTAAAAAACTGAATTTTCCAGACAAACCGATTCCCTTAGGAGTAAGTGATATATTATTTTTCGCAACGTTTCATATTGATATATCATATCTAACTGATATAACTAGAAGAAATAATTGACTATTTGTCTACGCGTAACTATGAGTTCGCGAAAATCAGTATCTGCATACGCTAACGATCGACAGTTCACGAAGAATTTCCACCCCTCTTCAATCTACTATTTAAAATCCTAGAATGTCCGGCCAGTTTTCTTGTACTATTCTACATTCCTCGGTAAATAATTTCCTTAATTTCAGATTTTCACTTATTCGCCTCATTACCAATGGTTCTATTTCCTGAAATTTATCACCTCCATATCTGGAGATGAATTCTATGAATAAATTATCAGTTCAGCTAACTAATGTTTATAAAAATTAAGCATGATTGTAAGTTATTCAATATATAATCGATCTCAATGAGTATTCAAACACCTCTTGATTAATGAGGGGGGATACTTGAAAAATACTCTGGAATCTTTTGATGTAAGAACTATAAACATACTAACGTTTTTTTTCTTATTGCGATTCCCACTTTCATCTAGCCTTGTTATTTGGGATATAATCACGTTCCTGTTCAACCGTGTTCTGATTTCAGTCAGTCAGTTACAACGTAGAACTTCGTACGTACGTACATCAGTTCGAGTTGCCATACCACATTAACACAAAGATGCAGTTGTCCATTCAAATCCTGTAGTGGTAGAGGTAGTAAGAGTATAAGCACTAATCCTAAAGATTAGGGTTTGAAGATGTTATTGAAGGAGTATAATCCAGTGAAATAAATTTGGGAAGAGAAAAAAAGATAGGGACATCAAGAATTCAGAAGATTAGAATTTGGGAGAATACAAAGAATGGATGCACCTACGCCATTGCAAACGATTTTGAGCTATGTCATTTAAGGTCTCTAACCATCGATTGATTTGGTGAAGTAGTGTTCAGGAATACTAAACAATAGGAGCAGATGGGTCGTAATAAGAGACATTAAAACAGACAGAAATCCTGATTAATAAATGGTAACTTAATGATAATCAAATGACACCTATTCACCATACTAATCTATTAGTGCAAAAAATGAAGTGTTGTCAAAAAAACTGGACATTAAAATAAGCAGTTTCCTTAAAATTTAAAATGAGATACATAAGAGTAAACATGATAAAATGTCCTTTAAAGGATAATTGATAGAATGATATCGTCTTAATAAGTCGCTTACCAATGAATGATATTTAGACTTGACTAAAAGGCACAATTATTACCTACTGTCAGTCAGATAGTATTTTTAATTGTAATTATTGTTAACGCTCAAGCAGAACATTCTTCGGAACTTACTTCAATAAATTGTGCTGTATGAAACTGATCAAACTTTGTAGTTGTGACGTTTGCAATGATAAATTCAACTGAAATGTTTGTTATACCATTTTCATTATAAATAATACTGAACTTCACCTTGATTCAGAAAACAAAATAGCAGAGAAATAAAAATTGCGCTTTAAATTTACACCACTACACATAATTTATACAAATATATCGGCAATATCAAGCTATTATAGATGAGGATTGTCGTACATTCGAAAAGTATCATGTTACAATGAAACAGCTATCCAGTGTTTCCTGGTTCTCAAACTAAAATCAATCTGTGGAATAAACTATGGAAGTCTAAAAATACCCCCCAAACCTCCGCACACTATATAATATATAATCTAGGATGACCACTTCATTTTGTTATCATAACGCAACCACTCAGCGATGGTGAACATCTTGTCCAGTTCAAATGGCTAGTCAAATCTATCGGACATGACATAATTTAGTGACTGGATGTGATTATGCATTGAGTTGTTTATTTTGATGAAATGAAGGTAAGAAGCTCTATAAACCAACACTGTTCAGTAAGAGATATCTAAAACATTAGGGATGTCCAGTTCGCAATGAAATCTGTCTAGTATCCATAGTGCAACTCACTAGATGAGAATTCGTCAGTACCAAGATCTAGATGATACGATACTGACTGCTATCCAGAGATAACTTAGCTTGCCCTCTAGGAGGCTCATCGTAGCGAAATTATACAAATTTTAGTATCACTGACTGTAACTCTGAATGATACATAGTAAAAACCAATATGATACATCTATCTTTAAACATGTTCCCAGGTAGTAAGTGCCAATTAGCACAAATCGACTTAAATACAGGATTTCCTGCCGATTCTATTCAACGAAATGACAGGTAGTCAATCAGAAACACTCATGATATAGAATGCTATTGAACAACAAGAGTAAGTGATACATCACCTATTACTTTAACACATATCAATCGTTCAATAACCAAGATTTATTCAGAATATAGAAATTTCTATAGGAAGTTTTAGCTTTGTGTAATCAGCAAGTCATTTTCGACTCTAAAGTATATGTTGTTTGTGATAAACAATGATGAAAAGCAAATTCACACCATGATTTTTAACTTACTCCCATGACTGCATTCATACACGCTTGTTTCGTTGAATCGAGTAAAGATGGAGATGTTGGACATGATATGACGTCATCGTTTAAGTTCTTACAAATAAATAAACCAATCGAAACCGTATTATTACTAGCCATAATTTCTTCCAAACGAATACTCTTGTTTTGAAAAAGTTTTGATATCGGTAGTCGCAAAAACTTTAATCCATCCGTGTACGTTAAGACACTTGGCAGTTGTGTACAACTTGAACCATTATCTTTAAAATTCAACGTGCGTGTGCACTTGGTTGTTATGTTGTTTAGAAATTCTAAAATAAAATTTTTAATAGTCATAATTCAAAATATTTTTCATCATTCAGAAAGTTTCGGTCAGTTAATTGGTTTTAAACAGGTATGCATTAGCTTCAGTTGACACAACTTACATCTGAAAAACAGAAGATGCAAAGTTGTAGTGCAGAAATAATTTTGATATTAATGATGGCCTAAACATGTAGGAGATAGCTTGGAAAGTTCGAATGAATTCTAGAAATGAAACGTTCGGGAAGTCAAGCTGAACTCAGTAATCGGGAGACTATGTACTATGACCCGTTGAATATCACATCGCGAAACTGCCAATCAGAATACCGACTCATATAACGTTGTCCCTTTGCTAAACCAGTGGTGCTTTAACCAGCACCAGCGGCCTATATTCAGTGCTGAGTCCTTATTGATCCTCTGTATAGCAACTTTTCAACCAGCATAGCCAGTCCAGTTCAAAACACAATATCAGCCTGCGCCGTGTAAATCATATATTACAGACATACGTAGCTTATATGCAAGCAGTCCAGACTGTATGCACCATAAAGTGCAAAATAATAATTATGCAGGATCAAGACAAAAGTTGCTCTGAGTACTGAAGATTGTAAATAATAGATTGGGAATAAATTAAGAATGATAAGTCGTATAACGGTAACGAGTGAGTCAAGTGAAAGCATATGATAAAGAGGATTGCGGACATATAAATAATCTGGTTACTCAGTAATTATCCAACAATTATTTATGTAATAATAGTCCATAAATAATCCTTAGCAGTTACCACTCATTCGCTCTTCGTTTGGATATAAAAGGTCATTCGTTATTGAATCAAACTGTATAAGGAACACCATCTTTTCATTGATTGGTTCCAACAAACCACATCAACGCTAAAAATGAATCAGTGACCAAATACTCAGAAGTACATGGTGTTTGGAATAATATTACAAGATAGGTCAATAATAGTGTAACTGGGTAAACATCACTATGAATTTTTGATGTTTGTATCTGAGTAATTTATGTAAGTAATATATTTTCTTAATTAGTAATTCTTCTGAGAAAACCGTCAGGTCCTGATTTCACTAATGGAACACAGTTAATGAGGACTAATCCTTCAGTCTGGGAAGCATGTAGATAAATTTTTATTTTTCCTTAAATTTTCTTACAGATTAAGTGACGGTCTTACATGTCCATGCAAATAACTGGCAAAAGCTGATAACACTGATAATGGAAGTTAAAAATTTATAAGTTTTTCTCTCTAGATGATAATTTTTCAGTCACTGGTACTTCGAGGATAGGAATCGTCAATTATTTTCACACAGGAAAAACGGAGTCAAGCTAGAAAAATCATATCCCGTTAGGTGGTCTTATGGGTTTAATTCCAAACGTCAGAGGGATTATAAATGACAAAAATAACTTTTTGAATATAAATAGTGTTATTCCAAGGATCCTATCGGATATGAGTCATGCAGAACCGGGCAAAATCCATATCCCTAATCAGAATTTCGAAACACGGGTTGAAGAAACCTCTAGAAATGTATTAGGGTAAGGAATAAACTAACATAAGAGCTAACACTGGGTAACTACAGTAATTGAGACTTTCAGATTAGGAAAGCACGGATGAGCTTACGTCGTTTCAGTGGTTAAAAAAGGAAAGTTAAAAAGGACTTACTTGGTGAAAAATCTACGCGACATCCTAAACCACTAGGGAGTGTGAAACGTCCAAGAATCCTGTTTCTATAGAATAAGCACAGATAATCTTCCGACTATAAGAAAACAGTAGCTAAATATATTATGAACTTAATACTTTACACAATCGTTTATCAAATTTAAGTTAGTTATTGAAATAGAATTCATCCAAAACTGTCCGGAACCGCGACTTAACTGCAGGTAGTTTTCTCTCAAATCTTGCAATTATATTTTACTGCAATTCTTACAGTTTGTGTCGGAAAAACATATATTTTCACCGTCCTGACTCCTAGAAAATGCTGCATTTGATAGGAAATGAAGTCCCTTTGGAATGCACCATCTCGAACCATAAGAACCCCTAAAAAGTTAAGTTGGAATGTTAAATACCTCTCTAAAGAGATGTAGGAGGAAAACGAGTTATTTTCGCCACTAAAGCAGTCTGTGTCACACTGACAGAACTTGTCACAAACCGACGGCCTGATATCACACAAGCATATTCTATCTTTGAACATAATGAAACTTTACAAGTGGTTAGTACCGTTAAAAATGGGTCGAATAAAATGTGTTATGAAGAAGACCAGTAATAAGACTGGGGATTGAATCATGACGGTTGAATGTTAGACTAGCAACGACCTTAAGGTTAGAATGAATAAACATGACCGATAGTTATAATGCACTCTTCGGGAAATAGAAGATACATTGATTATTGCCTGTCAAATGAGGTATTATAAGTGTGGGAGCTATGTCGTTTGATTATACTTAAGAGACTCGACGTTGATATGATTTCCTTTTAAATACGCTGATTTTAGACGATCGATACTGATACTATTGTTAGTTCCGTTCTTATAGACTATATAGTAATTAGGTTCGCACTAAAAAACTTGGAGTGGTCCTTCGTTTGCTGATTCGAGAAGTCGTCGACGTGGGTCTTGACGTACGAAGACACGTGTACTATATCCACGTTCATTGGAGGAAATGAAGGATCCGCGTATTCTCCTGAAAGTCGAAGTGTCGTTCCATAAACAAGTTGAGCTGCAGTGTATCCAGTGTCAGCTTCCACTGCATTGCGGATACGTAGTAAGATGAGTGGAAAGGCGTCGGTCCACTGTGAAACGTTTGCACCTGATAGCGAAGGTTTTAGTTGTCATTGAAAGCGTTTCACCAATCTGTTTGCTTGTTAGTGGTAAGCGGTTGTTCGTAAGCTAGTGATTCCTAGTAGTGTGGTCAAACAGTGAAAAATTTCAGATTCGAGCTGTCGTCTGTGGTCTGCAATGTTAGTTGAATCGCAGCCGAATTTCGCTACCCATCGTTCGACGAGTGCGTGGACCATTGTTTCAGCAGTAATGTCCTTGATGAACTTGATGTGCTTCAGGCCATCGTGTGAAACGGTCTACTCACTTAAGAAATAAGAGAATCCATTGGAATCTGGTAAAAGTCCTACCAAACCCAGATAAACATGGTCGAAACGAGCATCATTAGTTTTGAACTAGCCTAAGGGACATTTGTTGTGCCTAATGACCTTGGATTTCTGGCAGCTTACTCAGTAGCGTGTCCAGTCGATTACGTCTTTATTCATACCAGGACAACAAAAACGTTCTGCTCTAAGCTTGATGGATGCACACACACCCGGGTGAGTAAGTTTGTGCAACACATTGAAGACCTTCCATCGATAATGGTTACTCACGTTTGGACGATCTCTAAGTGTAGATGTGTGGCATAATATGGTTTCCTTACCTGTTCCCATCTGTATAATGCGCAGTCTAAAGGTTGTTCAGGATAACTGATGCTGTAGATCAATGTCTTCTTTTTGAAGCTGGGCGAGTTTAAGCAGGTCGATTCCTTGGAAGCTGTTCAAAGAATTCATACGAGACAGGGCGTCTGCAACTACATGGTTTGCTCTAGAAATGTGTTGTATATCTGAAGTAAAATGCGAAATGTAGTCCAGTTGTCGAGACTCACGAGGTGAGTACTTGTCTGAAGATGAGTTTAAAGAGAAAGTAAGGGTTTTATGATCAGTGAAAGGGTGAATTCTCCGCCTTCAGTGGAGTGTTGAAAATGTCGTACAGCACAATACATAACTAGGAATTCCCTATCGAAAATGCTGTACCTCGATTCAGTGTATAACAACCGTCTCGTGAAGAATGCCAAAGGTTGTCAGGAGTGGTTATCCTATTGTTGTAAGACTCTTCCGATTGCTGAGTCGGATGCGTCTAATGAGATACCAATGAGTGCTTGAGTTCCTTAATCTTGGAGGATGCTTTTCTCGCGGTGTATTCCAAACTGACGGACGTCGCATTTCCGCGAAGTTCGTTTGTTGGAGGTCTCATAAAGGACGTGCGGTTTGGTATGAACGGTCCACAGAAAATTACAAGACCGTTAAATGGGCGTAATCGCTTAATAGTGGTCGGTTCTGGGTAATCCAGAATGGCCGACACTGTGCCTCTAAGAGGTCGGATGCCTTGAGCATCAATTGTGTGTCCTAAGCGATCTAAGGAGTCGGTTCCGATTTGACATTCCTGAATGTTTACAGTAATGCCATGCTTTTGAAGTCGTTCGAAAATAATGTCCACACGCTGGAGAAGGGATTCTCTGTCCGGATTTGCTATCAAACAGTTATCAACATACTCATGTACGACGTTGAGATCTCGAAAAACGTCATCGATGAACCTTAGAAAGGTTTGGGAAGCATTTCTTAGGCCGAAAGGCATGCGCGAAAGTTCGTAGTGGCCTAAAGGAGTTATGACAGTGGCTTTGGGAATGTCGTCAGTGACCATAGGAATTTGCTTTTAGGCTTGAACGAAGTAAATTTTCTAAAGGCCAGTTCTATCTTTCAAAGGAGTTGTCAAGCTGTGAGTGTGAGGCAACGCGTAACGATTGAGAACGGTTTTTAAGTTCACTCATCAGTTGGATGTCAATCGTTGCTGTCCTTTTTAAGGACCATGTGCAAAGAAGATGCCCAGGTGCTGTTTGACGGTGGAATGATTCCTAACTCTATCATTTGGTTGAATTCATTCTTGGTCAACCTCAGCTTTTCGGGAGCCAGTGGGCGTGCTTTTGAGAATATAGGTGATCCTGTAGTCGTGATGTGATATGTAACATCTGCGACGTATAACAGACGGCTATTTTCGTTGGCTACGGTTGCCGTTAACACGTATCGGATGGGAAGTTTCCTGAATTGTTTTCGTGTCTTTCATTTTTGAATTTGGATAAGTGTATGTTTTACTGCAATTTCTGGAAGACTTTCCATGCCGATTATGATGCCAGCACCAGTCGGGATTATCGGTCCCTCGTCTTCTGTAGCAGATCGCCTACGTAAAGTGCTTCTTCGTAGGGTATGTGACCATTTACGGTCACTGCGAAATCTAATATAACGTGTAAGTGTATGACATAGTTGATGAAAGCTTCATCTGCATCTCCACAGGACTTTGCTGAGTGAAACTGAGCGTTGACTTGGTGTTCAGTAAACTGCAGCACCTAAGAAAAGACACTTCTCCTCGCCCGGATATGGTCCATTCTGCCGTACTGAAGGAAGAAGCTTCAATCCTGGCAACCCCGCTTAGCGTGACGTTCTCACACTCGCCAAGCTGAGGCAAACTGATGGAAATTCGGAAGCTGAACCTTTACCTATTAGAGTACAGGCGTCTTAGGGGTTACTTCCCATTGGCGCACAGAATCCTAAACACCTACTTAAGCTTAGTCCTAACACAAACCGTAAAAGTAACACCGAGAAACTGGAAACAAAACAGCAGAACGGACACAACCTCTACTCCTTAACAGTCGTCAACGCTGGAATTCGATTCCGGCTGAGCTAGTCCACGAAATATTTTTATTATTCTTTTAAGAGGCAACTTGACATATTCTTAGGGACTAAGGATAGTATTTCACTATGATTTACCAATTTTTTTTCTCTATTAACTTTAATATACCTAGTCTCTGCCTGGAGGTATTGGTGATTCACTGCTACTAGGCAAAGAAGCCCATTGAGCCAAAGTTTCTTCCGTTCCGTCCAAAACCATATGAGTCATTCAAACCAGTTGAAAGTAAAATATTGTCCATAAGCAAAAGTATGAAAATCCGAAATCTGTAGGCTACCTAATTTTGAGACGACAGAAACTACTCAGTATACGTTATCAATTAAAATAGAGACATATGTTATTCAAAGCAACAGAAATCAAATAAATGGCAATTGTTGCTTGAGAAGATTAATTGTTTAAACATTTCAAGACAAAAAGTATTTTCACCTTGCGAACCTGGTAAACAGCGGCAATATCATTTTCTTTGCTACATCCTGTGTTTATGGGGATGCTTGGTTCTGATGAGAAGCAACCGTTTCTGAAAGAGAAAGAAGTTACGAATCATAAAAAAAGAAACATTGATTCCTGGTACAAGCGTCCAGTTTGGGACGATGACCAAAAAACTAAGTATATGATGGGGCGCAGTTTTTGTGGATGGAGTTTGTTGGTTTCCTATTGATATAACTGTTACTTTCTAGTTAAGTTTTGGTTGCACTACTTTATTCTGTACATATGTCTGTTGATAATAATGATGGGCATGTTAATAATAATTACTCAGCTTATTATTAGTAATGACCAACCTTACATAACTGGAATGGACAGTCCGCTTGCACTTTCACCAGGTTAGTTTTTATTTATTGTGATTCCAGTTATTCTTTGTCATTATTAATCAGCTCTTTATATGAACTTGTCACACATATATCATGATCTAAACTTCTAGGATTTTTAGATGCCTATTGGTTTTTTATTAGTCATAGTGAGGTTCCCTGGATTTCTACAAAGATACTGAATATATCTTTAAACTTTTGAGGTTAAACATGTCGAGTGTACAATATACAAGACACATAACGTCCTCCTCACATGGTTAGAGATTTTTCTAGTAAAGCACACAATATTAGTACGTTCGGCAAAACTATAATTTATGGAGTGACGAGTGAACTTAAAGATGAAGATTCTTAGGTTTTGAGGCAAAAATAATTATTCTGAACGGTCACGTGGTATTTTGGCACTTTAACTGATGCCATTTGGTGATGGAAACCTTAACTCCAACTAATTGTCCATTCCAAAGGAGATGTTTGTCGAAACCTAACTATCATAAACCTAATCACGTCTGTGAACTGGTTTACATTACTCAATTTATAACTCGGAAATGCTCGTCTTCAAGCTGAATTTCTGGCTAAATCTGGACGACTACCAGATACTGTAGACGGATGTATCTTAGATAGATTGATAAGATCTTGTAATTCTGGAAACGACGGATTATTGAACAACATGTTATTTGTGGTTTGGCTTTTGAAATAGTTTCCTTAAACGTGCATGAATATGAGTTCAGTTTTTGCCATTTTTGCTAGCGACAAAAGATATGGGTATAAATGTTAGGTGTGTGTGTCCAAGCTATCGAAAACAAAATAGAAACATGTCTGAACAATATGTACGATGATTTATCTCGTGATTTTTATTATCATACCAGCATAAAAACATTTTGTATAATGAAAGATGAGAGTGGTTAAATGTGTTTATTTGAATAATGCCTTGTAACTGAAACCAAAACAAATGATGCGTAAAACTTTAGTTGAACTGTAAATTCAGAATTATTGGGCACAACGGATATGTTCTAGCTGAAAAATGTCACACTAATATTTTACCGTTATGTACTAGATGAGAGTGAACATACTTGCCATGTGAAATACTCATTATTAGCATCCTGGTTGCAAATTGACTTGAGACCAGAATGATGGTAGTTAAACGTGTAATAATAAATGCTAAAAGAACGTACTAATGGGAGAATGGCGATAATGTTGCTCATAACCGTACAATTTTATCTTTTCGCAAAGTAAATTGCTTGTTAAGCATAACCAGGTGTTAAATAAGAGTTTATGGTATCTAGTTGGCTTTAAACTTTGATGGTCTCTTTCAGCAATATAAATTTGGCTAATTCACTGCCGAATTTTATAATGGTAGTCAGCACTAGTTCAGATAAAAGCTGACATTTCCAATCTGTGAGTAAAACGCTCACATTTTCGATAAAATGGAATGTTGTTTGTCATTCGATACATACTGTTAATAGTGAAATAGTCGTTATCACTAAACTTCCAATCCAGAGAAATGATGAATACAAGGTCGGGTACAGTGTCAGTAAGTACAAGTAACCTAAGATTGTTTATTGATTAAGGTTTCATGGACGTGTCATATGACTTGCCTTACTTATTTAAAACCTTATGACTCGGTCGTTTTGCATTTTGAGCATAATTTCACCATAAGCATGTGATGTTGCAAATTACTTTATTCACAACACTAGGTTTCTCATTATATTTTGACTTCTGCCACAGTGTTACGTGTAAATGACTATTCCTAAACATATTCTATGCCCTAGAATTTTTTGATTCTTGAATAACGGCAATATATTTTGGTGAGAAAGATGTCTGTGTCCTTGTAAACCTACTATAAAATAGTTTTAAGCACTACTTCAAATAAAACTGCATAATTTAGTCTTGTTTGTAGAAAATAAAATGACTCTATAGCTGAATAATGACTTTTAACGAAACTGAGGCATGAGCCTTTTGCATTAGGGTAAGTTGTATTATCTACTGATTAAATTCATAGGTAAGTGTATTTAAAATATGTAAAAAGCGGGACAAACTCCTTTATTTATTCCTGTAGAAGTCCCATCTTCAAATAAGAATCCCGCCAAGTTTAGCAGGGTTGTAATGTGCACTATTTTTCCGGGATATTAGATCACATATTCTTTTGTCCTTAGTTTAACAGCAGAAAAAAAATGAAACTCAATTGTGTAAGTTTAAGTCTACCATTGTTTCTGACACTGTGAATGGTGTTTCACATGTAGCACTCAGAGCTAATTTCGGATAGAGAGACTATTCTGTAATGAAGCTCTATCTTATGCAACTAGTAGCAACAGGTTGAAAAATTTTAAACTAATTATCAACAATTTTAAGCACAGTAATTGAAGAGGAAAGAAAGTTTTGGCTAGAACATCATTCAATAATAGTTGGTCGAAATATCATTGATAAATAGACTCATGAATTAGATATAAAGAATGTAATTTGAAAAGAATAGTTTGAATCAAGAAATGTAATGTATGTAGTAATGATAAATTCCGAACTTAGAGTCTGACAAATATTAAATACATTGGTACTATAGTTACTGGTTTTGAGTCATATTATCCAGTCTGTTGAACAATGATAGATGAGGATCTTATTAATTCCAAAGAAGAAGTTTGAACTGATAAACACTTGTCAGACTAGTTCACAGTTATTTGATGAACTAATGCTATGTCTTACTCACATTACCTGTCAATTTTATCGGACTTACTTAAACACTATCCTAATGAGTGCATCAAGGTAGGTGGTGGTATAATACACGTGTTAATTGCCTTAGTTTGTAAAGGTTCAAGCATTATTGACCGAGGTTTACCATCTTTGTTTACTATTTTACCCGTACCTAGAGAAAAGTTCTTGTTCGAAGCAGTGATTTATTATACCATTAAGTGATGAATTACAATTCAACTGTTCCGGAGACACTTTTTCCAGTCTCAACATAACTGATAAAAACTAATTGATTCATTACTGAATAATTCATCTAAAATCCATTTGTTTGTTTCTTTTTATTATCGTTTCGGTAGTATGCTTTCTATATTTGTTCATGTTTATTGTAGGCTTAGGAATGAGACCACGTAATGATTTTAAGACAACTTTAATTGCTTACGCTTCATCTGATCCACAAACATATATGCCATTTGTACAAGATATACGAACATTTCTTTATTTCTACGAAGAAGTCAATATACAACCACAGGATGGATTTGCAACGTGTGATAAAATTAAATCACCAGATGATGTTGATTTAGTGTGTAAATTTTATCCACATGATATGGGTGTATGTGTTAAAGAGAATAATTTTGGATATGATAGAAGTCAACCATGTGTCATCATGAAAATTAATAAGGTATGTCAAAATTATATGTGAATTATTTTTTCTGGTTAGCGTTTTTTTGGCCAGTTGGTTTTCTACGGGATGGGGTCGCTAACCTCATGTCCAACCCTCCTCCTTTACCCCGGCTTGGGACCGGTAGTAGCCTCCGGAGGAGCTACAGGCGGAGTTAAAATTATATGTACAGTAACATATTTTTATTTATTTTCATTGCTACTTGTGAGTAGTTCAAAACTTTACCCCTAAAATTGGGAGGAAATTATGGATGGACCATTCACTAAAGACACAGTATTAATTTTCTTCTCAGCTATATGACATCGATCAGACTTTTAAAGGGTTGTCAGTGGAAATAGATAACTCTGATCAATTATTATTAGAGATTCTATGAATTGAATGCGCACGCAATTAGTAAACTTACAAGAAGCATATATGTGCCGATATTTATGCTGAGCTTTTGATGAAAGTTAAAGCCATAGATTCCTTCGACTTAAAAATACTGAATGGAAACCATTAATTGAGTATTTTTAATGAATAAGATTCAAAACATTAGGTTAAGGCGACAGCACACCAGTATTTTTAGGAAAAACACCTCATACGACACTTGTTAATGTCCTTGAAGACAAGCCTATCTGAGCTAGTTAACGATTGGAAACATGGAGTGATTGGAAAGTTGTTCCGTCGTAGAATAGGGTACCCAGAAGTGGGGACTTACGATCTCGCCACCTTAGCTTGAACCAAAGATTTTTGAATTCCCACACGAACGCCTAAGATGTAGACCACCGTGCGGAGACTCAACAGCATACAAGTCCAACTCCAATCAATCTGTGATATCACGCAACCATCTCTAATTGTCTTTGGTGAATACCTACTGCACATCCAACACGGTTATATTCAACTGGCCACAGCCTCTCATCGTAAATCGCAAAGTTTCCTCTCGAAGCTACTCACCATCCTTATATGCAATCTTCTTTTTTTATATATTACTACCATTGCGGTAACTGCTTCTATGAACTTGGTGTTCATTTTGTGCCAACAAAGTATGAGAACTTGGACCGATGCACATATGTGCCCGGTCCCACCTTGTAGCTGACTGACTGGACTAATAGACGAAATCCTATTCCTATAGTCCATTTTGTACAAGGTGATAATAAGAAAATGACAACTATGTGATTAAATTCATTTTGAAATTACTTTGATTATTCTAATGTTGATATTTTCACTAAAATTTGATCAGCTTTGATTGACATATGGGTATCCTATGAGCGTTACCCTGGTATGATCATCACAGAACAAGTTAGTATAGAATATATAGGATGTGACTAACAGTGAAATCCAGGATGCAGGTACATCCGGCTGATTGGTCTCAAATAGGATGAAGCGCGAGTCCTGGATTCCACTACTGACCATATCACATCTATTCTACATATGATTGAATGTTGGGTTTTTGAATCTATCCAGGAATTAAGCGCCATAATTTATTCTATTATGTAATAAAACATAACTAATTCCATCTTCGCTTATAGAATAATTTTCAGGACTACTATTCCATGATTAATCTACTAATGGAAATCATTCGTTTTTTTTGTGAATACTCCACAAAATGCGTTATATTTAGTTTAAGTAGTTGACTAAATTCTTTTTGACCCAACAATAATTATGCAATGATTCCTTGTAGCAATCGTAATCATTTGTGGGTATAGATAGAGTAGTTGATTATGCCGATCTCCACCACCCGTAATGCCGCTCACGTTAGTACATGGGATCAGTGTCATGATCCAGGAGGCACGACAAGGAGGTGTCAGTCGGGTTTAACTAAATTATTGCTCAACGTTTCTTTTGACAATGTATGATAGTAACTTTCCTCAGTCAGTCTGTTCTATGAGGACTTATTTTCTTAAGATACTTGAATTACAATAATTGGATTTCTAGTTCAAACTACGCTCCACATACTTCAGGCTCAAGCAGAAGACTGGTGTCACCAGTGAGTCATTATGCTCATAACATAGAAATCGAGGATGAATATATGTTTTACATTTCATTTTTTGCATTTAAACCTTATTTCGTTCAGGTTTATGGTTGGCTCCCTGATATTGTGAATAAAACCTTATCAAATAATCCTCTTGTTAGATGTCATGGTCAAGTAAGTTGAGAATATTCGGGATATATTTTACCATTTTTTTTAAAAAAAGTCGTTGATTGCCAACTAGTGAAACTGATTTGATTCTTCTGTGATATTTGTTTGATAACGAGTAGTCATTCATTCATAATCGACTCAAAATCTAGAACAAATGAGTATCGGTTTGCATTACCATTACCATATCACCAAAGTATGTTGAACTTAACAACGCGAGATACGAACCCAGGACCTATCAGTCTTGCGAGATGGGATCGTGGATGCTCACTATTGAGGAGTCCCAAAATAAAACGAAATAATCATCCAATGCTTCTAGGTTTTCTATGGTGGTCTAGTTTCAATTGACTCATGATTTCAACTATATAACATTATTTGTTCTGTTTACTATTGAGGTGAATAGTGTCAATCTAACTTATATATTTTTTACTGTTTAATGATATCAACTGTAACATGGAAATGACATTATCTTATTAATTGGCGTAGAATTTTGTTAGGCAGTTATTTACTTGGTCATTGATATTACAAGACCTGCTGCAAATTGGTGTCGATACAGGTTATCATCATTCATTTCACATTAATAGAGGAAATCAACAAGATGAGAAGTAAAAGAGGTGGAATATTTCATACTTATGGCATTGCAACACTAACCGTAATATATATTTACTCTGCCGTAACTTACTTCCGATATTTTTCTGTATGAAATGGGATGGTATATGATGGTAGGTGGTAGCTAGTCATAAGTAACATAAGTTTCAAGAAATAATGTCGCTTAAGGTTTATAGCCTCATCAAAACACTGTATTTATTTATTTATTTAAACACATACATATTGGCACAAAGGAGCACCAGATATATATGCGCCTCACAAATCTCATTTGATTTGTGTGAGGGCTGTGATACTACCCGGGTGTCCAAACTGAAGCAGGTGGTTTTCTAAGGGGGCCACACCCGAAGCCTTTGACCTAAAGGTCTGATCCACAAGGCAGTGGAGCATCGTGAGGAGATGCAGTCCCATGGTAGCCGGTGACCAACAATTGGTTCATACGCCATTTGTTCCCTCAGGATACTGCAGCCCATGTGCAACATTGGTTTAGAATCAGGATTTACAACTCCCCTAGGTTGACTTTCCGTGTCCACCAACTCGGTTAAAGCGTCGAACATTCGCTTTTCGTCCTCTCAATTTCGTAAACAACAGTAATGCCACGAGAAGGCAGTGAGTAGGATTTCTCTGACAGAGGTTATATACGCGTGGCCATGTGAGAGCATTTGGAGAGGGAGAGCGGACCCTCCCCACTCTCGGCCGTACCAGGGCATTTGGGAGTCCAAAACACTGTTCTTAATCTCAACACTACTGACTGGCTAGATAATTCCACTCGATGTTTATAGTTTCACCAAATCGTCTATAGAAATAATGAAATGTTATTTTAATGACCTTTGTTATTGTCATCATCGCTTACTTTGCTAATCAATTCTTATCTACAGAATCCTCAAGACTTGGAAAATTTTGGTGAAGTACTATATTTTCCTAATATTACTGTTGATGGAAAAACTTAGTAAGTTAATTTGTTTTTTATTAAATACTATTACATATTTTTCAAAGTTGAAATCATTAGTCAATTGAAGCTAGACCACCATCGAAAACCTGGGAGCACTGGACGGCCGCTTCGTCCTATTATGGGACTCCTCAGCAGTGCGCATCCACGATCCCGCGCTCGCGAGATTCGAACCCACGACCTACGGTGTTAATGTCTAACTTCAACCGATCCATATATTGTAAAGAAGGCAATAGGCATAAGGAATGTAACTTTTTTACAATGCACTGAAACGCTTCACTCTGTCTGACGATTGTTCCAACTTCGACGACACGTTACGCTACATACTGCTTGTAGACATTCTTGTGAATAGCATCCATTATGAAACGAAATACTGTAATCAGCCTCTGTAATCAATAATGATATTATTTTCTTGAAATTCAGGTTCTACATGAAAATAATTATTAAAATCAGAAGGATTGGTTGAAGTTAGACATTAACACCGTTAGATGCCGTCCAGCTCAGTGGTTCTAGACTTTAAACGCTCGCGCGCGAGAGTGATAAATACTAGATTTGAATCTCACGAGGCGGGATCATGGACGCGCACTGCTGAGTCGTCCTACAATAGGACGAAATGGCCGTTCAGTGCTTCCAGGTTTTCCATGGTGGTCTTGCTTCAATTGACTCATGATTTCAACTATGAAAATAATTATAAATGGATAATATCGTCACTTTTTACGTAAATTCTGTAACTTAACTACTGAACAGTATGAAGTTGAGACTTTTATTAATATGGAGTTTGATTTATATCCTGTAGCTCCAATCATTTCGAAATGATGCAGAAAATATGCAATTTAGGTGGATATTCGAGATTTATTTGTATTGGTTGTTTAATGAACTGTAAGCCATCACTTTTTTTGGGCAAATGTACATCTTGTACTGATAACCTTGGTATCCCTCCATTCAATCATAAGCATTTTAGATATATTTAGATGTTGGCTAGCAATGGAATACAGGACACATGTTTTGTTCTGTTTGAAACTTGTCAACTGGATGTGCCCGAACCCTGATGTTGATTTTCACATTAGGACATGAATCCAGAATCGTTCACTTCATAAGCGTAAACCATTATCTACTTAACTACTTAGTTGAAATAGGCATTGATTTATGCAACAGAGTGAACTTTGATATTCATTTATGTTGGTTGTTTGAATCTTCTCATTTATGTTATGGATTGCGATTGATCAGTATCTGTAGAAATGGTATATTAATAAAGAAATTGGAAGATTTAGATGAATTAGTAACTAAGTATATGCTTAAGGTGTTAGATATCCTTGAATGAAATAATATGGGAAGATCTAATCCTACTAATTATGTAGCCTAACATTTTTCATGGCATAATTGGACCGAATACTAGTTTTGTATAAGAATAAGGTGTTTAAAAGTAGCCGTATCGAATGCCATGTCCTAACAAGTTATTCTCGCAGCCATTCAATATGTACTTTAATAGTCACGAATGGATAAGGATTCAAGACAGAGAACATAGCGAATTTGATTGAATGTAACGAATTGAAATGGTGATTGTGTGGTTAGATATTTACAAAGCAATTGTAAGTTTTACAAACACATTTTCTCGATTTAGATAATTTAATCGTAGAGATCTTGTTAAAAAGAAGGTTCACATGTTGAGTTTGTATATATGATAAACAATAAAACAACATCCCACATAACACAGGTCAATGATGTGTATTAGTAATGCTAATTGTATGTTATATATGAGATGTTTCACCATTAATGAATGGGTAAGATTTGGTAATTTTGATACATTGGATTCATCATATAGTTTACAAAACCATTTCATTGAAAGAAACTATTCTGTTGTTAAAAATATAAACCTTTGATGTTGTATAAAGATTGAATTGGATAGGATCAATTCAGAAAACGATATGAGTCAGTCAGCTACAACGTAGGACCAGGCACATTTATGCTTCGGTCCAAGTTGCCATACCTCGTTAGCACAACAAGATCAACACCGAATTCATAGAAGTAGTTAATTTAGTGGTGGTAATATATAAAAGAAAGGTTGTATATAAAGATATAGTATAGGAAGGAAGAAAGTTATGAAGCAATTTTAATCTCAAGGTTTAAGGGAAGATAAATAGTGTATACACCTACGCCATTGTGATGGATTCTGAGCCATGTCACACAGAGTCTACAACCATTGGTTACGATAGTCACACGGACCCCAACCAAGTAGTTTGCATCTGCCAACATGACTTAGACTAAAAGTTAGTGACTTCAAGCACTGATGCCACGTTTTGGTTTGGCCGCCTCTAACTTTCTTTCAACCATCCCCAACACTAGTCAACATAGCGCGTCGTGGTAATCGGTGTTCAGACATACGTAATACGTGGCCCAAAACGATATAATCTCATTGAGTAATTTATTTTTTTTTCTTGTTTACTAAAGAAATTTATGTAAATTGATAAATTAATTCATTGTTTCTGTTTTGTTTTTTTATTTTGATTGTTTGTTTTAATTTAGCGGTTTCTTTAGTCATTTATACTTTCCATATCTTATGCAAGTGGCTTATCGTTCACCACTTGTTGCTGTACAATTTGCAAGTCCTAAACGTCATGTTCTACTAATGGTACGCTGTGAATTATTTAATGTACATAATCCTGGTGATCCCATGGATTTTGAAATTTTAGTAGATTGATTAACTATTGAACAATGTTGTACTTATAACTCCCTTTTTTGTTTTTTCTTTCCGGTTTATTTGTTTCTTTGAGTCAGTTTATTCATTTTGGTTTGAATAGTTTTTTCCTGGTTAGCGTTTTTTAGCGAGTTAGTTTTCTAACGGATAGGATCGCTAATCATCCCATGACCAACTCTTCTCCTTTATCCGAGCTTGGGATTGGCAATAGCCCCCCTAAGGGGCTACAGTGGGAGTTGTTAATCTTACAATTCACTAATCTTTTTAAATGTACATCTGTTCATCTATTATCTACACGTCTGTCGATCTTTCCAAATTTATGTTTGTCTACTTAACTATCAGTTCAATTGAATACGAAATCTTAGTTTGTTTTGAACAAAAAAACTTTATTTCAAGAATAAAGGAAAATGTAACGGGATGTTTTCTCTTTGAATATGAATTCTTCCTTATTTATAATCCTCAAAATGTTACCATGTCGTTAGCTTTTAATAATTTTTTTCTGGTTAGCGTTTTTTAGCGAGTTGGTTTTCTACGGGACGGGGTCGCTAACCCCATTTCCAACCCTCCTCCTTTATCCGGGCTTGGGATCGGCAGTAGCTTCCGGAGGAGCTACAGGCGGAGTTTCCATGTTGTTAAATGTTCGTTTATTTTGTACAGACACTTTTTGTGAAAAAAGAAAAAAAATTTTTCAGTATTCGTGAAATGTCCGTTCATTTAAATGTTGGAAAAAGAGAAACTCAATAAATTCAATCAAGATTTCTTTTAAATAATAAGCCTCTTTAATTATAATTTGACTTGTGAAAAGCACTCCACTGAACAGATAGATGAAATCCATTATTTATGTTATGACTTTATAAAAAAAGGCCCTTACCAATTGGTTATTGATTTTATGTCCGGCTTTTTATCACATGAATTATCCACCAATCGAAATACGGTTTTCCCGATCTTAACACTGTGACAAATCAATGACGTTCGACCAGTATGGATAGTCAAGCGTCCTTATTGGTCCCCTGTCCGTCTAGTCCTTCCAATTGAGTCCAGAACACCGGTTGCAGCTTCTACTATGCGAATCATTTATTCCAAGCATACTCGGTTTATATACCAGACAAACAGACCACATCATACCATAAAATAGAAAATAATATTTATACAAGATCAAGCCAAATGTGGATGTGAACGTGGGATACAATAATCAATAAACTGAATATAATTTAGGGACAGTAAATCGCATAATAATAATTCATGGGTCAAAATGAAGCTTATAATAAGATGAATATAGATATACACAATCTAGTTACTCAATAATTATAAAATAACAATATATATAGGATAATCGTCCACAAATACGTCCCGGAAGTTACCCGTACTTATGTCTTCACTAAGATATAACAATTTATATACACATAGAACTCAAGACTATGAATATAGATTAAAATATTGTTTATCATAAAGTAACTAAATCTAATAGCCAAATTACCGTGTAATCTCTGACTGATTATACAATGTTTTGGCAATACTGCATGTAGTTGAAGGAGCAGAGAGTATTGTCAGTAAGTCACTTGTTCATGTGTCCAAAGTCATTATACACATGTGTATGTATGGATCCTTTTGACAAACTATATATTCTCTTGAGCTGTAAATATTAATGTCCAATACTTGACAATAATACTTTCCATATATAGTTTTTGTATTCTTCCTTTATGTAATGCATTTATTAGACATTAATGACTCCATTGTATAACAGAATATATTAGTATCAACTGCTTATTACTGATGTATTCTTGTCTAAAAAAAAATGAAAGGGAGACCGAATCACGAACTTATACACTACTAAGGAGTTGCCATTCACCAATTCAAGCCTGAACTCTACTTGCAAAAATGATAAGTTCAACTTCTCATACTTCCTTGGCATTTATTCCCTTTTGAAGTATATTGTGATGTTAATTTTCGTTTTATTATTATTTTGTAATTTTAAACTGTGATTAGTTATAAATTCAGTTGGTATTGTTTGTTTGAATCTTCCCATTGATGTTTAGGATTGCGATTGATCAATCGCACATTGATATATGTGCATCCTCTGCGTAATGCCTCGATATAGCCTTAATTCACAAGCATTATAAGCAAAGATGGATATTGGCTAGCAGTGGAATCCAGGACGCACGTTTCGTCCTATTTGTATATAATGCTTATGAATTAAAGCTATATCGAGGCGATACACATAGTATGCATATTTGGCAAAAAAGAGACTGATCAGTTGCAGTCCTAAACATCAATAGGAAGTGGTGTGTGAGCGAGAATGACAATGATTGGTTGTTTTGCTGAGTCAGACTTTAGATGGGATGACAGGTGCTATGTGTCATATATATATTCCCCTATCCTTATTATGTATTGTCTGTTGTTGATTGACTGTTCCTTGTAGTCGGATATTGGTGTGGAAATATATTGACGTTATAGTCAGGCTAATCTCATGTTCTTAATCTGAGTTGTGTTGAAGTCCGTAAAATAGACACTGGGTGGGAATCTAGTGTAGATATTCGTCTAAGATAAATTAACGTCCGCGTACGTATAAAAAGTGAAAGGACTATTATAACAAGAAACGCTAGCGTTATAACAAGTATCCTACCGTTTATAACAGAAGATTCAAACAAACAATACCAAGTGAATTAAAAATTTACCTCAATGCATAAGCAAAGGGCTATCAGGACTCCGTAGCTGAGTGGATAACTCGATGACGTTTTAAGAGAACGGTAATAGGCTACAGTCCCAGGGTGAACATCAAATCTGAGATGCAGGTACATTCATTTGACGAGTCCCAAATAGGAGAAAACGTGCATTTTGGATACCACTGTTAGCTACTATCTATCTTTGCTTTAATCAGTTATTATTATTACCCTTCATCAATTCTTCGTGATTATTATTCAATTACTATCATAATCTTGACGTTTTTGATTTTTCTTCAGACGCATAAGGTACATTCATCTGCTATTATCTTTCCTAACCCTCTGATTATTACGCAACTCTATTTGATATATGAAATCTTAAATCCCTTTTATAGTGAAGTCTTTTCTATATTTCTATAAACTGATAATATTTACCAAACAATTGTAAATACGAATATACATCTTAAGTGAATGATTTACTTGAATAGGAAATTTTCGTAGCTGAATTTTCTTTACTCTCATTCACTCACAAAATAATTGAGTTACTTTAATTATCTGATATTTTAGTTATAAGAATAACCGGCCAGACCAAAACATGGCACAAATTCATGAAGTCATTGACAAGTGGACTGAGCAATAACGGTAGGTGTAGAGTACCTCGTTTGAATCCTTGAGATGATAACAACCGATGATTAAGGACCTTGAATGACCTGGCACAAAATCGTTCGCAATGTCGATGTTGTATTCACTATTTGTATTCTGCCAAATTCTGATTTTCTGAATTCTTCATGTCTCTATCCTTTTTCTTTTTTTCAAATTTATTTCACTGGATTATATTCTTTGAATAACATTTTCAAACCCTAATCTTTCACATAATGCTTATACTCTTACTACCTCTACCACTATTATATTTGAATCGATAATCGCATCTCTGTGCTAATGTGGCATGGAAACTCGAACTGAAGTACGTTCATATGAATGTACTTATTTCAAGATGTTATCTAATTTTGTTTGTTTTATTGCATCACTATGGCTAATAATCGCATTACCCATTCAGGTGCGTTTCTGAATGATGTACAAATTTTCGTAGTACGAGTCACAAAGGTTCAATTAGAGATATCGTGGTTGATGGCAGTATGCAGCGAGAAGAATATACATTATTTAGATTTCCATCGACCGGAGTGCTAACTTCTTATCGGCCATCACTCAATATTTATCGTCCGGATCGATCAAGGAGTAAGAAGCGGAAACTTATTGAAACACAACGTGCTGAGAGTTCCATATTGTACCAAAAATGTATTGAATAAGGGTAATTATAATAATAACTATATATATTCAAGAGAAATTACTAAAATACTGGATGCGTAAACCGGTGTGTTCATATTGGCTTTTCAGTGTATGTAGTAAAAAAACCCGACCTATAATCTTTATTAATGAGAATCATGAACTACCTAGCTTATGGTAGTTTGTAGTGACTTTGCTTCGTTAATCTATAACCGTTATAACATAATTTTTAACTGTGTTTGTGTTAGGATATTCACAAGAATATCCCAAAAATTATCTCGAATGTAAAATGGTATGTTTCCAGACTCTTCACATAATTCGCATGTTATTTCCTATTGGCCATTATTTACAGTGTCCTAACTATGACTTTCATGTGTCGTTTCCCTATTGGTCAATTTTGAGTCGTCCTAATTATAACCTTTACGTGTCCTTCTTTTCCATTGGTTACTGTTAATAGTCATCGTAACTGTATAAATATGCCTTATCTGTAAACCATTGTTGTTCTGCTGCTGACCCCATAAACAATTCTCATTTAACGGCTGTGTTCTGATTTATTGGAGTTGGGAAATAGTATTGGGGTCGAACTAGGATATCTGAATTTGGTCAATCGGTAGAATTTAGCGTAGTCCTATCGCAATACGCTATATTTCGCATTATAACAATTGGCGACGGGGACAAAAGTGAAAAATGACGCTCCCTTCTGACCGCTTACAGTTGCTATTTGACCGACATTTGGAGTTCATGGTCAAACTACGCTCACAGTTTCTGGATCATCAATGCTTCGCATATGCGTCGGAAGTGGATGTATTAATCTCTGAATTGCACACAGAGCTGGCAAATGATCACAGCCTCCATGAATCCTCGACCAGCCACAACTCAAACGAAACAGCAGACTCTCAAGAGACGCCCGGTTGTCCAGCACTATCCGTTTCAGAAACATACCCGGTAGTGGATTCAAACCCCACTATCCCTGAATTAGCAGGTCCTAACAATGCCGCTTTCAGCTCTCATCAATACGATGCTATGTTAAAAGCCCATGAAATGGTCGCACCAATCGCCCACAGAGTACCGGTTCACAAGAAGCCCCCTTCTCCATGTTGGCACTGTGGAGCCTGGCATTATGTGAAAGTTTGTCCATTCAAACAGCAGGTGTGCGATCGCTGTCATAAAGTTGGTCACAAAAGCGGTTTTTGTCAATCTCATCGACCCAATTGGCGTCGAAATGCACAGACGCAACGTCGTTATACTAAAAAGCAGCTTCCCTCATCAAGGAGTTTAGCAGCAGTCTTTCACACTCATGCCGCCACGCGACGCAAATTTCTAACCCTCTCAATCAATGGTCAACCAGTTCGATTGCAGTTGGACACTGCATCAGATATCACTATCCTGTCGAAAGATACTTGGCGAACCTTGGGTCAACCTCCCATCAAACCGTCTTCGCAGACAGCCGTTAGTGCATGTGGTGGTCATCTCCGACTTCATGGTGAACTTAACTGCTGTATTTCGTTCAGAGGTACAACCTTCAATGGTACGTGCTACATCACTAAATCCCCTCTCAATCTTCTGGGTTTAGATTGGTTCGAAGAACTTGGTCTTGCCAATCTACCTATTAGCACTATCTGTAATCAAGTAAAAACTCTTGCTACTACACAACAGCATGCTGCAGACCTCCAAAAACGATTCATTGAACTCTTTCAGCCTGGTCTTGGTCTTTGTTCCACAACTGAAGCTGTTTTGAAACTTCAGCCAGAAGCTACGCCAGTTTTCCGTCCAAAACGTCCAGTCCCATATGCATCCCTACCTCTGGTCGACGCTGAACTGCAACGTTTGGAAACTGAAGGTGTCCTTGTACCTGTTTCTTATTCTTCATGGGCTGCACCAATTGTGGTTGTCAAAAAGTCTAATGGTTCCATACGCATCTGTGCAGACTTCTCTACAGGACTCAACGCGGCGCTGCAACAGCATCATTATCCGCTGCCGATCCCAGATGATTTGTTTACTATTTTAAATGGTGGTACCTACTTCGCTAAGCTAGATCTCGCGGATGCTTACCTTCAAATTCCTGTCGCTCGCGAATCGAGAGAATTGCTGACAATCAACACTCACCGAGGTCTTTTCCAGTATACCCGATTACCCTTTGGTATCAAGACTGCTCCAGCGATATTCCAGCAGATTATGGATACTATTCTGGCAGATGTTCCTGGTGTTGCTACGTATCTTGACGACGTCCTCATTGTCGGCTCAACTGCTGATGAACTGCATTCCAGAACATATTTAGTTCTACAACGCCTCCAAGATAATGGTTTTCGCCTTCGTTCAGAGAAATGCCAATTCTTTCTACGCTCCGTTAAATACCTGGGGTTTATCTTTGATGCTTCTGGACGACATCCTGATCCTCAAAATACTCACGCAATCCAGCAAATGCCTGCTCCCACTGATGTCTCTTCACTGCGATCATTTTTGGGAATGGTTAGCTACTATTCAGCATTTCTACCATCACTACATGAGGTACGATATCCATTAAATCATCTGCTAGAAAAGAATGCTACTTGGAATTGGTCCACGCAATGTGAATCAGCTTTTTCAAAACTTAAAGCCATGTTAAGCTCCAAACTACTGTTAACCCACTACAATCCGAAACTACCAATTGTAGTTGCTGCTGACGCTTCAACCCATGGACTGGGTGCCGTACTACTGCATGTTTTTCCCGATGGTTCAGAGAAAGCAGTGATGCATGCTTCGAGAACACTAACAGCCGCTGAAAAACGTTATGGTCAAATCGAGAAAGAAGCCTTAGCTCCGATTTTTGCTGTCCGGCGTTTCCACAAATTCATTTACGGGCGCCGTTTCACTTTGCTCACAGACCATAAGCCGCTGTTGTCAATTTTTGGATCAAAGAAAGGCATCCCTGTTCATTCTGCTAATCGTCTTCAATGTTGGGCGTTGGCGTTACTGAGCTACGACTTCGACATCCAGTATCGACGTTCTGAAGATTTTGGTCAAGCGGATGCATTGTCCAGACTTATCAGCAAGCACTCTACAACTGATGAGGATACACTCATAGCCACAATAGCAACGGAAGATGATTCTGGTGCAACACTATTGGCGAATGCCGTGCGAGCTATGCCTGTTACGGCTGAAAACGTTCGAGAAGCTACCAGAAACGACCCGATTATTCGAGAAGCAATCACTTATGTTCAGAGCCGATGGCCAGTTAAGCAGTTCAGTGGTGAGATGCTACACCTAGCGAATCGTCGCAGCGCTCTTTGTGTTGTCAATGACTGTCTGATGTTTGGTGACCGTGTAGTTATTCCAACAACCCTGCGTGCCAAGGTCCTACGCCAATTTCACGCTGGTCATCCAGGGATAAACCGTATGAAATCTATCGCTCGTAGTTACGCATACTGGCCGAACATGGACAAGCAAATTGTCGACTTCGTCAAAACATGTCCACATTGTCAGACAGCTGCGAAACATCCTCCTAAATTGCCACCAGTACCCTGGCCCAAGTCAGAAAAACCCTGGTCGCGAGTGCACATTGATTTTGCCGGACCCCTAGATGGTACCATATATCTGATACTGGTCGACTCCTTCTCCAAATGGCCGGAGATATTGCCGATTGCACCACCCTCTACAACTCGAACCATCCAACTCCTTAACCAGATCTTCGCTCAGCATGGTCTGCCAGAAACAATAGTAACAGACAATGGTTCGCAGTTCACATCCAGTCAGTTTCGAGAATTTTGCTTGCAAAACTCGATCAATCATGTCCGTTCTCCGCCCTACCATCCGCAATCTAATGGACAAGCTGAACGCTTCGTCGATACATTCAAACGTGCCATGCTTAAGGCAAGAGGGGAGGGAACAACACACGATATTATAGAACGATTTCTAATTGTGTACCGGACGACTCCTCATGATTTATTGCCGAACTTCAAATCCCCTTCGGAGGTACTTATGAGACGGAAGCTACGAACAATTCATAATGCAATGACACCCAGGCGAGTAGCCCAACAGAGTCCTCACATGAAGAATACCCGAATTCCTTACGAAGTTGACGCAAAAGTGTATGTGCGGGACTATAGACATGGGTATGATAAATGGATAGAGGGTGAAGTCGCAAAGAGACAGGGGAAGGTCATGTATGAGGTCAGAGTAAACAGAGAAATCTGGACCAGGCACCATAATCAACTAAGGCCAAGAGAAGCCAAGAAAAAAATTGAAGTTACGAAACGCGTCCCACTCGATTTATTACTGGATACTTTCCAACTTCCGCCAATACCTACAACGGAGGCAACTCAGTCATCTAATCAGGCAGAACATTCTTCCGGTTCTCGGTCGTTACCTCCAAGGAGGTCGGGACGCAAACGCAGAAAACCAAAAAACTTTCAAGTAAACCCACGATTGCGTCGCTATTAATTTTTTCCAAGGGGAGGTGTTAGGATATTCACAAGAATATCCCAAAAATTATCTCGAATGTAAAATGGTATGTTTCCAGACTCTTCACATAATTCGCATGTTATTTCCTATTGGCCATTATTTACAGTGTCCTAACTATGACTTTCATGTGTCGTTTCCCTATTGGTCAATTTTGAGTCGTCCTAATTATAACCTTTACGTGTCCTTCTTTTCCATTGGTTACTGTTAATAGTCATCGTAACTGTATAAATATGCCTTATCTGTAAACCATTGTTGTTCTGCTGCTGACCCCATAAACAATTCTCATTTAACGGCTGTGTTCTGATTTATTGGAGTTGGGAAATAGTATTGGGGTCGAACTAGGATATCTGAATTTGGTCAATCGGTAGAATTTAGCGTAGTCCTATCGCAATACGCTATATTTCGCATTATAACAGTTTGAAATCAGAAGGCAGTGGAAAGCGGCAACCACAGTTTATTAGCGGATAGCGTAGATCACAAAGTCAGGCACATCAAGTGAATTTGAAACAGAAAAATGAATATATGTGTGTGCAAGCAAATACAGAGGCAAATTTATAGTCGTTTTATCGATTACTTGAGTTCCCAGTTAATATATGACGTTATACGACCACCAATCGGAGAGCAGTGAATTTATTGATCACCCAATGATACACAAAAGCCGTGCAAGTAGTCGTGAGTACTTATCAGTCCTGCTTTCTGCCTAACCCAGCCAGTTAAGTCCAGAAAACCAATAACAGCCTCTGCAATATGAATCATTATTCTCAAACATACTGGGTTTATATGCCAATCAAACTGACCACATCGTACCATAAAATCGAAAATAACATTTGTATAAAATTTAGCCAATTGTGGCTGTGAATAGGGGGGATAGTAATTAATGGACTAGGGACAACTCAAGAATGGTAAATCGTATAATAATAGTTCATAGGTCAAAATGATGCTTATAATAAAATGAACATGAATATGAATAGTTAAGTTAATTAGTAATTATACAATAGGAAATACACATATCACATTGGTCCATAAATAGTCCTCAGAGTTACTATTCATAATTCTCCACGGGATATAACAAAAGTCAAATGGAATAAGGGCACAGCAAGGTAAATAAAAGGCTAATAATAGAATTTGAGTACATATATACATGGGGAGGATGATGAATCATCAAATGATAATTAAGCAATCAACACTTCAGCTAGAGTCTGTCATATGATTTAGCGATCATAACAGTAGAAAGATATAGACGAATTGTTACTATTCGAATAACATTGTCTGTTAAGTAGGTTAACAAAAGCGCCTAACCAAAATTAACCATAATCGAAATTAGTTGTAGTATAGTTGCTATAACTCGTTACGGTAATTATGACATTAGTGATTCAGTTTGTATGTAAAAGTAATGATCACTGTGAAATTTAAATGTGTATCACACAATGCAGTAATCAAAAATATTACCACGGATTTATTCTTATTACCATTGGACTTCTGTATAATTGAAGTAGTTATATCAATTGATTATTTGATGGTCAAGTGTTTCATCTTGTTTCGTACTTGACTTTATATGATAATTAGAAGTATTTGAATTGTAGTATAAACTAGTAATCCCAGGAATAACGCAATTTAATCAAGAAGTATCAGATGAGCCCGAACGAATGAATTGTATTTGGAATTCGAAATTACAACAGTCATCAATACTAAGAAGTCATTGATTTATTTAAACATCACATCCGCCACAGCTCGAATTGAAGTGTAGGTGTATCTGTCCGATGGTGTATTGAATGTACACTCTGTATTATCTAGAATGCACTCATTAGTATTAGAATTAACAACGCAAATTGGAACAGACTAACCTGGGTTCTGGAATTGTATACAATCAGCACTCCGGCTTTGTAGTGAAACCATTGATATTTAGAATTTGCATCATGGACTTTCCAACAATATCCTCCCCCACGAAATAATGTTGGGCCCTTACTTCGCAATGTTTTAGCCAATATGACGTTCCCAATTTGCATCATCTTCTCAAATCTTACGCATCGACTACTGTATGTGAGTATTTGGGAATAAACACTGATATATGATTTGAGGTATTCCATCATGTGACTTTGATTTGAATAAAAATCATGATACATATACTTTTTGTTATTCATATTAAAATATACAGATGGATATGCATTGATATATGTAATTAACACATGTGATTCAACTAGGCTTGATTTACCTGCGAAACAATCGAATAGAAAACATTCATCTGCCTCATATTCATTAGAATAATCTTGGACTTGATTTGGATTCTCTGTCTGTGCAAACTTCACTTCTGGGCAAACTCGTTCTCTGGTTGCTTCGGGAAATTTCGCTATCCCATCTGATTCATCGTACCACTGACTAAGGATTCTACTCGAAACACATTGTTCGTGAGAATATGCAACATCTGATACAAGAACATCAGAAATATGACTAGAATTCGACTTATCAGGAACATATTTGTCACATTCATTGGGAATATCATTAGAGAGAATTTGATTGTGAGGACCACTGACACTTGATATGATATGAGATTTCGATTCTTCTGAAATATTTTTCTCAAATTGATTAAGAGTTTCATTAGTTAATGGATCATCAGGGAATTCAACATCTACCATGACTGAATTTGGTTTTTGATCATGATTTGACTCATTTAACATTCTATTCTCAGAGTTGTAAGAAATTCCATCAGAAGTATGTGGATTATTACGACAAACCATATCTGGTTCAATATCATGAGAAATCCGATAAGTTTGTTGGTTAAAAATGTTTGTCTCACAATGATTCTGAGTTTCAGTTAACTCTGGACTGCTATGTGACGTTATACCACTTCTAAATAAAGATAACTGATCATTAGAAGCATCCATTTTAGCATTACTTTCAGCGAAATGAACCATGGTATTACAAACTGACTGAATATGTCCAGTTATACCACATTTAAAGCATTTAGAATTACGAAATATACATGAATTACATGGGTGAAACTTGCCGCAGAACATGCATTTACTAAACTTGTGCTCATCATCATGGACTGTTTCACAACTCAATGAAGTATTGTCTGAATAACTTTCATTACGCATCGAACTACGACGACTGTTTGAATAAGTGGAATTCCTGATGTTCTGACGAGTCATTTTATCGGATTTTCCTTTCTTACCGCATTCGGAATTTGTATACTTTACATGATCCAACAGCAGTTGCTTGAGAGTTGCATAGGGGAATGAAATCGGTTTGTCTGGAAGTGCCAAAATCTTTATAAGGCTGTATGCTTCTTTCCCGATGAATGTAAGGAAATGGGCCACAATATTAAAATCCTCATCATCTTCTTTGGTCATAGCCCAGATTTCGAACCTTTCCATGTACTCCTCAAAAGCATTAAAATCTGAATTTATATTTAACCGTTCCATCACAGGCTCAGTCGCGACGCCAATATGATAATTAGAAGTATTCGAATTGTAGTATAAACTAGTAGTCCCAGGAATAACGCAATTTAATCAAGAAGTATCAGATGAGCCCGAACGAATGTATTGTATTTGGAATTCAAAATTACAACAGTCATCAATACTAAGAAGTCATTGATTTATTTAAACATCACACTTTAGTCAAATTCTATTGAGTCATGATTTCATGTAAAAACGACAGCTGAAATTTACAGTTGGTTATTATTCAATTCGAATAAGGCAATAATATGGTTTGAAATAGACCTCTTGGCTTTAGACAAAGCCAATCACACTTGATGGCGGAACTCTGGAAGGGGTGGAAACATTCACCTATCTGGGAAATTATCATTGATAAACAAGGAGGATCTGGTGCAGACGCAAAGGCTAAAATTGACAAAGCGAGGGCAGCGTTTCTACAATTGAAGAACATATGGAACTCAAAACAACTCTAAACTAATTTCAAAGTGAGAATCTTCAATACGAACGTCAAGACAGTCCTACTGTACGGAGCTGAAACATGAAGAACCACCACATCCATCGTCAAGAAGATACAAGTATTTATAAACAATGTTTACGCAATATACTCAGCATTCACTGACCGGATACTATCAGCAACAAGCTTCTGTGGGAGTGGACAAACCAGTTTCCAGCTGACGAGGCATTTAGGAAAAGGCGCTGGAAGTGGATAGCATATACATTAGGCAAATCACCAATGTGCATCACGAGGCAAGCCCTAACTTGGAACGGTAAAGGGAAGCGGAAAAGAGGAAGGCGAAAGAACACATTACGCCATGAAATAGAAGCATATGTGAAAAGGATGAATTTTAACTGGAAAGGATTGCCCAGGAAAGAGTTGGATGGAAAATGCTGGTGGTTGGCCTATGCTCCTCCACGAGAGATAACAGTCGTAAATAAGTACGTTAGACAAATTCTCATGCGTAGAAGACCACTTAACTCCGCCCTCCGCTCCTACGTAGGCTACTGCCGGTCCCAAGCCGAGGTAAAGGAGGAGGGTTGGGCATGGGGTTAGCGACCCTATCCCATAGAAAACCAACTCGCTAAAAACGCTAACCAGGAAAAAACTATTCAAACCATTTTAAATCTGCCTTGGGAGCTGAAAGAATAACTATGACGCCTCATGATGAAAGCCGAGATTCATCAGAAGTCACGAGGCCGATGCACCTTCTAACAACCAGAGCAACAAGTTATATAGGTGCATGGAACGTCCGGACAATGTAGAAGACCGTAAGAGTCCTCCAAATCGCTGCAGAAATGAGGAACTACAACATGGGGGTGCTTGAGATCAGTGAAACACATTGGACGCAAGTTGCACAACAACGACTAGCTTCAGGGCAGTTTCTGTTAGCACTCCGGCCATGATGGAAATGCATCACATACACAAGGAGTTGCATTGACGTTGTCCAAACAAGTACAAAATGCACTTATAGGATGGGAATCTCATTGACCAAGGATCATCAAAGCCTCCTTCAAAACAAAGAAAGAGGGTATTACAATGAACGTCATCCAATGCTGTGCGCCAATCAACAACTACGATGAAGACGTTAAAGACCAATTCTACTGTCAGTTATGTCCATAACTAACCAATCAAATCGTTGCCTAAGCTACCATTACGTTTATCTGATTTGATGTGTCTGTAAACTATGCTTGTTGCATGTGACCTACCAATTGAACGACTTTGTTATCCTATTATATTGATGTGACTCATAAATTTTATTCATTTCGATAAGACACGCAATACTGGTCGGTATGTTTGTGCGTTTCACTTAACGACTGTAATTCTTTAATTATTGTACTAATCTGATTGTTTTTATGTTTAAAAACAGATAAAGATTAAAGCCAAGTTGTCCTTGTTCTGACTATAGCTTTCGCATAGACTCTGGGATCGCCAGTATCACGTTTACAGTTCTAGTAGTATATCGGTAGGACAAATTAAATCCTACATCTACGATAGGCTGCAGTCGATCGTCGAGAAGTGCTCAACAAAAGACCTGACCATTTTGATGGAAGATTTTAATGCCAAGGTTAGGATGGACAACACTGGATACGAAGACGTCATTGGACGATATGGACTGCCTGGGAGAAAGGGACGAAAATGGTGAGAGATTTGCAAGCCGGTCATAGCACTCACGATGTTGGTCCATCAACAATTGAAGAGATCAGCATGGTCATCAGACTGATAAAGAGTGGCAAAGCAGCGAGACCAGACAACATTCCATCAGTGACACTGAAAGCAGATGTAGCAGCAACTGCAAAGATACTTCACATTCTCTTCAGTAAGACTTGGTATGAAGAACAAGTACCAATAGACTGTAAAGGACTTCTGATCAAAATACCAAAAAAGGCGATCTCAGCAAGTGGGATAATTACAGTAGCATCAACGTTCTCTCAATACCAGGAAAAGTCTTCAACAGGGCATTGTTAAACAGAATGAGAGACTTCGTAGACGCCCAACTTCGAGACCAACAGGCTTGATTCCGTAAGGATCGATCGTGTAAATCACAACTCATATTAAAAAATTATTTACTAGTTGAATTCATTGGTCAATTGAAGCTAGACCACCATGAAAAACCTGAGAGCACTAGACGGCCGTTTCGTCCTAGTATAAGACTACTCAGCAGTGCTCATCCATAATCCCGATCATGAGATTAGATCTCATGGCCTATCGGTCTTGAGCGCAAACGCCTAAACTCCAGACTACTAAGCTGATCAGAATTCAATGGTGTTAATATCTAACTTCAACTTACGCACGCAACTGCTCCACTGTCCACCATTGTCTTGAATGAGTTACTATATCACAACATAAACTGTTGAACTTCACTGATCACGGCTTCCACAAAACACCTCCCTGAATAAAAATTTATTTACTCTAGTCACTTGAAATTCAGTTATACACACAGTCCAAGTTAAAAGAAACAAACAAATTGATTGGTCAAGATAACTACTCTGGTATAATACAAACCATAATTTATAGGTAAAACAAATGACCGAGGACTCCAGTTTCCCAAATCTCATTAACATTTCACAATCTCATTATAAATGAGCATTTGTATATAGTACTAATATTTAAATTTTAGAAATGAGAAAACTATGCAAAGAGTAAAATGCTTCAAAGCATAACTATCTTTCATGACACATTGAACACTGAAATATGACTGTTTATTCAGAGAAAAAGGAACAACATTTTAAGGAATTGTTGTCAACAAATATTCCTCCAATGTTTCCATTGGGAATGCATGTTCATCTAATTTGGTTAGATTTATTAAATAAATTGAAGTTTTAACGTTAGATAAAGTAGTATTTGTTGAGTTCAATATGTTGTAATCTAAAGACGAAGATATCCACATTAGTGTCAAAAACAATTTCCACCAACAATTGTAAAAAATTCCACCTGTTAATACTAAATCCATTTGACTGTACCGAAATTCACCGCCTCCAAACACCATCTTCACTTCACATAATAATTTCTATAAAAAAAAATTATGAATATGTAAAAGTATGTACAATCAGTTTCGGAATATTTGTAAAACTATTCTTCATATTATAGTTGAATTGCTAAGATTTCTAATCTAGTTAATCAAGTACTGGATTCATTTCCATGTTAAATACTTTAAACAGAAGATTCTAGAATCCCAGGGTCACTTGGAAGCTTAGAATTGAATTATCACATGTATACATAAACTAGTTGTTAAGTCGTATCCTGTATTTGTATTTCCGTCTTTCCAATTTCTTTTTTGATTCGATTGTGTTAGACTAAACATCAACTACGAATTCAGAATTAGATGATTTTATGTATCAGTAATATCATGAAGAAGTTGAATAGCTTACTTGAAAATATACACTTCTCATCAAAAAAATATGAGTTTCAGTCAGTTGCCGAACAATTTGAAAGTACTAGTATGGGTGTTGTGGAGAATTTTTGATTTTAATAAGATCATGAATTGATGTGAGTTAGCAAACTATGTGAGATTTGGATGCACTGGATATCTGTTTTGTTTAGTATGGTAGTTTTTATCAGTACTCAACCACAACCTCAATATCGCTATCTTATTGAGGACATTGGATCTTGCACGAGCACGTCTAACATCTAGACCACTGAGCCAGGATTCAATGATCTACACGTCTAACTTCAATCAATATACAACATGGTGTAATTGGATTCACATGTTCAAATGAAGTGTTGGCAAGCCTTCAAATTGCTATTAGTATTGACCATATAATTATGATGCAATAATTAAAATTGAATACATTATACAACATTGACTTTCAAAGAATACGTGTTTGATAGTTAGTTGAGGATGTTCCATCAAATGTAAAAACAGTTGACTTACAAAAAGTGTGAATGGTAAAGCGATTGCACCAGCAACAGTTAGTACAGTCTAATAAAAGATGGAGAGAAATGGTTACGAAAGAAGTTTCAGGTTATCAAAAATCAATTAAGTTAGACAATTATTGATTTAACATTGAATAAAAAATTAAGTATAAGCAATTGAATATGTGATTTATTGAATCACTTTCTATCACAAGTCGATTGACAGATCAACTTTCACTAACATAAACATTAACTCAGTTTCGAATCAATAGAATGACGAGTGAAGTTTGACTTGAGAAAGTGGAGATTTATAGATTGAGTGGATGATTTTAGTGGATTTTCACTCTGCAATCTGAATTGTTTAATCGTGTATTACGCTGAAATCATTCAGCTCAGAGAATGAAATTTCACGTACATCTTACACTCTTCAATGATTGATATCAACCAAGGGAATATAATCAATCGAAGATGTCATGGGACAACTATTTTATATCAGTTTAAGATCCCACAGGAATATGAACCCACAAACATTTAGGAAGTGTGTATAATTCAGAGCTTTTAGGAGTAGCAATGAGTACATTACCGACAAGCCTTTTAGTTTGTATCTAATAGACCACATATTTAACTTCATTCTAAGAAGATGAGAATAAATGGTGTTTTCTTTTTAGTTACAGGTATTGAGTAGTTATGAAAGGATAGAGGAATAAACTGATCATTTCAATTCATTTGAATCACAACCGTTCATTTACTTTCTAATAGTTTTCAACAATTGCGTTGAACTCAAACAACTATTGTGTGATGACTATGAAGGTTATTGAACATGTACGAATTTCGAACGTATCCATGAAGATTTCGTTATCCTCAAAACAATGTCTGAATTAAAACAAACCATATATATATCTATCGATTACTTAAATCCATTGAATACTGGCAGTTCAAGCCCCATTGAATATGTGATATCTCCATTAAAACTGAAACTACATAACCTGAAAGGCTTAATCATCATTGTGTTAGCACGTTCATAACCAATGATAACATAGAGTTAATTACAGAATTACAATAAGGCATCAATTTAATAAAAGCAAACAACATAATCACATTATTGTTCTTCAATATGAAGTAAAGAATCTGTCCAATTAATAGTACCAAATCCGTAAATAATGTAACAAACAGATTTACGGTGTGATATTTGGTGAAATCACACCTTAGAATAGTTACGACGTAAATAATGAAATTAAATAATGTCACCGACACACCGAACATAGTATAAACAGTAACTTCGGAATACGATGTTGCATCCGATGCGATTGCAACGGTTGAAAATAATGTCTGTAATAATAAAAATAATAAAGATAGTGATAATAACAGTAGTGAATAACAGATAATGCAATTACACCGTTCTTATATGAAGATGGCACTGTAATTCGAAAAGAAATAAATCACAACAACGTAACTGAAAGAGTAATCTTTATTTCCTATGACTGCTAATTCTTACAAAACTTAAGTGACTAGTTGGATAATGATCTTTGGAGCGACTGGGCAAATGGATAGATAGATAGATTGATTGATTGATTGATGTATGGATATATAAACTGAATCCAATATACAGACTTCTACCATGTGTGAATCTTAACTAAACTTTGAATGAATTACTACTTACCATCAGTATTAAATACATTATATTGTATGGATATTTCCTTGATAATGCTGGAACAAACATCCAAATTAATTGAAGAACTAAGTAGATGGCGCTATAGATAGTGAAGAATGTTGATAACAATATTAACGTAGTGATAAATATAAGAATATCAATAACAGTTACAAATTATATTTTGATATAATGGAGATGTGTAGCTTTGAGTGGAGATCTTCATGCTGTGAGAACGTAGAAAGCCTAGTCAGAGATGTTTTAGGAAACCGGTTTATATGTGTGCTTAGTCAGCACTCAATGAAATAATGTTTATTGTTGATGTTGCTTCACTACTTGAGAATTAGACCTGTTGTACAATGATTCAGAGAGTTGCTCCTTAATAAAACCACACGCTTCTGTCTGAAAGTCTCCACAGTATCACATCCTTCTCATAAATATGACAATGAATAATTATGGAGGGATAGATTTACCGTCTCCACTTCACTACTAACTAAAAACACAATTATTTTCCATCTAATTCATCTGTCATTGTTTTACCTCACTCCACTTTCTATTCCGTTTTATGCATTTTCTGTGTTTATGTATATTCCTCAAATCACACACCAGCTTTCAATTGAGCTGAGTGTTGATGGATATTCTGAATGAGCTTTTATGAAAACAGATCTTCCATTCGTATTGGCCTGTTTCAATATTCTCACACTAGTGCAGATGGGATAACAGATAGATCTAGCTAATTATTTGAAAAGACAATATCAGTGTTTGTTGTTTATCCGTGACCCGTATTCAACAATCTGGTGTAGTGCTAAAAAGTCCAGTGTATCTGTCAATATGTGCTATAAAGGTGATCTCAGTGACTTCTATAACGTGCTTCATTTTCAGAGACTGGAAGTGGTAGGGGAAAGTTGAGAGATGGTTGATCTATGACATGGTTCAGTAGTATGAAAGCTGTACAGGACTGGTGTCTATCATCCCATCACGATTCTCTGATCGGTGTCTGAGAGATAGAGCAACTCAGAAGCTTGATATCTTACCAGACACAACTGAGAATAGAAGCCGATTGATGTCATTTTGTAGTTTCGTTCCACATTCTTCATAAAAATGAAAGGAGATTCTTCTACTGTAAGAATCCTCTCTGCTTATATATTTTCTACTGATCTCTTTTTCCCATTCTGTACCACTCTCGTTCACTTATCTTTATTCATCCATTTATTTAACTATACTCCCTCTCCTTCACTCATCCCTTCACAATCTCATCTTCTTATCTGTATTGTTCATACAAATTTGCTAACAAACTCTGAATGTGGATTACCAATTCATATGAAGGGTATGGATTAATCTGAAATAATCAGATCTCAATTTAGCAATTACTCAATTGGAATCCTGAGAGGAAATAGAAAAATGAGAGGCCAAAGATCACACTGCATCAAGAATTGGAAGTAGATATGAAAAGGAAGGATAGCAACTGGAAAGAATTGTAAAGCGTTGTCTAGGACAGAGATGGATGGAGAACATTGGTGGACAGTGTATGCTTCTCCATGAGGGTTAACAGACGTAAGTAAGTATAGTAGTAAGTTCTTTGTCCTCTTACAGATCAGGTATATTAGAACTATAATGAGAACTTCACAATATAACCATTTGTTTGATTTGGATTTCACTGAACGTTTTATCAACATAATATCATTTCAATCACTTCATTGAATTCATTATTTTATCAGATTATCAGTACCATCGTGACAGACATTCAATATTATATGAATGTATATGTGAGTAAACTTGATGGATAATGATACTGAGTCGTATTGACAGTATGTCAATTTAACAAGGGCTTAATGGGGAACTTACTTACTTACGCCTGTTGTCCCTCGTCGTGGAGCATAGGCAGCTCACCAGCATTCTCCATCCAACTCTGTCCTGAGCCTTCCTTTCCAGTTCATTCCAGTTGCTATTCATCCTCTTCATATTTGCTTCTATTTTCCGGCGTAGTGTGCTCTTTGACCTTCCTCTTTTCCGCTTCCCTTCCGGATTCCAAGTTAGGGATTGAGTCGTGATGCACATTGGTGATTTCCTCAATGTATGTCCTATCCACTTCCAACGTCTTTTCCTAATTTCCTCTTCAGCTGGAACCTGCTGGTTTGTCCTCTCCCACAAAACGCTGTTGCTGATAGTATCCGGCCAATGAATGTTGAGTATTTTGCGTAGACAATTGTTTATAAATACATGTACCTTCCTGATGTTGGTTATAGTAGTCCTCCAGGTTTCATTTCCGTACAGTAGGACTGTTTTAATGTTCGTATTAAAGATTCTGACCTTGAAATTGGTTGAGAGTTGTTTTGAATTTCATATGTTCTTCAATTGTAGAAATACTGCCCTTGTTTTGCCAATCCTCGCCTTTACATCTGCATCCGATCCTCCTTGTTTATCAACGATGCTCCACAGGTACTTGAATGTTTCTACCTCTTCTAGAGTTTCGCCATCAAGTGTGATTGGGTTGGTGTTCTCTGTGTTGCATTTGAGAATCTTGCTGTTTCCTTTGTGAATGTGGAGGCCTATCGATGCGTTAATGGGGAACACCATCATATTTTCATTTTATTAGTGTTATTATTAATATAATGAATAATGATAGTAAAGTAAGTGGCTCTTACCTTGAGACCCATAAGATTGTTTCGTGATGTTTAATCCACTCACTGATCTGTTGACTAAAAATAAGTTTGATTCAACTTTACTAAACAGAAATACTACATACACTAAAATAAACAAACACGTTCCTCCAAAAGTGATTGCAAACTGAAGAACTGTAATTGCAAGTACCTGTAAATAAGTAAAATAGAAGATGAAAACACAAAGAAACATGTAAAATGGGGTTTATGTTTTGCTAGTATAAATAATTTTGCCATGTCAAATTAATTTCACATTTATGGAGAACTCCCATGTTGTATGACTAAATTTGCTTAAATCTAAGATGGAGCCTCCCATAGATTAATCCATTTTGTAGAAAATTAATTCCTCTATATTTGACTTCAATAAATGAATAATATCTTGTTGACTGAATATTTAAAACAGGCTAAATCTCCTAGTGGCAAAGCAAGGGCAGCATTTCTACAATTGAAGAACATATGGAACTCAAAATAATTATCAACTAATTTCAAAGTGAGAATCTTCAATACGAACGTCAAAACAGTCCTACTGTACGGAAATGAAACCTGGAGAACCACCACATCCATCGTCAAGAATATACAAGTATTTATAAACAGTTGTCTACGCAAAATACTCAACATTCATTGGCCGGATACTATCAGCAACAGCGTTTTATGGGAGAGGACAAACCAGCAGGTTCCAGCTGAAGAGGAAATTAGGAAAAGACGTTGGAAGTGGATAGGACATACATTGAGGAAATCACCAATGTGCATCACGACTCAATCCCTAACTTGGAATCCGGAAGGGAAGCGGAAAAGAGGAAGGTCAAAGAGCACACTACGCCGGAAAATAGAAGCAAATATGAAGAGGATGAATAGCAACTGGAATGAACTGGAAAGGAAGGCTCAGGACAGAGTTGGATGGAGAATGCTGGTGAGCTGCCTATGCTCCACGACGAGGGATAACAGGCGTAAGTAAGTAAGTAAATCTCCTAGTTGAATTACCGGTTTACTCGAGATTATTCAAAAGTCTGAACACCAGTTATAGAGATAGTTTATTGTTGAAGCTTTGGTAAAAATCCGCCAGTGTACAGGTAGCAAGCACACAGGGAAAACAAGTGCGTGAGTGTGTGTGTGTCCCACAAGTGTTAAAAAATCCATATATATTTATTAGTGTTAATGGGTTGGGGATAAATTATTGATTGTCTTTGCTTACAACCAATGAGAGAATAGATGAAAGATTGATGTGCAGACACATGCGGCTCATTCAGACTCACACATAAATTTACAAAGTGGATTAAATGTCTAAATTACAGAGAACACACAAATAATACATTAGTTGAATGGGCCTGTTATAATCTACAGAGTAGTTTACTGATTGCAGTGTATATACTGTGGTGCGACAAGTCAGAAGTCCTATTCATTGATATGATTCTATGGGATAAGATAACTTCATGTATCACCGGCTTGAAAAACGTTTTCCGCCCTTTAATTATCGAATAGCTTGAAAAGACACTTCTATTGTAGTGAAAAATACAAGTGTGTAGTGTGCTATCAACTATGTGCAATGTTGGAATGCATCATCATTATCCTTATGGAAATATTCGTCTAAACTAAGTGAACAAACATCTTGTCAATAGAGTTAAAGTCTGTTTACTGGATGTGAATCATTGAGATTCTCTTCCAAAACTAATGTGTATTCAGTTCGACAGTCATAAAATCGTGAATAAAATTAATGATATCATAAAGAGATTTTGTCGAAACATGTAGGAATCGACAGTTAATCCGATGGATACTCTCAATTCTTAGAAAACATAAAATTTCTAGCATACAAAGTGAGAAAGATATTAAACGATTGTTCAGTTCTACATTGATCACTTTATGGATTATAGTCATAGCCTCGACACCGATAAGAGTAGAAGCTATAAACTGAAACAAGTTACTGAACTGCTATGTAAGGAAGAAAAATGAACTGTAGATAACAAGACTGAGAACAGTGATATTCAGGAGTTCTTATCGGATTATTAGTAACATGATGACGAACAAAGCATACAAAGATTATATCTGCTTACATTCAAAGTAAAAATATCTTCATTATCTGAATACTGTCGTTGATTAATTGATGCTTCTTTGAACCTTTCGAAGTTGTACCTTACTCTCTGTGTCCACAAGTTGTCCACTTTTCCAATTCCAAATTTATGCATCATACCTCCTATTGAAAGATTATAACAATTGATAGAACGTAATTTAGTGACGATTGATTTGAGTCTGGAAGGAAATTACAATTAAAAAGATGAGATCGTGCAATATAGTTCTCATGTAATAGAACTTCGTAAATAATTCCCAAAATATTCCACCACACAATTAGATGTCAAGGTTTTTGTCAATGAGTATATGTAAACGACAGATACACCTTATTGGTGAGTGCGGGAACCGATGTGTCATTTATAACATTCTGTTTGTTTAACTACAATCAATGAAAACAGATTTAACTCAATTTCGGTAATTTATAATATGATCGGTGTCCGACATTCATCATTCTCTGTTGATCGAATCAAAACACCGAATACTAGTCGAAATGTATAGTCCATTTATAGTGGATTTCAAATGCAATTCGATCCACAGTAATAAAATAATTGAAATGAGAAGAGTGATTTTGTTTGCAAATGATATTTGTAGTAAAATGAGATAGTCTCGTGAATGTCATTTGGTTTTCATCCTTAGTTAATAATCAATCACCGATGTATGTTTCAATATCTAGCTTTTATCCAACGTTCAATAGTCGATAATGTAAAAATTAGAATTGATGAATAGATGTTGAATATTTTCATGATACGACTTTTGGTAATTTGTTGGTAAAGCTGATGAATTGATCAATATCACACCCCGAATTGTCTGTCGGACCGAAAACGTATATTGGGAATCAACACAGTGATGGATGAAGGACAATCTAAGAATCAACACCTATTGATCCTTGAGTCGTTCATTAGCCTGTAGTTAATCGTAAGACAATGATAGGAGTCAGATTACCTCATTCAATTATCGCTCAAATAGCATCCATCAATATACTTGAAATGCGTGATCACACAGCACATTAAACAAGAAATCACACTCTAAGCACAGTCATATCATGTGTGGTAGAAGGCGAGGCAAACAGGTGATCATCAATCAGCAGGGAACATCAAAACATTTCACATGTGCGTGTTACATTATTTAGAATCAAGAAATAAATGTACTGTATAAATGTCTACTATCCATCTAAGCGAAGAACAATTAACAGGGAGTTAGTGAGTGGTTTAGAACAGGGTTTTCCAAAATTTTCATGAGGAAATGAGACGAGTTAATTGATTTGAAAATAAAGTGGGATGGGAGATTCAAATAAACTCAAGGAGAAAATAATGATAGTTTAATGGTCAATGATAACCAATCAACATCGAAGTCTATAGGACGAGCTGTGAGCCATATGTAGAAACATTGAAACACACCAATCCAACCTGGAGTTTCTGCTGACGATGTTATTCAGAATGATGCTGAAAGCTCCACGACCAAACCATCCAGCTCTGAGAACTAAACTCCATCATAATCATCCACCTGAGTTTCAAGTCTTCGCCACCATCTGGAAATCGGATGATGGTTACTCATGCTATATCATCAACTGACTGAATGTGGAAATTGTGATTTACGTGATTACATTTAGTTCCAACTCAGTGGTTGTTTGATATCATTTTCATTACAAGAATTGTAGTTCTCATATCTAATACAGAGAGTTATGGATACTGACTTCTATGTAATCTCTAACTGAAGATTACTGTGAAATACACTTATGTATGGGGAGACCTTTTTATACATACTAATTGATGTAATCAATATGAGTCCGTCAGCAACAGAATTTAGTCAGACAACCACTGAAATTGAATCGAAAACCCAATCATTATATTACTCCATTCGTATTACTTTGTTTGTAATCATCTTGAATGTGAAACTGGTAATGTTCCTACTCTAGTTAATTAAGTGGAAAGTTAGGTTAGAAGTCGTACACACATATATTTGTAAAAATGAACAAATTATAATACAATTTACGAACCTGTTTTTTTTTCTTCAATACAATCAATTATTTGGTTATGATAAATTCAACCTCCAAACTATGGTATTCACAATGTTTTCTCAACCATATTTATGCAATATGTTGAAATGGTAGACGTGAACGTGTTAAATTAAGATTTTCCAAATCATATTAATGTTAGTTTAACTGAATAATCCTATGTGTATGCATAACTTCGATAATCCGAATTGGACTTTGTCTAATCAATAACCATTTCAGATACAATCCAATTTTTTGAATAATTGAACTTTGAATTGTGCTGTTCAGTGCTGAAACAAGCTATTAACAACTTATTCACTCATATTTCACATATCTTACTACTTATGCAAGTTAGTAGTATTTCCAATGTTGATGGAGTTTTGTTCCCTGAGCTGGATGGTTTAGTCGTGGAGCTTACATCGTCTTTTTGAACGACATCATTAGAACAAACTTTGGGTAGAAGTGAAGTGTTTGAATTTCTCCTCATGTGGTTCATAGCTTGTCCTGTCCTTGGTTCTTGTTGACCTTAAACATGTCTTTGTTTATTTCTTTGTTTTGGTTGCATTTCCCATTCATTTGATTTTTGTTCCTATGTTTCCGCATAATTTTCCTGATTGGTTGATAAATTGAATTATGCACCACAATAGTCTCGAGAGATTACAATAATCAATTCACTAATACAATTCTCTGATAGTGATGAAACTACACAGTTGGTCAATGTTCAAGAAACGGTTAACAGAGAGTTTAACAAATTTCAAATACAGAGGCTATCAAATTAAAGAAAAACGATTGACTAACGAGGTACTACCATGTAGTACAACCTGGAGGTGCATGAGATTAGTAAAACAGATTGGATGCAAGTTGCACAACAACGACTATCTTCAGGGCAGTTTCTCTTGTACTCCGGTCATGAAGAAGAAAATGCCCCACATACATAAGGAGTTGCATTGACGCTGTCCAAACAAACACGAAATGAACTTATAGGGTTATAATCTCATGGACCAAGGATCATCAAAGCCTCCTTCAAAACAAAGAGGGTATTATAATGAACGTCTACCAATGCTATGTGACTACCAACGACTACGATGAAGACGTTAAAGACCAATTCTACGATAGGCTGCTGTCGATCGTCGAGAATTACCCAACAAAGGACCTGACCATTCTGATGCGAGATTTAAATGCTAAGGTTGGAATGGACAACACTGGATACGAAGACGTCATGCGACTAAATGGACTGACTGGAAGAAAGGGACGAAAATGGTGAGAGATTTGCAAACCTATGTGCCTTCAACAAACTGGTTATAGGCGACACTATATTCCCTTATAAACACATTCACAAAACCACATGGACTTCACCGGTTCGCACTAAACAGAACCAAATCAAACATATCTACATCAACAAAAAGTTCAGGAGGACGATGGAGGATGTGAGAACGAGGAGAGGAGCTGATATAGCATCAGATCATCATTTGCCGGTCGCCAAGATGAAATTAGAACTGAAGAAGCATTGGAAAACTGGGCGTACAACATCTCAAAAGTTTATTACAGCCTTTCTTCGAGATGCGGAAAGACTCAATACATATGAGATAGTCCTCAACAATACATTTCAGGCCTTTCGTGATCTACTCAATGGACAGGGAACTGCTATGGAGAGCAACTGGAAAGGTAGAACACTTCAAAGAACTCTTGAATCGACTAGCTCCACTGAACCCATCCAACATCGAACTCCTAATCGATTTTGGCCCACCGACAATTGAAGTGATCAGCATGATCATCAGACAGATAAAGAGTGGAAAAGCAGCAGGACCAGACAACATTCCATCAGAGACACTGCAAAGACACTTCACATCCTCTTCAGTAAGATTTGGGATGAAGAACGTGTACCAACAAAGTGAAACGAAGGACTTCTGATCAAGTGTGATAACTACAGGGCATCACTCTTCTCCTAATACCAGGAAAAGTCTTCAATAGGTTACTGTTAAACAGAATGGAGGACTCCGTAGACGCACAACTTCGAAATCAACAGGCTGGATTCCGTAAGGATCGATCGTGTTCAGACCACATCGCTCCTCTTCGGATCATTGTGGGACAGTCAATTGAATGGAGTTCATCACTTTACATCAACTTCATTGAATACGAGAAAGCATTCGATAGTGTGAACAGGACAACACTATGGAAACTTATTCGACACTACGGCGTGCCTGAGAAGATAGTCAATATCATATTAGAATTCCTATGATGGATTAAACTACAAAATCGTGCTTGGGAGACAATTCACTGAACCGTTCGAGGTAGAAACCGGTGTCAGGCAAGGTTACTTACTATCACCCTTTCTCTTTCTCCTGGTGATCGGTAGGATCATGAAGACGCCAACATGTGGAGGGAACACGGTATATAATGAGCAGCTAAGATGCAGCTGGACCATTTAGACTTCGCAGATGATCTGGCTTTTCTATCGCACTTCCAACAACAGCATCAGCCTCAGTATCAAGATTCTCCGATAGAACACAGCATGCACCAGTCGAATCACACTTGACGAAGATGTTTGGGGGATGTGAAAACCTTTACATATCTGAGCAGCATCTGAGCAGCAGATCGGCAAAGCAAGAGCAGCATATTTACAACTGAAGAACATCTGGAACTCAAAACAACTGTCAACGAACACCAATATCAGAATTTTCCATACAAATGTCAAAACAGTTCTACTGTGTGAGGTGGAAACCTGGAGAACTACGAAAGCTACCATCCAGAAAATACACATGTTCATTAATAGTTGTCTACGCATGATACTTCGGATTCGTTGACCAGACACAATCAGCAACATGCTACTGTGGGAGAGAACAAACCAGATTTCAGCGGAGGAAGAAATCAGGAAGAAGCACTGGATTTCATGCAATTAGTTCCCTTTATGAATTTAAATAAAGACAGAACAAATATTGATGCAGAATAATATGAATTCATTATATTTCGTGGTTTATCACACTGAGGAAACACATTAAGGAAATCATCCAACTGCGTCACAAGGCATGCCCTCATATGGAATCCTGAAGGCTAAAGGAAGAGAGGAAAACCAAATAACACATTATGCCGAGAAATAGAAACAGACATGAGAAGAATGAACAAAAATTGGATAGAACTAGAAAGGAAAGCTCAGGATAGAATGGGTTGGATAATGCTGGTCGGCGGCCTATACTGCATTGGAGGTAACAGGCATAAGTAAGAAGTCGACTTGAAAATGCTCGTTTTAAAACAATTTTAAACAATTTCTTGAATATTTAAATGGCTACTTTTAAGTGATAAATAGCTGCTATGAAGTCAAATAGCAAAGGATTAATTTCATATCAATATTAGCACGTTATACCAAGATTTTTGTTTTTAGAATAGATTGACTGTGACTAGTAGTGAACTCATCAGCTGGATGAACCTGCATCGAAGTTCCAGTTTTCACAATGAGACCATAATCCAGTTGTCTTTCGCTTTAAATTACAAAGTTTTATTCACTTAGCTATTGAGTCTAGACAACCACCAGCTTGTTTAAGAGGGTATGATGTTTATATTTTTATTAAAAAGGTTTTGGATTATTCTGTTTCTTATTATTTAGGCCTGAATTTTAATTACTCTCAGTTGATGATCTGAACGAAGGTTAACCCATGTTACCGTAATATAATCATGTAAATCTGATGAATTTCGAACATACTACTTAAATTGTCAGCAGATATTGTCACCCTAATAGTCTAATAAGAAAACTAATCATTAGTTGCTATGCTAACTAAAGGATTTTTTTTATATAAAGTGTAAAAAAAGAACAAACAATTTAACTAATTGTTGGTTTGAAGTTTAACTAATCTACTTAGCAACATTAAAGATACACCCTTATACAAGCAAATTCACCAATTACATTAACTATCTCATTAACGAATTAAAAGAAATATGAAAAAGAAAACCATGAAGCTGAAATTAGATATATTTTCACCTTTTTTTTCAATCTACGTATTTCATGATTCTATAGTGGAACTTTATTGTAACAACCTACTCAACTATGATAAGACTGACGACTATACTACTTATATTAGTAGTTTACACAAATCAATGTGATAGTGTTAGTTTCCATGATCTATTGAAATATTTCTCTTCTTCTAAATGTGGTTATGATTCATGTGAAACTGGAAAATCAGGATATCTTAATATACATCTAATACCCCATACACATGATGATGTTGGCTGGTTGAAAACAGTAGATCAATATTATTATGGTGTGAATAATACAATTCAACGAGCTGGTGTTCAATACATATTAGACAGTATTGTATCTGCTTTAGCACATAATCCAAATCGTAAATTTACTTACGTTGAAATGGCTTATTTTTATCAATGGTGGATAGTACAATCAAAAGAAATCAAAAATCTCGTTAAAGATTTAATTAAATCAGGACAATTACAATTTGCTTTAGGTGGTTGGAGTATGGCTGATGAAGCTACAGTTTATTATACTGATGCAATTGATCAATTAACATATGGAAATAATTTATTAAAACAATTATTTGGTGATTGTGGACGTCCATTAGTTGCTTGGCAAATTGATCCATTTGGTCATTCACGTGATCATTCAGATTTATTTCAAGATGCTGGTTTTGATGCTGTCTATTTTCAACGTATGGATTTTCGTGAGAAATTAATACGTAAACGATTAAAACAATTAGAAGTTTTATGGGATACTACTTATACTACTAATAATATTACTGATAATGGCAAATTTTATGGTTTATTTACTGGAATGTTCTATGATACTTATTGTTATCCGCCTAATTTTGAATTTGATGCAAGCTATCCAGATCATTCCATTGTAGATAAACCATCTATTCAAGAATATAATGTTGATATAGTTGTAAAGACATTTATAAAGTATGTTAAAAACTTATCCAATTCATTTAAAACAAATCATATTATGATTTTAATGGGTTGTGATTTTACATATGAAAATGCTCATATGAACTATAATAATATGGATAAGTTAATTAAGTATGTTAATGCTCAACAGAAGTATGGTAACAATGTGAATGTATTATATTCTACACCAGCATGTTATACAAAAGCGGTAAATGAAGAATTTAATCGAATTGGTACAATCAATCGTCGTAGTGGGGATTTCTTTCCATATGCTAGTAGTCCATTATCATATTGGACTGGTTATTATACTAGTAGACCAGCATTGAAATACTATGTACGTCAAGCATCAAATTTATTATCAATGTGTGAACAAGTAAGTAATTTCTTGTTGTTGTTTGTTTTTTTTTGAGACGGGGAAAGGTTTGTTGGAAAGTGGTAACTATTTTGCCTTATGTATCATCCTTTCCTGGGAGGCAAAATCTGACTCACAGATCCTCGTCGTGCCTCCTGGATCATGGCACTGATCCCATGTACTAACGTGGGCGGTAATATGGGTGATGGAGTTCGGCCTAATCAATCACTCTATCTATTTCTGCAAATGATTACGAAAGTTACAAAAAATCATTGCATAATTATTGAGGGTTCAAAAAAGATGGAAAAAATGAATCTGCCCAAGAAAAAGAAAAACAGAATGAAAGTGTTGTGTAATGATTCTGCGTAAGCAATGCAAAAATAACTATTGCGCTCTTATAGTTGTGCCGTGCTTCGATGAAGCACTCTTCTCCAAAACGGCATACTAGGCTTCACCATGTTCCAATGGCTGGGGTGGAGGATCTTCCTTTTCTGTTTACTTTAATTTCAACTGACAAATACATAATCTTACTTTTAAGCTTCGTATACGTTTAAATGCTGGTTAGTGTTTGATTTTTGTTACATACAAATTATGCAATTCATTGAAAGTTTTGTATTAAATTCACCTATACTTAGTAAAACTGTAATTGGTAAAGTGTTGTAGTGCCGTGCTTCGTTAATCGTTCACCTTGATAACCGTTATAATTCTAATCTTAACGGTGCATAAAATCAGAAGACAAAGCGAAGCAGCAAATACAGTTTATTGTCAAATAAGTCAGTCCAGAAAGCTACCAGCACCTGAGCGAATATCAACGAGCGAGCAGCAAGCGAACTAGCAAACAATCATATAGGCAATTTATAGTCAAATTTAACAAGGGCACAGGAAAACAAAAAAGGCTGGAAGTAGTAGCATAAAAATAAACTTAAAGAGTAGTATTTGTTTACAATATGAGGGAAAATCATAACCTTTAGACTAGATAGAACTAATTGTTTATTAAATTGGAAAGTTTTTTTTTTCAATATCAAACCTGAACAATCTTGGTTTTCAAGTTTCAACTATTCGTTCACAGCTTGATAAAAGTATCAATCATGTAACAGTCATCATAGTTCAGTGAACGATTTATTTTCCGAGAAAGTTCACTATTGGGTGTCATTCAGTGATGTTAATTCCATTTTGGATTGTAAGTCTGCACATAAACAGCCTACTCTTTAAGACGACAAATATAAGACAGGTTTGAAAATTTTTAGTTTGTTTGATGTTGTTGAAGGATATCAATTATTGTTTCAGAGTGGCCTAACTGTTCCCAGCTGGTTGTGAATTATATAAGCCGTTGATTTCAGTTAGTCAGTCAGCAACAACATAGAACTTCGTGCTTAGGTACATCAGTTTAAGTTGTCATACCACATTAGCATAGAGATACAATTTTTGATTCAAATCCCATAGTAGTATTACAGTAAAAGTATAAGCAGTGATCGGAAAGATTAGGGTTTAAAGATGTTTTTCAAAGAGTATAATCCAGTAAAATACATTTGGAAAGATAAAAATGGACATGAAGAATTCTGTTAGCTATTTACTCTATACAAAATACAAAGAACTTACACTGGAATGATGAACAATTGCCTACTTTACCACCGTTCTAGTATTTCTTAAATTTGGATCAGAAGGGGTTTTGTGGAGAATTTACTATTTTCATAGTTGAAATCATGCGAATTGGTGAACGGTTGCTCAAAATCGTGGATTGGTTAAAGTTAGACATAAATACCGTTGGATACAGGCTCAGTGGTCTATCGGTTAAGTGCTCGCACACGAGACTGATAGGTTCTGGGTTTAACTCTCTCGAGGCTGGATCACGGATGAGCATTGCCACTGAGCAGTCTTACAATAGGACGAAACGGCCGTCCAGTGCTTCCAGGTTTTCGATGGTGGTCTAGCTTTAATTGACTCATGATTTCAACTATATAAAATTACAATAATCTATACAAACTTCCTCTCTTTTTTGTATTTTTTCACCAAATAGATTCATTTATTTGCAAATCATATCCGAAATAAAAACAATCCATATGATAATGAAGTAAATATTAATCATTTACGTCAAGTACTTCATATTGTACAACATCATGATGCTGTAACTGGTACATCGAAACAACATGTAACTAATGATTATGCTCTACGTTTATATAATGGTACAAAATCCTGTCAATATTTAATTAATAATTCATATATGAAACTGTTGCCAAGTTATCAATTCAACCAAACGAATCAATTCGATGTAACATTTTGTGATTTATTAAATATTAGTTTATGTAATACTACTGAAGATTATCAGTCATATTTACATGGATCAAAGAACAATCATAACGAGGATGATCATAACGAGGATGGTGATGGTATCTTCATTCTTCTATATAATACATTAGGTTGGGAACAATCCAATGTATGGATTCGATTCCCAATATATATTCCAATTAATAATGATCATAATGTTGATAGTTTATTAAATAAATTTCAAATTATAATAAAAGATCTTCGTAACACTTCAAAAACACATCAATCTTTACCTTATCAATTAAATTTAATCAATAAAAGAACACTTCAAATACCTGAACGAAAATCTTCATTACATCATGAAAATTATGAATTATTATTTAATCCTAAAAATATATTACCAATTGGATTTAATATATTCTATTTCAAGATTACTCATTCATCAACATCATCATCAACATCCTCATCCTCAACATCACCATCATCATCAACATCCTCATCATTGACATCCTCATCTTCAACATCACCATCACCATCATCAATATCCTCATCATTGACATCCTCATCATTGACATCCTCATCATCAACATCATCATCATCATCATCATCAACATCCCCCTCCTCATCATCACCAACCTTGGAAACCACAACACATAGAAGTTCTATTATTGTTACAGATACTATGAAATTAAAACTATCCTATAATAAATATAATAAATTTATACAACTTATAATGAAACATATTCAAAGTAATATTAAAATAAAATTAAATATTGAATTAATGTATTATATAGGTGAAACAAATGGACAACAATCATCTGGTGCATATATATTTTTACCTAAATATAAAACTTATGCACAACGATTTCATTCAATTCATGGAATAGTAAGTGATAAAATGGTTTTATCGAGGTTTTATCGAGGTATATCGAGGCAATACGCACAGTATGCACATATGCCAATTAGAGACTGACCAGTTGCAGTCCTAAACACATCGATGGGAACATCCAAACAAACAATACTAAGTGAATTCAAATGGTTTTATATGTTTATCTAAAAAAAAGAAGAAAATAATTAGAAAAAAAAGAAAAAGAAAAGAAGAAGAAGAAGAAGAAGAAGAAAACATCTATGAATGTACTCAAAGTTCATTAAACTACATCATGTTTGTTACCATAGATATTATTACATTCATAGCTTTATAGTAATAGTGTGTGGTGTGTACTACTGATGTCGACAGATATAAGTAGTATATATCATCAATCAAATGTGAAATGTCTTGGATCTTCCTTTATAGTTCTATCTAATGTCTCTTCATTTTTTTTCTAATATCTGTCTCCATTTTTGGGCGTAATGTGTTCTTTGGTCTTCCTGTTCTCTTTTGGCCTTGAGAATTCCATGTGAGAGTTTGCCTTGTGATTCAATTGGGTGCATGTATATATTTCTACTTAAATGTAAATCCCATGCAAAAAGATTTCATTTAATTCATGGAATAGTAAATGATAGAATTGTTTTATATATTTATCTATGAAAAGAAGAAAACATTTATGAATGTACTTAAAGTTCATTAAAGTACATCATGTTTGTTATGATAGATATTATTATATTAATAGCTTTATAGTGGAAATCTGGTGTGCACTACTGATGTCGACAGATACAAGTAGTATATATCATCAGTCGAAAGTGAAATGCCTGGTGACAGTAAGTTAGGAAGATCGAAGAAAAGAGAATGATTCACTTAGTATTGTTTGTTTGAATCTTCCCATTGATGTTTAGGACTGCAACTGGTCAGTCTATAATTGGCATATGTGCATACAGTGCGTATTGCCTCGATATAGCATTAATTCATAAGCATTATAAACAAAGATAGATAGTGGTTAGCAGTGGAATCTAGGACGCGCGTTTCGTCTTATTTGCATATAATGCTTGAGAATTAAGGTTATATCGAGGCAACACGCACAGAGGGTATATGTACCAATAAGAGACTGACCAGTTGCAGTCCTAAGCATCGATGGGAAGATTCAAACAAACAATAATAAATGAATTTAATCTTCACCCCATTGCACAAGCAAGTGGTTATCAGGACTCAGTGGCCGAGTGGATAACGCGATGGTGCTTGAAGTGAGGGTACTGAGTTCGTGTCCCAGAGTGAACATCAATTCTGAGATGCAGATACATCCAGCTGACGAGTCCCGAATAGGACGAAACGAGCGTCCTGGATTCCACTGTAAGCCACTATTCATCTTTGCTTATAAAAAGAATGAATAGTGTGAAAACGAAAGATTAATGAAGTTTGAAACAATCGATTGACATTTCGCAAATGAATTATTTACTATATGGTTTAAAACAATTAGTCCCTTTGATAAATTTTGAAAACGAAGATTATCAGAACTATGTGATATTCGAAAACAGTTTGTTCTCATCTTAAACCTACCCTGGTAATATTACCTTATTAACCAGAGTAATTAGGTTTCAATTTGTTTTCACATTATTGTTATTATTATTGTTATCCTTGCCTACTCTTACCCTCTGCCCCATTTCTAGTCTATTTGACCTTTTATTTTTATAAATAAATATTCTTAACAAGTATATTATGTGTGATCAGATTGTTCGAAATGTATTACGCTAATATATCATCACATAGTTCTGAATATCTTCGTCTTTTTATTATACTATATGGTTCACAGATTTCACTATAAGATTCAAATTTATCTATTTATTTATTTAAACACATCAATATTGATACAAGGAGGCAATAAATACATATGCTCCGTACAAATCTCATTTGATTTGTGTGAGGGCTGTGATACTGCCCAGGTGTGCAAACCGAAGCAGGTGGTTTTCTTGGGGGGCCACATCTGGAGCCTTTGACCTAAAGATCTGATCCACAAAGCAGTGGAGCATCGTGATGAGATTCAGTCCCATGGTAGTTGGTGACCAACGATTAATTCATACGCCATGTGTTCCCTAAGGATCCTGGAGCTCATGTGCACCATTGGTTTGGAATCGGGGTTTTCCAACTCCCCTAGGTGTACTTTTGGTGTCCATCAACCCGGTTAAAGCTCCGGACATTTACTTTTCGTATACAACACCCGTGGTGTGAGAAGGCAGTGAGTAGGACTTCCTTGGCATTTGGAGAGAGAGAGCGAACTCTCCCCACTGTCGGCCGTACCATGAAAGTTTCACTATTATGTTAAAGTCCTAATTATGAACAAAGAAAAAAAGTTTAGTATAACATCAATTCTCTGAATATGTTGATTATCTTATGACACTTTTACCAACAATATCAGCCACAATTTTAGAAAATAAATGATCTATATGGGTTTTCTATGAAAATTATTCAATCTGAATCAGATTACCATCTATAGATTGATAACATATTTGATGGTAAATGATTTCTCCTAGTCTATTTGATTAGTCTATACTTTAAAAAGATTAATTCACCAAGTCTCTATAGCTATAAGTGACCAAATAACTGAAAATCTACTGTGAAACTCTTGTAAATAGAAGTCGAGAGTATTATTAACTCAAGGTAGGTAGGTAGGTAGGTAGGTAGGTAGGTAGGTAGGTAGGTAGGTAGGTAGGTAGGTAGGTAGGTAGGTAGGTAGGTAGGTAGGGTAGTAGTAGTAGTAGTAGTAGTAGTAGTAGTAGGATTCAGAATTTATATGTCTCATGAAGTGTACATAATTGTATTCTGATGATTCGTAAAACTCCAATGTTTTTATTCAAATTATATACTGACATTGATCACTTCAATGATGCAAATAAAATAGCATTGGTTTACAAATCTCTCCTTTTTTTTTTAATTATTTGAATACATAAAGATAACACGTGGATCTTTAGTTGATGAAGCCTATATTGAATATTCTTCATGGGCTTCCCTGATTGTACGTCTTTATCATAATGGAGAATTAGAAGTTGAATGGACAATTGGTCCATTTCCATCTGATATGATTGGTCGAGAAACTGTAGTGCGATACACTATCCATGGAGATGATGTTCAATATCGTGATACAGGTATTTTGAGCACTTATTTAACGAGTCATAATGTCTTATACGTTTAGATACTGATTAGAATATTTATAGACTTTCGTTAACAGGATGAGAAAAATGTTGTTCCATAATGTTATTACACATACTTCCCTGAACAATGTATTAGGAGTATTTCACGTATGGAATTTGATTTACATTTTTTGGTCGGCTCTGAGAATTGAATGAACTTGATATTGTTTACTATTCAATGATTAATCAGTGTAAAAAGTAAGTACCTGGAAACAAACCGAAATCACTTATTGAAATCATGAACCGAACGACGTTATACCATCATTAGAAACCTGAGAGCACTGAACGGTCTAGTATGGGACTCATCAGAAGTGCGGGATCCTCACCCAGGACCTTCAGTCTCGTGCGAACCCCTAAATTCTAGACCACTGAGCCGGAATCTAATGGTGTTAATGTCTAACTTTAACCAATCTACTATGTTGTGGGATATTCTTTCATTGTATTCTGTGGATAAACGCCTCACATCCGATATGATTGATGTTCACTTGTCACGGCTTCTCACTAGAACTCCGAGAACTGAAATCATTCAGTGCAACTCTTTTTATTCAGTTTAGAAAGTGCGACAATAATTCACATATTCTAGAAGTGTTGCTTATCAATCACAGATCACTGAAATTATAGTAGTTTGCATAGTTTAACACATTGTTGATAATTATATGACCGTGTCATAAAATTGAAATTTCAGTTGAAAGAGGTCAATACGTATGTAGAAGATGAATATGAGAAGGAGTAGACAGTTGTTTCGTTGCAGTCTGAGACTCATCAGAAGTGCATATTAACAATTTCACTACTGATCGAACCCAAAAATATTTACGTCTTGAAGAAAGTATAGAACCCATGAACTACTGAGTTTGAAATTAAGTTCGGAATCTTCAATCACGGAAAGACTCTTCATAAGTTGCAGCTGAGGTATGAAAAAATATATGTTCATTTGGAAAACCTCAATGATTTCTAATTTGAGATTAGTTTATAGATAAGATTACTTAATTACTTACTTACGCCTGTTACCTCCAATGGAGCATAGGCCGCCGACCAGAGCTCTCCAACCCGTTCTGTCCTACTGTGTTCTTTGGTCTTCCTCTTCTCCTTTGGCCTTCAGGACTCCATGTGATGTCTTGCTTTGTGACGCAGTTGGGTGATTTCCTCAGTGTGTGTCCTATCCACTTCCAGCGCTTCTTCCTGATTTCTTCCTCCACTGGAATCTGGTTAGTTCTCTCCCACAGTAGGTTGTTGCCGATAGTGTCCGACCAACGGATCCGAAGTATCTTGCGTAGACAACTGTTAATAAACAACTGTATCTTCTGGATGATAGTTTCAGAATACTACTTTATGATTTATTTGACTTAATTAACTAATATTATAAATTTCAATTTATTTCTATCTTTAAGGTGAATTCTTCACAGACTCATCTGGTAGACGTTTAATAAAACGTTTACGTAATCGAAGAGATGATTGGGGTATACCAATGAAATATCATGAAGAACACAATATTACTGGTAATTATTATCCAATTGTCAATAGAATTATGATTAAAAATATTCTACTTAAATGGTTGAATAAGAAAATTCCATTCGGTTTAGCAATCTATACAGATCGTAGTCAAGGTGGAACAAGTTTAAATGATGGACAACTGGAATTGATGCTACATCGTCAAACAATTAATGATGATAATTTAGGTGTAAATGAACCATTGGAAGAATTAGGATTGGATAATAAAGGTAAGTTCAAATAGAAAAAAGTCTTTTAATTGGATTGATTTCAATGTGTTTGTTGATTGATCTGAGTGCCAAGCTCCTGAAACTTCTCTGACGTTCTTTTAGAATTGCATCTATCCAATATCTCAACATTTTTCCAGTCCAATATGTATCCACAGTTGTCCATTTGCATTGATATCACTGAAGATATGTCATGGCGTTTGACTGCTAATTTATTTTCATTTAAAACAGTTAGTTCCTTTGGTAAATCTCGATAATGTAATAAGAAGACGAAGATTATCAGAACTATGTGATGATATATTAGCGTAACACATTTCGAACAATCTGATCACACATATACTCGTTAAGAACATTTATATATAAAAATAAAAGGTCAACTAGACTGGTAATAAGGTTAAGAAATAGACAAGGATAATAATGATAAAATAATGTGAAAACAACTTGACACCTAATCACTCTGGATAATAAGCATTTATTACCAGGGTAGGTTTAAGGAGAGAACAAACTGTTTTTGAATACACAAAGGGGGTTTGAATTTTCGTATGGCTAAGGCTTCAATAAACCTCAGTATACGCCCTTTTACACTTTTAAACAACACAACAAAAGCTGAGTTTAGATCAATCTTATGACCTGTTTCGATTATATGTTTAGCAATAGAGGATGATGGATGTTTATCCTCTACTCTTATTAGAGTAAACCTGATGACGATCTAATTGAAAACAATATTGTTCAATTACATGTGTTGTTCTAGTATTCATAAGTGCTGTGAGAAGAAATTTCATTCACAAATTATTACCTCTGATCGTTGAACTTTTACGAAAACATACGATCTCTATATATGATATTAATCAAATATTGTCATAGTGAGCATAAAATGAAGGAATGAATGTTTGTGTTATTTTTGCTGTTCCAGTTTATTGTTTATCATATATTTAGATAAGACAATTGATAGATTAAATGGAATAAAGTGTTCAGGTTTACTTATTGATTATTAGTTGTCAAGGTGTAGTGTGGTCTACTTATATCCATATAAGTAGTATATGATGATGGTTAGACATAGAATGTATTTTGGCAGAAGACCGATAAGGAAAGAACTGAAATGAAGCGCAATCAGTAAGAAAACGCATGAACAATGAAATTAGAGAAGATGGATTGATATTTACAGAAGGAACAGTGAAGATTGAGACAATTGGTTATTATTTTGCAAATTGACTGTTTGCTGTATGGTTATCAGAATTTAGTGAGATAGTCTGTAATTTGTGCTTAAATACATTCAGTTATCCTAACTGGTGTTCATGTTCTCTACAAAGGCATAGCTAATTGTATTCCATCTCTCTTGATAATACTATTTAGATTTGTACTTATGTGTATAGCTTCGGCTGTTAATCTTTCTTTGTAAGGATCAAAACCTTCTTGAAGGACTCTTGTACCATTGAAATCAAATGTATGATCCTGTTAAATGAACTGTTAAATCATGAAAACACATTATATACATAATATACCATAATAGGACGAAACGGCCGTCCAGTGCTTCTAGGTTTTCCATGGTGGTCGAGCTTCAACTGACTGACGATTTCAACTATGAAAATACTGAAATCTCCACAAAACCCCTTTTGATTGATAAATTAGTATCAAAAATTGTCTATCAGTAATCGTCATCACCATTTTCCAGGTGATTGGAGTTAATCATAAGGAAACCTGTTATCTTGGTGCTTATTGAATTGTCATATTTGTAACTTGAAGGGTATCGACACTTGTGGTGGAATTCAGACCAGAATCACCTAGTTTTACAGTCAGAAATGTTACAATTTAGCTATTTTTGAGTAATCAGACTACCTTATTACTGTGATATTTGTAGTAGCTAATCACTTAAAGAATTCTACAATTTTGTCGACAAGATTCCATGAAAACAAAAAGATTTACATAAACACGATATTGGTCACAACTAAATGGACAATCAATTGATTACCAACATTATTTAGCCAAAGTGTTCGCTTCCCTAGTTATAGGTACACTTAAATGATCACACATCGGTTAAAGTAGCTTCAATTCATATTAGCATCTTAATAGAAGGAAATCAAGAGCATGTAATTTGTGGGAGTTGGATGAGATATGGCAAAAGTGCCAAACATCATGAATATTATCGTAGAGAACAAGTGAAGTTAGTGAGTAGAAGTTATGAAGTAATATATTGATGTACAACTATAGATTATGGCTACACCAAGAACTCCGATTATGTAAGATATATCTCCGTTTCTATATAAGAACTATATTCAATAATATATATGAATTGATTTTAGATATTTCCATTATCAAGATGTGATTCTCAGCACAAGGAAACAATTGGTCATTTTAGTCAGTTCGAGTTTCTTAACCCAGTTATTTGGTCAGGGACGTTAGATCCACACAGTTACAGCTTCAAAAACTTATTACATCACTGAATCCAATGTACTGTTATCGAAAAAAAAAACAACCAATTTAATGCTCTCTGTCTTGTCTCATGACGAGTTTTCATGGTCCCCACCCATAATTTATTTAGAAATTTGAATGAATAAATGTCATGCTGTTCTCTATTCAGAGTTGAACGATTGCCAGTAGTCAATATTCACCCGATTATCATCGAGTATTCGACAATACTTTGGATTTTCTCTGAGTTATTATAATATTTTGTATTATAGACGATAAATAATTGACATTGAATACAGTAACTTCATTTATTTTTTGCCTAATAGGTTTAATTGTTCGAGGTACACATAAAATACGATTTGATGAATTGAATTTGATTGAATCGGAAGATAGAAAAACTGCTCAAGAGATGCGTAGACCAATCATTCCAATGTTTATTCGATCTAACAAACAAAGTTTAGCAGATCCTTTCAATGGATGGAGTGGAATCATGAAATGTTTACCCAACAATATTAACTTGCTTAGTCTAACATCATGGCCTTTGTATGTCGTTGACAAACCAGAATCTAAAAACCAAATTCTCGTCAGATTTGAAAATTTGCACACGTTGGACAATTTAAAACATACACATATAGATGCTTCACATTTATTCTATGGTATCACAATAACTGATGTAACAGAGATGACACTAACGGCTGATCGATTGAAAGAAGAAGCTATGTCACAAAGACTTCATTGGCCAACGGAACCAACATTTCAATCTGTCACAAAAAACTATGAAATGAACTCGTCGAGTGTTATTTTGAAAATACCTCCAGATAAAATAATTACGTACATATTGACTTATAAAATAGACGATTCTTCATATTTTCCTGATTAAAATAAATTTGTAAACATTTATTTCAGTAAATTTAAATATAATTTATGAGAGTTCAACAAACGTTTGGTTATCATATGATGATGAGTTTGCAAACAATGTTATTGTTTTTAACTTGATAATACAACAACAGTTTTTACGATGGACTATGCGACTATAAGCAGAGATTGATGATGGCTAACAGTAAAATTCAGATGGTTTGTTTCTTTTCATTTGGGACACGTTGAACGGATGCAACCGGATTCAAGTGCTAGTCATCATCCATCTCTGCTTATAATAATACTTGTGCCTTAAGACATCATCGAGGCAATCTGCACAGAATGTACATATGCCAAAAAGTGACTGATCGATTACAGTCCTAAACATCAGTGATAAGATTCAAACAGTCAATAAAATGAATGAATATGTTACTGTTTCAGATTGTTCCTCTATATTGTGCCATTACCATGTTTGTTGTTCAATACATTCCTGACTGTTTTTGAATTCTTCTGCAGTTTCCACTTCGTTGTAATGCTACTCTGTTTAGACAATATGAACTACGAGAAATAAAAGCAAAATAGGTGGCTTTATGTGATTAATTTATGTTCCAGACTAAGTTATTTAGTTTGATGATGTAAGTAGTTGGAAATATGATACATATATGTAATCTCTTAGAAAATGAATTCAGATTATATCATGAATTGTTCGGTACAAACAACATTGTAATGTAGTTATTTAATTATCTAAATGTAGATAAACATAGATATGTAGGAAGTATATTTAATGTAGGAAATTACCCGTTTGGTGAATATAGTGATATGCAAATAATTGGGTACTAAGTTGGTGACTTTAGGATTGAGTGATTTCCAAGAGACCTAGATGTTCTAGGTTCAATTATCTATAGAACCGTAGATCACACTTTTGCGAAGTCGAAAGAAGGGGCAAAATGGCTGCTCAGTTATACCTGGTTTTCAACGGCAATCCAATCTCTCAGTAGATCCTGTAGAGCTTGAAACCTGTTGTTGAGAGTTATCTTGAATTGGTTGAGTTTGTTAGTATCGCTAAGGAAGGCCGTATTGAACCTTCTTAATGCTGTTTATCCAGTTGTCCAATGTATTTTTAGCTTCAGTCTCATCTTGGACACAACCTGGTGATGATCTGAGCTATGTCAGCTCCTCTCCTGGTTCTCATATCTTTCGTTGTCCTTCGGAATATTTTGTTGATACAAATATGATCTATTTGGTTCTCTGTGATGTGGTCCGGTGAGATCCATGTAGCTTTGTGCATGTGTTTATGTGGAATTATTGTGCCGCCTATAAACAATTTGTTGAATGCACATAGGTTTGCAAATCTCTTCCCATTTTCATTTCTTTATCCTAGTCCATGTCGTCCAATTATATCTTCATATCCGGTGTTGTCCACTCCGACTTTGGAGTTTAGGTCTCCCATCAGGATAGTAAGGTCCTTTCTTCAGCACTTCGCTATGATTGATTGAAACCTTTCATAGAACTGATCTTTATCGTCGTTGCTATCATTGATAGGTGCATAACATTGGATAACATTCATTGTAATCCCTTGCTTCTTTGTTCTGAATGATGCTTTGATTATCCTGGATCCGTGAGATTCCTATCCTACAAGTGCATTTCGTGCTTCACTGGACGGCACTAGAGTAACTCCCTGAGTGTGTGGAGCATTGTTCTCTTCGTAACCAGAGTACAGCAGCATCTCTCCCGTATCTAGCCTTTGCTGTCCAGCTTCAGTCCAATGGGTTTCGCTGATTCCAAGTACTGCTTATTTGTATCTCCTCATTTGCATTGCTAATTGACTGGACTTCCCGGTCTCCCACATTGTCCGGACGTTTCGTGTACCTATAAAGTGTGTTGCTATGGTTATTAGAAGGGGCATCGGCCTCGTGACTTCCAAAAAATCTCGGCTCTCATCATGAGGCGTGATAATTCTTCCTTCAACTCTGAGGGCAGAGTTTGAATGATTTGAATATTTTTTTCTGGTCAGCGTTTTCTTGGCGAGTTAGTTTTCCCACGGGATGGGGTCGCTAAGCCCATGCTCAACCCTACTCCTTTGTATGGGCTTGAGACTGACAGTTGCTCTAGGAAGTGTATCAACCTGCAATTAGTACCTGCAATTGGTGCCATTGATCAGTTTCCTTTAACACAGTAGGATCATGTTTAAACATTATCATGCAATTGCTTCCATGCTTACTGATTCCTCCGTGTAGTTCCTTACCACCACTGTAGCATACCGAACATTTTGTAAGTAGGTTCACGATGAAGGACTTTGAAGGGTCCTTCGTATGCTATTTCGAAAGGTCGTCGTAATGAGTCGTGACGAACAAAAAAATTCATTCAATGTCGTAAGGCGGGTTAAAGGAAAACATCGGTTGACTCCGGTCGAGTGAAAACAGGCTTGAGTGAAAGCATGACGCTTGTAAGCTTGTACGTATAAAATTTTAGATCCGCATGCACTGAAGATGGAGGATTCATGAATTCTCCTGAGAGTCGGAGTTTTGTTCCATAAACGAGTTGTGTAACGATGTACCCAACGTCGTATTTTACTGCATTGCGAGTACCGGGTCACGCTAGTGGAAGAGCGTCAGTTTATTTTTAGGCGTTTTCAGGCGAAGATGAAGCGTTTATCCGTCCATGAAATCGTTCTACCAGACCGTTTGCATGTGCAATGTAGGTGATCGTTCGGAATAATGTGATACTTAGTAGTGTAGTGAGACAGTAGCAATGTTTGGGTCCGAAATGGCGTCCATGGCCTATAGCGATAGGTGAAGGGAAATCCGAGTTTCGCCCTTTCGTTCGATGAAGACACAAGCCACTGTTTCAGCAGTAAAGTCTTTGATGAGCACTACCTGTGACCATCGTGCGAGACATTCTACATGCGTCAAGAAGTAAATGTGAGCCTGGCAATGGTCCTATGAAATCAAGATAAGCATGTTTCAAATAAGCATAAAGAATTTTGAAAGAGCCTAAAAAATATATTTTGTGTGAGAAAGTATGTGCAACGTATTGAAGGCAATGCGTCAATAATGTTTCGGAAAAATTGGACGATCCCTACTTGTAGATCTGTCGCACAGTAAAGTTCTTTTGCCTGTTCTCTTCTGTTTAATCCATAGTTTCAGGGTTATCGAAGATAACTTGTGCTAAAGACCAGTATCATCATTTTGAAGCTGGACGAGTCTAGGAATTTAGATTCCCTGCAAGCTGTTCAAAGAAGTAATACGAAACAAGGCGTTTGCAACTACGCCGCTTGCCCGAGAAATGTGTTTTTTGTCTGAAGTAAACTGATAAATATAGTCCAGTTGTTGAGACTTTCAAGGAAAGTACTTGTCTGAAGATGAGCTTCAAGAGAAAGTAAGAGGTTTATGGTCAGTAAAAGGGGTCAGTTCTCGGCCTTATATGTTGAAAATTACTTACAGAACAATACACAGGTAGGAGTTCCCTATCGAAAGTGCTATACCTCAATTCAGTGTTTAGCAACGATCTCGAGAATAATGCCAAAGGTTGCAGAGTGTGGTTAACCCATTGCTGTAAGACTCCTCTGACTGCTGAGTCGGATGCGTCTACTGCGACACTAATGGGCGCCTGAGTGTCCTGATGTGCGAGCATGGTTGCCTTCGCGATAAATCCTTTAACAGACATTTTAAGGTCAGGGTTAACTTCACTCTCTCTCAGGCTATTGAATGTCCTAGTGGGGTCCCCCAGGGCTCAATACTAGGACCTCTTTTCTTCTTGATTTACATTAACGATCTTCCGGAACAAGTTTCATCTGACTTATTGCTTTTTGCTGATGATGTGAAACTTTGAAAGAGATACGTAACCAAAAGGATATACTAGCACTTCAGGAGGATCTGAATCGACTTCAAAGTTGGGCGGACGACAACAGACTTACCTTCAACACTTCAAGGTGCAAAGTAGTCTATCTGCAACATGTTGCAGACTACAGTTACAACTTAGGTAACTACTCTCTAGAAGTTTTCGAAGTCGTAAAAGATTTAGGAGTGTTGGTACCCTACCGCTTGAAGTCTTACGCTAACTGTGACAAAAATGCCTTTCAAGCAAACCTTGCACTGGTAACATTAAAGCTCATTTTTGGCCAGTTGGACGGTAGAACTTTCCACATAATCTTCAACAGTTTTATTCGTCCCCATTTAGAGTACGTAAACAATATTTCCTCCCTCCCCCCAAAGGATAAGGACACTCTGGAACGTATACAACGTTGAGCCACGAAATCAGTTCGGGGACTCAAATTCAAACTTTATGAAGAGCGCCTCCAATCACATAACCTTTACCCGTTAGAGTACAGGCTACTTAGAGGTGATCTTCTTATGACTTACAGCATCTTTAACACTCCTGGTCATTCCCCCTAAACATCTTCTTAAGCTTAGCCACAATACTAACCTAAGGTGAAACACCCAGAAACTGGAGTCGCAACATAGCAGAACAGACTGTAGACAACTTCTACTCCCTAAGAGTTGTCAAGTGTTGGAATTCGCTGCCGACTGAGCTAGTCCAAACGACTTCCCAGGAGTCCTTTAAGAGGAAATTTGACCTATTCCTAAGGACTAAGGATAACATGTTATTATGATTTACCAAATTCTTTTTTTCCTCTATTATCGTTCATATACCTAGGTTTTTAACTCCGCCTGTAGCTCCTCCAGGGGCTACTGCCGGTCCCAAGCCCGGGTAAAGGAGGAGGGTTGGGCATGGGGTTAGCGACCCCATCCCGTAGAAAATCAACTCGCTAAAAAAACGCTAACCAGAAAAAATCATTCAAACCATTCAAACTCTGCCCTGGGAGTAGAAGGAGAAATGACGTCTCATGATGAAAGCCGAGTTCATTCGGAAGTCATGAGGCCGATGCACCTTCTTACAACCAGAGCGACAATTTTTATAGGTACATGGAACGTCCGGACAATGTGGGAGACCGGCAGAGTCTTCCAAATTTCTGCGGAAATGAGGAAATACAACCTGGAAGTGCTTGGAATCAGTGAAACACATTGGACGCAGGTTGGACAACAACGACTATCTTCAGGGGAACTTCTGTTATATTCCGGTCAT